TTATTATTATAACAGAGATCTGAGAGATCATACAACGTAAAAAATTTGTGATATACGTCGTACGTACAAGTGTCTTGTAATAATAATTAATTTGCCTGTTTGCGCGAGCTGCTTTATGTGTGTGTGTGTGTGTGTGTGTGTATGAAATTAAAAATTAACTAAAAACAAATGAAGAATGAAAAACTTTCAAATCATAGCCAAACATATTCAATATCCATTTTTTCACATTTGTCTTTCTGCCATCACCACCAAATAAGAAGCTTAAGCTGATCTCTACTTCTCTAATCATTAAATGTATATGTGTATCGAGAGCTCACCGTTTAATTAACCTACGAGGTCGTCGTTGTCGTTGTTGTTGTTGTTGTTGAACATAGCTTCCATCATGACGACTAGGACAACAACAACAACAACAAAGCCATAGGACCGACGGAGCCAGCCAGACATGACTCTGAGCTACTGACCTGAAGACTACCTGAAGTCCTTCATCATCATCATCATCATTCAGTTAGGAATAACAAAAAAAAATTGTCGATTGATCATTTGTTGTTCGTAGTCATCATCATCATCATATATTATCAACATTGGTGGTAACAAAATCAATGATATCATTGATGTACGGATCATCAACAGTAGCCACAAAAAAAAATACATGATAACAATATGGTCAAGAAATGACTATATGAAAAAAAAAAATCCCATTTTTTTCAATGAAATAATCATCATTCGAAAATTGATGTGTTAGTTTTTTTTTTCAATGATTATCACCCATTTGTGTTCATTTCGAAAATTTGTTTCTATTGCTCAGAACAAACCAAAAAAAAAAAAAAATCAATTACAATCATTGTGAAAAAATTTCACTTTGTTCCACAAACAACATACACGTATACACTCACTATCATCGACATTTGTGAAAAAAAACAATAATCAAAACAACAACAACAACAACAACAAGTGAAATGTAGACAGGTAGTTAAGATAGATGGAGAGAGTGGGTCGTCGTCATCGTCGTTTTCGTCATCATCAAAAAATGAAAATAAAAAAAAAATACCAAAAGATCGTGATCAACCAAGTTCCGGGATCATTCATTTCGGCGCAAAATTATTATTATATTGATGACGCGAAAAGTTCATATAAAACATAAACAACAACAACAACAACAACGTAATAAAGAAATAAAAGGTGATTTTGGTCACAATTGGGAATACATTGAATAGTCGTTGTTGTGGTGGTGGTGGTTTTGGTCATTTTTCTGGTTTACTTTTTTTATGTCCATTTGAACTGTACGAAAAAAAACCACAAATTTTTTTGAATTTTCAAAAAAAAAAATTTGTTGTTGTTGTTGTTTTTTCTCATTAACACATTAACATCTTCTCTATAGAAGAAAAAAAAATAGAAAAAGAATACCAAAATCAAAACATAGAACTGGTCATTCAAGTCGTGACGCCAATGGCCAATATTAACAAAAAAAAATAGCTCTTCAAATACATCTCTGGTTATTATTGTAATAATAATATCCAAGCTTATTTGATTCAAGTTCAACAAGAAGAAAAAAGTTTTTATTCATTCATTTATTCACAATTCAATTCATTGATATTCAATAAACACATCAATCTTTTTTCCTAGTGAATATTAATGATGATGATGATGATGATGAATCCCTTTCACAAAATAACCAGGAGAGTACAACGAACCCAAACGAATTTGAAAATTTTTTTTTTAAATCAAATTATAAAATTTCAACAAAAATTGTCAACCAAAAAAAACCAAAAGTAATGGAGCCAAATATATTTATTTGAATTTGATTGGATAATATTTGAACACATACATACATTTTACAGATATATAGCTCATACTTGTTGCATTTAGTTAAAGTTTATTCACTTCATACACACACACACACACAATGGTAGGTATTTTTGTATGTATAAAACCCGCCCATTTTGTATTTCAAACAAGTCATGATAAAGGCGGAGTTGTAAAAAAAAAAATATATTACCATATAACAAACACAACAGATTAAACTAGAACATTTTTGTTCAAAAAAAAACTTCTTACCAATTCCTAAACAACAATGACAATGGAATTTAAATAAGAAAAATTTTTCATTGATGAAATCATCATCTTGATCCTGATCCTGTTTTCTTTTCAGATGCACACACACACAGAACACTTCAATAAACAAGCAGATACAATTAGCTCATTATTGACGTGAATACCCTTCATTTCTCTCCTCCCCCCCGTCATCCAAGTTGAACGGTCAAGTTCAAGTTTTTTTTTCTTTTGGCCATAACTTCAACTTAATTCATTCAATACAGAATGAAAAAAAAAAAAAGGGGATCAAATATTACAGATCACGATTTTCTAATTTGTCATTGTGGTCATACATATATGCTTTTTTTGTTAGCTTGATGAATGAATAAATATCGAAATCGTTATCGAAATGAAATAGTAAAATAGATTGATTGACCAAAGAGAAAAAAAGTAGTTAGTATGATTGTATAACCAAAAAAAAAAAAAAAAAAAAAAAAACCCTAAAATTTAGAACAAGATTTAAAATAGATAGAATTACTGCTCTAGAAACTTGTTCACAATGAAAGATATAATGAATGCATTATCGAAGCTGATGAAAATATGAAAATTATTGTCATTAACCATAGCAAAATCGACATCAGTTATCAGAAGTAGCAAAAATGATGGTAGAAATCGTAATAAAAACAGTTCAGTATAACCAAATTTCAATGCTCTGTGTGCAAATTTGGACATCAAAGAAAAGATTAGATTTAAGAATTTGGGATGAAAACATAAATGTCATCTACATGCTTCATCAGTGCCATCTTCATCGATGTAATAATATCTTTATCAAAAAACAAAACAAAAGGATCAAATACAAACAGAGTTGCAAGGAAAGTCAATTATAACAAAATATTGATGATCCTCAAATTTTGGATTCTCGATTTAGAAACATGCCACACAGTTAATGACCGTCTTAGTGATCTGAATTTAAGAAATTCAATTTGAAACAACTGGTGGTGAAACAGTTGAATCTGAAAATCCAGTGATATCATCCCATTAAACCAAAAAGTCAATCAACAATTGATTCTTAAAAATGTTGCTTTTGGTGGTACCGAACTTGATCTCCATTCGACAATTGACCTTGGATGGATGCAAAATAATTTTTGAACTAAGATCGAAGGCTTGCCAAAATAACCATTGACAATATTATCGATGCACATCCTTCATGATGATTTGTGGATATTAACTGAAAGCCCTGTACGAGATTATAATCGTTGCGGCACAAAAGATTCAGACCATTTATTTGCCGAAAATATCTTGACAAAAATTAAAAGTATTGAACCACGAATCAATTTAGAACATAAGAAAAATGTGAAGATTGTTGCCAAAAATAAATCATTCTCATCCACCTACATCGAACAATGATGTATTGTAAGCATTGATCTTTGGGGTCTATAAATTCCATCATGCAAATTGGTAATCGTTATGCATTCTTGGCGGATTACATCATTCACTGACAAAGACAAAGTAATAGTGGTATGCAGATGTTATATGTATCAAGATATGATACAGGACAATAGATCAAGAAGATTGAAAGAAGAAGAAGAAGAAGGAAAAAAACAACCCTGTATATAGATATACCAATGATTAAAACCAAATCAGGTAAGGTAAAAAAGCAAAAGATAGTTCATTATCGTTGAAAATTTTTCATTCGTTCGTTTGCTCAAATGATAAAAATCTAGGAAAAAAAAATTCATTCTTAAAAAAAAGTTCAATAGCATCATCAATGATCAATGCTAAAGCTCGATTCCTTTTTTTTTGGTGGTGGTGGTGGTGGTTCACCCAAAACGTTTTATCTTTCTATATGTATGTTGGTGTGTATCCTTGTTCATTCTCCTCCTTTTTTCAATAAACTTAGTCGTCGTTTGTTGAAAGAATTTTCAATTTTCCTTCTTCTTTTTAACTGGAAAAAAAATCAAGTTATGGAAATTTTCATTTCTCATCATTGGTTATTGAGGAAATTTTTTTTCCATCATCATCATCGTTATCGATATTGATGATGATTGGATGCTCAATAAAAAAACTATTAGAAAAACAAAACTTTCAAATTCATATGATGATCAATTTTCTTTTGTTTCATATATATAGATGCTATATGCTGATTTATCGTGAAAAAAAAATTCAAAATTCAAAAAAGAAAAGCAAAAGAAATAAAAAAATGTCATGTCTATTGTTTTTATTGAAAATAAAAACATTTATATAAATAAAACAAAGTGCTCATCATCATCATCATCACTGTTTCAAACAACAAATACAGCAAAAAAACACCTGTTGATGGATCATTACATGGAAAAGATTTTTTTTTTAATTTTTGCATCTGTCAATTTTACGTTATATGTATGTGTGTGTGTGTGTGTGTGTGGATCGAATACAAGATACAAGAAGCTGTGCTTGTTTCCAAGTGTGTGTGTGTGTGTGTGTGTGTGAAATTGAGCGAAAAAAATCGACCTGTAATATAATAAAAATCAAATGAATAATAAGTGGAAAAAAAACGGAAAGCCACGAAACAAAAACGAATATTATGATTATGCTAGACGAAAATTGAACATCATGCCTGACTTACATACATACACACACACACACAATGATCTTTTCTGTTGTTTTTTTCTCGTCTTATCTTGTTGTTGTTGTTGTTTTTTTTGATGATGTTATAAAGTGATGAAGCAAAAAAAACACATCACTACTAACAGTGTGTGTGTATGATGAAAATATAACTCAATTAACACACAAACACAAAGATAAATGAATGTGAAAAGGTGAAATAAATGAAGAAAAAAAAATGATTGAAAAAAAATCTAAACAACACAACAGCAGCAGCTTAAAACCCGTTACATTCTACGTTATATTATAACACACTAATTAAAACCAAAAAAAATTATTTGTGAACAAAAAAATGATCAACGAAACAAAAAAACAAAACAACTCACCATTGAATGGCCAAGATATTCAGCTGCATTATCTGAAATGTAGAGCAATTTTCCATTCTGTGTCATCATCATGAGAAATCCATTTAATGCCTAAATGTTGGCCAAAATATTAAATAATTAATAATTTGATAAAAAAATATACACGTTTTTGTGCATGAAATTGGATACAATTTCCGATAATTAATTTATCGATCCTATTGATTAGATAATAATAATTGAAAAAAACAGAACAGAAAAGCTAAATCTATATTTCATTTGAATCAAAATTTTCCTGATTTTTTTTTTTGATAGCTTGCAATGATTTTGTTGGTGGTCTCAATTTTTGTTTGTGAAATGAAAAAAAAAAAAAAATTTTAAAATTAACAACCAATAAAAAATCAGGAGATGAGAAAGAGTTGAGAAAAAAAGGTAAAAATGACATGAAAATTTTTTTTTCATCATTCAAAAACACCTTAATAAAAAACTCACCTTTGAGAAACCAAAATTGGTCATTGACAATTGATGATTATAATGTTGTTGTTGTTGTTGTTGATGGTGATGATGATGATGATGCTGATGATGGTGATGGTGCTGATGATTATGGTGATGGTGATGTGATTGAATCAATTCATGTTTTCGAAATGCTAAACGGGAGAGAGAGAGTAAGTGGAAAAAAAAGTAAAATTAATTAGCAAAATTGAAGCAATAAAACAAAACGAACAGAAAAATCGTAAAATTGAATTTTAATTAATTCCAATTTTAAGAAAAAAAAAATTTTGAAATTGAATCACAAGAAAACTAAACGCACACACAAGGAAATGTTTTATTTATTCACATCCAACCACAGAATTTCATCCATTAAAAATTTTGCTCATTCAATCAATTCTTGATCCATTATCAACGCCTAAAAACCACTGTTGTTGTTGTTCTTAAATAAATTGAAATGCTCGCAACAAACGAAAAAAAATGTATTCCGAATAATTCCCATTTTTCTCTTGATTTTGACCTTAAATTTTTTTTTTGTTAAATTTAAATTTCGAGCACACATTAATAATCATTTCACCTGTTTATTGTGTGCGTGAAAAAGCTTGAATTTAAAGATGAAATGAAATAAAATTATGATGGTAAGAAAAAGAGAAAAGTGATTTTCCATGCATTTTATGATATTTAACCGAAAAAAAAACACAAATAACAGCAGCAATGATCATCATCACTAAATTGAATGAATAAAAAAAAATAATAATAATAATGGCGACAATGAGAAACAACAGCAAAGATTGTCGAGGTTAACTTCTGGTGGAACAAACAAACAAACAAACAAAAAATCCACAGACAAACAAATACTAACACTACAGAAGCCTGTTGAACTTCTTTTTATTTTATTCAAATAAAATAAAAATATAAAATAAATGAATGGCGAGAAGAAAAAAATGCAAAACATTGAAAACGATCTACATTTCTTTTTCCAGATTTAATTCATTGAATGGCCAAAGCTTAGCATTAGCATTAGCTTTATTCATTTACTCATTCAAAAATTCATTGAGTATTTCGTGATGATGATGATGATGATGAAGAATAAGCATCATCAATGACGATTATGAACGAGAAGTGTCAAAGTTTATTATCATCATCATTAGGGCAGTCGCCATTGCCACACATCATAATATGTATTATATGGTAATGATGATCTTTGTGGTAAATAAAATAAAATTAAAAAAAATCTCATTTAATTTAGCCCAAAATTATTTATCACACACACACACACACACATACATACAATCGTCGTAGCCATTTCCATTCATAGAAATTCATCGTACACATTTGACCTTTTTGAATCTTATACATTATCATTATCATCATTGTCTACACAAGATATTATTATTTCAGCATTTTTTTTGTAGACAAGTTAATTTCGAAAAATAAAATTATGGAAAGAGAATAGGAACATTAGGAACAAACATTTTGTTTGATGAAAAATAATTTGGACAATCATTGTACGATATGGACACCCCTGAATCCTATTAATACATAATATACGTGTGAAATAGATTGAAAAATAACGAACAAATAAACTAATTGATTCTGACATTCTACAGTGTGTGTGTATTAATAATGGATGGTCAACATTAATGTAAATTGACATTATGATAGATTTAATGGCTACCATAATCTCCTGATAGATTTTTCTTTTCCATTCACCAATAATTGTTCCTTATCACCAACACCAAAATCGAAACTAAATTGAAATTGGGGAAAAAAAAAAAGAATTTTCAATAACAAAGAGCAAAAAGTAAATTGAAAAATTGCATAAATGATCAATAACAGCAACGACAACAACAAAATGACATTTAAATTTGATCATCATTTCATTTCGGTATGATTATGATGATGATGATGATGGTCAGCAAAACAAAATAAAATGAAAATTTTTTTTGATTCAATTTTCCATCACATTATAAATTGATTCTTTTGGTCATCAACATTTTGACTATGAACTATCGAAACTGATTGACGGGATAATCATTATATTAAGCGAAAGACCATTAAGGGAAATAAGAATGAAACTAAAACCTTTTGTATTGTCATCTACATCGACATCATCATCATCATCATAATAAAAAAAACGATATTGCTCTCGGTGGCAATGAACAATCATTTTTTTCTTTTCTTCACTAAGGAAAAGAGCGAGAGAGAGAGAGAGAGAATGAAAGCCATGAAACAAGTGGAAAAAAACGAATCGTTTCCATTCCATGTAAAATTTCTTATATCGAAAAAAGAAAGAAAAATCCTCGAACTTAACGCGATGGATAAAAATGGCTAAATGCTTCCATCATCATCGACTTGATCAACAGCAGCAGCAGCAACAAAACAACAACAAAGATGCTATTGACCTTACCATTTTTTTTCTATTCAACACATCATTCAATTCTAAAAATTCATCATCATCATCATCATTGAAAATGGTGGTCATTTTCTTATTCAAGACAAAAAAAAGAAGAAAAAATTCTTACATTTGTGTACACGGGACCTGTATGTCGGGTTTGACATTCAAAACAACAAAACAAAACAAAACAAAACATAGAGATATATATCTCATAGACAGATGTATGATACATTGGTAGATTTATATCCAAACATACAAACACACAAGCACAAGATAGCAATCATAGATATAAATTTCTTTTCAATGTCAAAATCAAACGAAAGAATGGATAACCCAAAAAAGAAAAGAAAAAATTTCACTTTTCACAAACATCAAATTTTTTTGTTTTATTTTTTTTTTTGTGCAAACATTTGATCCATCCATCCATACATGTTAATACGGTATTATATGAGAATTATTATTCGACATTTAGAAAAACCACGCAAAGGAAACTTTCATTCTATTTTTTTTTTTGACATTTGTAAATTTTCAATTTTTTTTCTCTGTACACAAAACAACATGGTTTGACAGTTGCATATCATCACAACATTACATGGACACATCTTTCATTCTGGTCATTTTCATAATTTCTGTTTTTGTTTGTTGCCCTCTTCCTATGTTTTTTTCTTTTGGTCACATCATCGTCATAAGCTTATTCTTTCATTGAATCATAATGATGATTATGGTGATTTGAATTTTCTATCCAAGGTAAAGTGGAGAAAAAAAAATGCCAACCACTGTGAGGATACAGCTGGAAACATCGAATATAAATAAATAGCTTGAAAATCGTATTTTTTTTTTTTTTTGATCAACAAAACAAAAAAAACAACAACAACAACAACAACAACGAAATAAAATCGTGAAGAGGATCATCATCAGGATTGATTTTGGGAATGAAAATGAATTGTATAAATAAAACCCAAAAAATACCAATGAATAATCAATAGTTGATCAGATTTGAATAGTTGATTGATTTTTGAAAAATACTTCGATATTTCGTCAATTGAAAATATTCTTTCGATTTTCATTAATTGAACAAAATTTGAATATTTTGGAAAACACACACACACACACACACTTACCATATTGAAAATAATTTGCTTTCCGTACATATACACAAACTAATGCCATCAATTGAAGCTGTGATAAACGTTGTCTTGTTGATGATGGTAATGGCAATAGATCTCTTAGATTGGCAATCTCTGAATTGATCAGATCTCGTCGTAATTTTGATGCTCCTTTTGTTGATTTAGTTGCATCGAAGCTAAAGAAACAAAAAAAAAAGAATCAATCGATTAGTATAAATCTAAATAAATTTCAATTTTTTTTCTGTCTAAATATTGAATTAAAAATAAAAATAAAAAGTAAAGATCAAAGGTGATAAACACACACACACAAACAAACAGGTGAAAGGTGGCACAGGTTTTTTTTTGCCCACACACCGAGCAACATACACGCACACCAAGATTAAATTTTCGATATATTTATTTTATTTGTGAAAGAGAAATATAGAGAAAAAAAAACCAATCAAAAATAATCAATCAAAAAAATCTGAATGAATAAATCCGTACGATTGATTGAAAAAACTGGATTCATTGGAAAAATCCACAAAAAAAAATTGAATGAACTTGAAAAATTTTTGTACGTTTTATGAACATTTTTTTTTTAAATCAATTTAGATCATTTTCGATTTAGCAAAAAAAAAAAATTGATTTTTGTCATTACTATTCCCCTACGACCATATAGTGGAAATACTAATACAAATTGTTAAACAAAAGTTGAATAATCACTTGTTGCTTCTCTATATGTATTCAAATGTAAATATTTTTTTTTCTACATTTTTTTTTATTGAAATCCTGCAAAGATGATGAATAATTCAGTCATTCAGTAAGTTTTATGTGTCAATCAATAACATTTCAATAAACGTTGTTTGTTGATGGCAACAAACAAAAAATTAATGTTGGATCGTTCCATGAGAACATGATTGATAGGATGATGATGATAATGATAAATACCGTGTAAAACGAGTGGTTTCAAATATAAATATTTTGATGATGCAAAGAAAAACCAACAACAACATAAAATTGAATTTGAAACTCATCAATAAATTGAATGGAAATTGAATTGCAATGCACACACACACACACAAACATAAATTTCGTGATAAATAATTTCTCTTCATCAACATGATGATGATGATGATGAACAACACCTGTTTATCGATTTGTATTGTCGCCATCGATAATGATGATGATGCTCAAAATTATCATTAACAGAATGGCCAAAAGCAACAAGCGTTTGTTGCCTGTCTGTTTCTGAATATGTGTTCGATTCGATATGTGTTTCATTCTTCATTCTGAAAAGAAATTTTTGATTTTCCAAAAAAAAAGAAAATCAAATGAATTAATTTTCGAGCAATTAAAATGTTAATTACCATCAAAACAAATGGATGATGTTCAATATATCAATCAATCAATCGTTTTTTTTATGATTGATTTTTTTTTCATAGTTGTGTTGTTCGTCTATAATGACATTCAATCCAATTTCACAATATATACCTGTAATTATTGACAAAATCTTCATAATGTGAAAATAATTATTTTCATCATAAAAAAATCAAATTGATAATCATTACAAAAAAAAGAAAGAAAAAGAAATGCAATAAAAAAAAAAAAATGGAAATTAATGTGTTCAAGGTTGAATGTACACCATTTGTTTATTTGTTTGCACATGTCATTTCTATGTACGTACTATTTGAATGGCATGAAGAATCTTGTTTTCATTTGGAATTTTTTTTTTGGATTTTTCAATTTTTCAAAATTAATTTACATATAATAAATATAAATAAATCAAATGGTCATGATTAACTTTCTTAATGATGATGATCATCATCATCATGATCATCAATAATGATGATAAAGTATCAATTACAAATTATTTTTTTTTGTTCGAATTCTTTTCCTCTATGACAATGCCGCCAAAAACTACCACCAACAATTGATTGATTTTAGGAAAATTGATTTTCGAACAACAGCAACAACAAAAAACCCGAAATTCGAATGTTATACATCGAACGCATCAATCTAACGAATTAACTATCATCATCATCATCATCATCATAATCATCATCAACATTGTCAAAATCATCATCGACAATCATCAACACGCAATCTTGAAACAAACAACAACAACAACAAAAAATTCTTTTGTTCTATTCAAAAAGATAACAATCAGATCAGGTTCGATAAGATCCAATTATTTTTATTATTATTATTGTTGTTGTTGTTGTTTTGTGTATCGCCGAATCAATCATCAGAAAATAAAATAAAAAATAAAAAAATACGCGGTTTTGAAAACCACAACAAAAACAAAGTTGATGTTCATACACCAATGAACAACAGATTCATTATTATCATCATCATCATTATGTTAGTCAACAACAAATGGCTCAATTATCTTGTTCCTTTTGATGATTCGATTGATTTTGTTTTTTTTTTGTTGTTTCTACACTGTGTTTATTGTGTGTGGTGGTTTTTTCTGGTATTTTTAGTTATCTTTTCATAATAATACCGTGAATTCATCATCGAAGAATCGGTTATCGACCGAAGTAATAATACGACAAAAGACGAAACCGACATTGAAATTTCCGTAATGATACGATAATCAACTAGGAGGACTATTGGGTATTTGCCCTTCTAATCATTATCATCATCCATCACCTTACACAACAACAAATACAATAAAATTGATGATTCAACAACTGAATCCAAACGTAATTGTCTTCAACAACGACAAAAAACATTTGGCCAAATTGATTTAAATAATCCACTATTGTGAATGAAATTTAAATTGTCATTATTATCATCATTGGGATGATTTCTAGAAAAAATTTATTTTTCATATCAATATTTTGCCATCGATCTATTGATTTATTACGAGTATTAATGCGAGAAAAACCCTATATGAAAATGATCAACGAGCAATCAAATGTTGAAATCACATTTCGAAAAAAATGTCCAATAAATCTTGTTTGTGTGTGTGTGTGTGTTTTTTTTAGGGGGGTTAAGAATTTGAATACCTCGAATTTCTTTCTTTTTCTCTCACATTTGATTATTATCATCATCATCATCATTTTCAAAATGTGCAAATAACGTAATAAATCTTTAAATGAAATGTTTTGATGGAAAATTGCAAATTTTTTCTCATTTTCCCATCTCAATTCAAACACTTTTGAATAGTGAATAACCAAAAAAAAAAAAAATGTTGAACAATTAACGAAAAAAAATTTAATTTCCTAACAACAACAACAATAATAATGTTTACAAGAAAGATATTTACGATCTATTCGGTATTGGACAACAACAACTGAAATACCGAAAATAAGAAATTATTCACAATCCACAAACACACAAATCATTTGGTTGATGAAACCTTCCCAAAAACTGCTAAGCAATCAAACAAGCCAGAAAAAAAGATCAATTACCTATTATATAATAATATAAATAAATTCAGTCAATTCTTTATCAAGTTTTTTTTGGCCCTTCAAGATTTCAGACACACAGCATGTGTATCATAGAATCATCGATATGGACAGATATATTGACGGTTGTCAAAATTCGGATGTCAATCATCATCATCATCATCATTGGAATTGGTCAGAAGAAAATGGAAAATATTTTTTCAATTCAATTTGCATATTTGTATTTGTGTATATGGTGTGTTTGTAATATATGAAAATCCATATGTTTCATATATTGTATATTGTTGTTGACACGACAGTGACATTTACGCCTGTCGGAAACTGACTATAGTATTTCATAACCTTGATAACATTTAACTAAAAAAATGATTTTATTCAGGTTTTTTCTATACACACACACACACACAAAAAACTATTTTTGATTCAAAAGAGATTATCATTTTACTATTTTTGTTTTGTTTAGTTTTACATGAAATAGTAATATTTACCTGCACATTTGCAGCAGATTTGGTGTCGAAGCAAGCATCATTTTTTTTTGAAAAAGTAGTCTTTAATTTTACTTCATAAAATTGTTTTTCACTGTAGAATCAATCGATGATGATGATGATCAGTGATAATAAACGGATGTTTAAAACACTAACATATATATGATGTGAATGTGACACTTTGTATAAATGATGATCCAGATAAGCAAGAATTTTTTTTCAAAGAAAGTAAAAAAAATTGTGCTTTCAGTTTCAAGATATTAAATATGGATGATCAACACAAACATTCACGCACACACACACACAAAACATGAAGATTAACACAATGGGTTGAAATAAAGATGAAAATCGTGATGAATATCGGTACACACACACATACACACAAGTCGATCACAATCGATTCATGATCTAATCGACACCGTTTGGTCATATCATAATCATGATGATGAATATTGAATCATTGTCAAGGCCAACAGTAGCAAATATAATCGTTATACACGAATCAGGCGCGATTAAATAATAATAATGTTTCTGTACAATCAAGTACGTGACACGTTTGTCCGATGTAAACACGAAGGAGATGTAAAAATTTGTATGTACCACATATTCAACCCTATTCACAACACGATGATGGTAAAATTATTTGATAATCACCATTACCACCACTGTGGATATATATATTCTTTCGGTACCAGATGGAAAAACCGAAAAACGATTTATTTAAAATCGTGATTACACGATCGATGATGAATCGTGGCCTGAAATGTTATAATAACAACAACAACAACAACGATAAACTGCTGAAAAAATATTATTATTAGATATTCGTTCCGTATCGAACAGCAACCGAATGTAAACTGAATTATATCTAGTGCAGCCGATACGAATACTACCTGAGAATGATGAGATCACGAAGTGAACAAAACAAAAAATCTTTGCTGCTTCTGCTTCTACTGCTGTTGCTGCTGCTGCTGCTGCAACAATTTGAAGACATCGAAAACGGTGGACCTGTTGAATGAATGAATGAATGAATAAAATCTTATGAGAAAAAAAAATCTCAAATGAGAGAAAAAATCAGAAAAGAAAGAGAGACACATTGTGAGAATGAAATGAAATGAAAGAATCAACCTCAATCTTACCTGTTATTTGTGTGTGTGTGTGTCTTAACTGTTGATAATGCTACTATGATGATGATCATGGTCTAGAAATGGTTTCTTATTTTTTTTTTTTCGTTAATAACACTACAAAAAAAAGGTGTGCATCTTGTTTTCATCTCTCTCTCTCTCTCTCTTTTTTTGTTTGACCAATGTAGGGAAATACATGTAAGTCTGATTTGTTTTTGTTTTGTTTTTTATTTTTATTTTTTGTCCAGAAAATAAAACAAGATCATGGGAGGAGAAATCGTGATTATTATTATCATTTTTTAGCCAATAGAACTTTTGATCAACTCCTCTTTTTTTCGTTGTTGTTGTTGTTGTTGTTGTTGTTGTTAACACTGTTTACCGATTTATTCATTCATTCATTAATGATAGTTTTGTAGTTTTTTTTATTCATAGATTGAACTTGATAAAAAAAAAAATTTTTCATTCAAAACAACAAGAATTGATTTTGATTTGTCATCAACATTCGGTAACACCTGTTGAATGATTCATTCATCAAAATTGAATTCAAACCATTCTTTTTATTTGATCAATTTTAATTGAATTTATATTGAAATTAGCCTAATTTATTTGATAATGATGTTTGTGCTGATAATCTAATGATGATGATGATGATGAAATGATCAATTTCATCGAATCAATCAATCAATCAATCAATCAAAGTTGATGATTATCATCAACATTAACCAGAGAAAAAAAATAAGATTTAATCGTTTTCAAAACTAAATCATTTTTTTCGATTTTCGTTTCGATTATCAATCGATTAAATTATTTACAAATTAGCTGTTTATTGACAAGAATTATTATTTTTTCATATTAAAGTAACCAATAAAACGTTTGAAATTATTATCATTTTATATGAATAGACGTGGAAACATTTTGTATTTGGTGGATTCAAGCGAAAAAACAATCTAAGAAAAACAAACGAGAGAGAGAGAGAGAGAGAGAGAGAGAGAGAGAGAGAGATCAATAAGTCACGATCAAGCCGATATCCGACATTCAATGATGATAATCACTAATCATTGATTATAAAACAAAAATCTTCAATTCGACCAAGATTCATAGATCAAGCTAAATATTGATGATGACGTAGATTTTCCCTCCTATTACTAATAATTATCATTTGATGAAAAAAAAATTTGTTTAAAATTCATGAAATGAAAAAAAAAAATCATATCTCTCTCGTAATATCATCACCATATATCATCACCATGATCTTCTTTACGATTGTAGAAGCAATAATAATGAGTGTTATGAATTTTTATTATTATTCATCAAGATAAAGAAAAAAAAAATGAAATCAAAATGTTCATCTTGATTGATTATGATGAAGATGATGATCACAGTGATTACAACAACCACAATAATCATCATTTGAATATGATTTTCATTTCAATTTTTTTTTTTTCATTTCATTCATTTATCTTGATTGATAATTGAATGGATGAAATCAAATATAGGAAATGAAATGAATTGAAACGCAATGATGGTAGTGATAAAAAAAAAAATTTTTTTTTTTTTTTTTGAATAAATAACACTATGGTACAATATGATGATGATGATGATGATTATGGTATACCTTGATTGGCCTATTTATTTTCACATCCATTCATTTGATACAGGAAATTATCACTTTTTTCATCATGAAAAAAGATCAAAATAGAAGCACACACACACACACACACCAAACACACATTTAATCATATAGCATAGTTGAATCATAACCAATGATTATCATCATCATTATCACCATTGAAATAAAAAAAAAAAAAAATATTTTGGAATCACGTCCTAATCTCAAGCATTTCATTATTATTAAACATTATTCTTTTCTCTATTATTGGTTTGTTTGTGGAAAAATTTTTTTTTCCAATTTCAAAAAAAATTACGTATTTTATCACATATGGACCGGTTGAATTCAGATATATATCCTTTATTTTTCTTCGGCTTTGTTTCGGTCATTCTCCTCATCACTGATTTGACATTTCATTCCTTTGTTTTTCGTTATAATAATAACTATGTATGTGTGTTAGTGATAGTGGTTAATTGGTATCTTATTTTTCGGTTTTCCGTTTTTGTATTTTTTTTTCGTTTTATCTTCTTAATGTTGTTGTTGTTGTTGTTTTATTATTGTATAATCATGGCAGCGTTTTATAATTACCAATTCTAATTGTTGTATTTTGTATCATTAGTTTTTTGTTGTTGTTGTTATAAATGCTCGTTGAATCTTAATCTTATATTATTATTATTATTACAATAAAAATGAAGAAAACAAAGGTATAGGATTAGATATAAACAGTGTTAAAGTGGGAGTGAAGAAAAATAACCGGGCCAAATATTATAACATCAGTATATGATTTATATGGTCTGATATGATGATCATAAAAAAATGTGAAAAGAAACAACAACAACAAAAAAAAAATTCAAACCTCAATTATATGCATCGTGTAATAAACATTTACACACACACACACACACTTGATTGATCATTCTCACTGATATAATATTGTTCTACACACACACACTTTTATATATTCATCCTGGATCATGAATCATATATATATATAGGTTTATATTGTTGATGATAATAAAAAAAATCTTCTTGTTATCTTTAACGATTCATCATCAAACGAGACAAATAAAAATAGGGAGAATAATAACAATGAGTTATTAACGATGTGATTTTGTTTTTTTTGTTTTTCATCCAAATTTTTTTTTTGCGGTTTTTGTTTTTGTTGCCGAACAAAATGATTATAATCTTATATATGTATATATATGATGATGATGATTATTACATGCACATACATTGATCCAATGAATGTTTGAAATCGAAAATAAATTGATGAATGAATGGATACTACCACACAATATGCTTCATAGTGATTTTTTTTTTTTTTTGCCTAAGAAAAAAAAAATTTCAATGAACCAATTATTGTTGTTCATAAAACAACACAAAAGAAAAATGAAAAAGACAATAGTCTATGAAAATGGACTTAATAATTGATCTTCTATTGATTAATCCACACGCACACATTAACTTGTTGTTGCTGTTTGTTGCGGCAATAATTTTTTTTTTTTTTTTTTTTTTGACGATTGTGATTGTTATGTTTATCCTTGTTAACTGTATTTGTATTGTGAGTTTTGAATCTTAATATACATGATGATGATGATGATGATGAATTATAACCACATAAAAAAAACAAGAACAATTATTACATAGATATCGAAGATCAATGATAATAATCACCACAAAATATAAATTATTCTTAATGAATGAATGAATGAAGAATTACTATTTTGTTTTCTCGGCCAAATAAATGAACGGCAATTATTATTAATAATCGGAATAATTTTTTGTGAAAAAAAACAACAACAATGAAATCCAAAATTTGATGCTATATGATCCTATTCCATGTTTTATCATTGAAAATCATTATTTATAATTATCTTTTTTTTCTGAATCTTCTTTCAAAGGTTTTTGTTTTCATATTTTCTTTTCTTTTTTTTTGTGGTGATTAACATAATGATGGTGATTATAAATTGTGTGTATATAAAGTGATTAAAACCGAATGACCTATAATATAATAATATGGACGACATATATATAAATGAATGATTCTTTACAGAAAAAACTCTGATGATCGAGTTTATGGTTGGCCATTATCATCGTATTCATTTTTTTTTCGTCGAAAAACGAGAAATAAAGTCGATTATGTATGATGATGATGAGGTTTAAAAAATCTTGTCCATTTTTTTTCTCCAAAAAATATTATTTATGCATGTGTAACAAACACACACACACACACACATCGTGTGTTTCATTGATTCAAATAATTAAAATGATGATAAACACAACAACAACAACAACAACAACAAAAAAATCTATAACCTATATCAAAATATGTTTTTTTTTCGCAAAGAAACAAGCCATAAAAAAAATTCGAATCTTTAATCTTCATTGGATACTTTTATCTCTAATTATTTATCTAATCTTGAATTTTCCTTAAATCTCTCTACATATTTTTTTTTAATCATAATCATTCATAATGATAAAAAAAACCAACCTACATGAAATGTAATGTGTGTATATATCCTATATATTGCGAGAGATAAAGAAAAAAAAAATTGGTAGCGTCAAAGAAAATGAAAAAAATGATGATGATGACCCGAAAAAAAATCTATAATAACCGATCTTGTTTTTTTTTCATTATTATATGTCCGTATTGTATAAAATATTTCGAAGGATTAATTGAAATCCAAACCATAATTAATCAAATGGCTTGTTTTTGTTGTTGTTGTTGTTGTTTAATAATAATCATTAATCGTTTTTTTTTGATTTTACAACAATTTAGCTTCAATTAATTGGGATGAATTGAAATATTTTTTTTTTCGTTGTTGTTGTTGCTTTGAAGCCAATTCATGCAACGATGTAATAAATGATAATATGAAGAACGTGCCAATCAATCGCCTATAGATCGCTGATCTATGGATAGATGGATGTATCCGGATCTATTTGATCGCCCATTATATATATTTTTTTTCGTTCTATGAAAATGATCATCATCATCATCATTATCATCAGTTATAACTTGATCCTTTTTTTTACTGTTTATAAATATTATTATCATGATGATAATATAAGTAGCAGCAAAAAAAATTATTGTAATTGTAATTGTGCCTGAACGTCATTATTATTTGTTGATATTGAACAATTACAAGCAAAAAAAAATGTTATCATCAGTATCATCATCTAAAATTGTTCAAGGTGGTAGTTTTTTTTGGTTGATTTAAATTCAATTTTTTTTTAAATATTAATGATGCTTTGAAATTAATGAATCCGGATCTTCTTTGCAAAACACACACACACACACACACACACACACTCATTCATCATAATCATTATTATTGTATACAGGTGATACTCAATCCGTTTGTAGGGGATTTATCTGTAAATAACTAAAAATCTCTATATCACACTATGTCTAATTTGCTAACGATGAAAGAATAAAAAATCCTATAATCCGTTACATCTATCTAGCTATCATTTTGAGCCAATTTTTTTTATCGCTTCTTAGAAAATCGATTCCTCATTAGTCTGTTGAACTCTTGTTTTGCAGAAAAAAATTGAATATTTGAAATTGAAAAAAATCAACAACAACAACAAAAATCAGACAGATCATCAATACTGTTTTTTTTTTCGCTGATATATATGTTGCTTCGATTCCAGCCATGATGGATTCAATGAAAACATTGAACTTTAATGTGATTGAAAATGTTTTCTCTTGATTTTTTTTCTTCTAATTAAATTTAATGTATTTTCCCGTTTATTTTTTTCAATTTATAATCAAAAAAAAGTCTAATTGTGTAACAACGTTTTAACGGGTAAAGATGATGCATAAAAATGCAGTCAACATGAATATAGGTTATATTCATTTAATTAACATTCATTTTATGCATCATGATGATGATAATAAGATTATCATCGATCTAAACGATTGGAACGAAATGTCTACTGTAATTGGAAATAATATTTTGCTGCTGCTGTTGTTGTTGAAATCCTATGTTCACCAATCTATCGATTGGCGAAAAAAAGACAAAAAACAAATACAACACATTCCAATCCAAATGCGAATTTAATTACTTATTTAATGTTTCAATGAAATTTTGATTCGATGAATTTTTTTGTTGTTGTTGTTGTTATGATGTTCATCATCTTTCGATCATGATCAATCAACATATTCAAAAATCGTTTAACATGAATAAATGATAATGATAATATGTGAAAATTCCAAGAAAGGGTATATTCGATCAAAATTGAAAAATAAAATAAAAAAAAATTAATCGAAAAATTTTTTCCGATTAATTTTTGTTTGTTTGTAAAATTTTTTGTTTTTTGTTTTTAAATGACTTGATAGCCGATGAGTTCTAATCATCGAAACATCACCGATTACATTTGAATTGGCCAAAAAAAAAATAAAAATGGCGTATGGGAAATGATCACATCGTATCCATCCATCTCATCTCATCTCATCTCATCACATCCTTATTCACTGGCTAAAAACAAAACAGAAAAAAAATCTCTGATGATGATGATGATTTCGATTTGCTTATAGCCATTATTTATTTTAGCTAATAATATTTAATTAAATTACGTTGTCACGAATCGCTGAAAGAGAGAGAGAGAGAGAGAGAAAAAAAATCAACCAACCAACAACAAGAACAAGAAAATTTTCATAGTGATGATTTGACCGGTCTTTTCATCTCTTTTCAGTGATTGTTTTTTTTTTTTTTTTAACCGAACCGAATAGCCATATTGAATATATATGGAAAAAAAGTGCAATAAAAAAAAATTTCAAAAATCGCTTACTTGTTATTATTGGTGCCATACTTAAACATAGCTGTTAGCTAGGTTTTTTTTTCTCGAACCGTCTTAATGATGATTATGACGACGATGATGATGATGATGATGATTTTTGGCCTAAAAAACCAACCAATTCAAAGATGTTAACTGTATATAGTGATATGAAAAATGTAAATCGAGATTCGGGATTTGGTATTTAGCCAATGTATATTTCAAATCATAATAACCGAAAATCCATAAAGCACACTTGTTGCTGCTGTTGTTGTTTTTGTTGTTCACACACACACAATCCATTGGGTCATTCATCTAAAAATATCTATTAATTTAGAATTGAATTTTTTTCCAGTTAATTTTATGGCCATTTTTTTTCTTCCTGTATTTAAACAGAAAAATAAATTGAAATTTTTTTTTTACTTGGAATTCAATTTAAATTTCAATCAAAAAAAAAATCCACGATAATAATGATTATGATGATGATGATTGAGATGTGAGTACCAGACAGGAACGTGAAACCTTCAATTTTCGTTTTGTTTGTTGATCTATATAATTCCGATCGATCAATAATGATCGATATGTTAACGTTTTATCATTTATAGTGGACTCTATATACTAAACTTGATTTATAATTAAATTAATTGAATGAATGAATGAATGAATGAATAAAATGTAGACAAATGAAATAAGAGAACAGATCTTGAACCTTGTTTGTCTTGTTTTTTTTCGAATCCCTCATTATAATTAATGGCAACAAACAACAGGTAAAAAAAACAATTGTTTGATTGAAATCCAAGGATTTTGAAAATCAAAAATCGAAAAAAATGATACACATTTGTTTGTAAAATTGTCGTTTTCGTTGTTGTTGTTGTTATTGTTGTTGTTCACTTGATTGATTCGAATTTTTTTTTTCTATTCCATGAACAGAAAAAAACACCAAATTAGATTCGATTTGAAAAATTTTTGACGCATCCTCTTTTTTTTATTGATACAAAACAAAAACCCCATTTTTATACACACATGAAACAATACAACAACAGGTGTAAACAAAAAAAAAACGTTTATGATGTTGATAATGATGATGATGATGATGATGATGATGATGGTGGAAATGAAATATTGTGTTTTGACTAACAGAAGCTTTTTCTGTAAATGAAAATGAATGAATTGAATGGAGAATTGCATTGAAATAGCTGTCAAGTGAGTGTGTGTGTGTGTGTTAGAGAATAACTTCTTCAAAGATAATTATTATTGTTTTTTTTTGGAAGAAAATTTTTCTGTTTATATGTGTATGATGACATTCATTCATTCATTCATTTTTTTGGCAAATTTTCTTTTTCCTATTCGAATTCTTTTCATTTTTGTATTTATGTTGCGTCAAGGTTTTTTGTTTCAATTCAGAAAATAAAATTAAAGAAATTTTCATCAAAAAATGACCAGATGTTTGCATTTTCAGTTCCAATAATAATATAATGAAAATTTAAAAATTCTTTTTTAAAATGTTTGTTTACTTGTTTATGCAAAAACCTGCCATCTATTTGAATGAATTGAAGCTGCATTGTCATTTTCAGTCAATAGATGGCATTTGTGCAAAAATTGCTGATTTTAAATTGAATCCATTCATTCTTTTCATTGATTCATTCATTCATACAAGTACCAAAAAAATACAAAAAAAAAATCAAAATATTTATTCATCAATCAACAGGAAAAAATTATCTTTTAATCCATTGTGTGACCTGGACAGTGTATTAACGATAACATAATCATAATAATAATAATAAGAATTGTGTAAACAGTGATTAAAATTATCCAGTGAATAAAGAAAATCTGACTATATAAAGATTCTTATGATATAATATAATATAATATTCCGGACCAAGAAAAAAAAATAATAATTATAACAACAACAACAAGAATAACAACAACATCATCATTATTATTATTATTATCATGCAAATTACATATTTTTTTTCGTTTGTTTATTTTCATTTTGGAAGTATTAAGAATAATAATAATAATCAATCAGTCTATGTGTGTGTGTGTGTGTATGCTGTTGAAAGACTATATATATCAGTGTTTACAATGAAATGAGACTAATCTTTTTTTTTCATTCTTATTTTTCTTCTTACTCCTCTCGTTTTTTTTTTTTGTGTGTGGAATCTCATTAATTTTGATTTTGAGCTTTGTTATTTTGATAAAAAAAATCTGTAATATAAACCAGTGACAGACAAGAACAGGAAGGTAAATCATCATATTTTCAATTAGTTTTCAATTTAATGTGTTTTTGTGTATGCTTGTCTGTCATAAATATCAATGTTTCATCTTAACAATATTCTTCATTTAGCCCATGTGTATATTGTTCTTTTTGTTGTTGTTGTTGTTGTTGCTTCATCCACAAAGAACAAAGAAGAATATTTGAGCAAGAATAATGGTGATGTGTGCTTTTAAATGACACATTTTTTTTATTTATTTCTTACTTTATCTCGCGCAAAATGTCCACATGGACAATTCACGCTCCATTGTTAAATTAACTTGAATTAAAATGTCAAAATTAAATGTGTTCATTTTCTCTATATTCTTCTCATTAGCATACACATTGTTGTTGTTGTTTTTCATGTTTGGACGGTTTATCGCAATAAAATTTTTCAAATTGAAATATAAGATCATCAGAAATGGAATAATCAATATTTGAAATGATTTCTTCCACATCAGCTGGTAAACGTAATAACGATATATCGGAAAAATCTGAAAATAAAAATAATAATGATGATGATTAGGGCAACAACAACACATTTATTGTAAAAAACGTACCGAATTTGGCAAAGAATGTTGGTGATAAAGGCAACGAACTTTTGAGATCAAGACTTTCTAAATTACCAGATAATTTCAATGTTAGATTCGGCTTAGGTTTTTGTGGTTTCAACAAGCCAGTAACGGAAATAGCAGGTGAACTCATTCTCCTAAATGATCGTGATGGTGGCTGTAAACGATTTTTATTTTTAAAACATGTCGGTAATTCTGATAACGTATCTGTTTCCTGTTCAGATAGGTCTGAACCTTCTTCTTCTTCTGAGCTATAAGTTCGATTCTCCAATGTTGATCCTATTGTCGACTGGATGATCATTAAATTTTGATTATCATCATTATCATGTTCAACTTTGATTTGTATTGAAGTGGAATTAATATCAATGTTTGATTGGTCATTTTCATTTTTATTATCATTATTATTATTTGCCGCATCAACTGGTGAAACACTAAAACGTCCTGATTTTACTGGTCGTTCCCATGATCCTAAACTGGATGTACGTGCTAAAAATGGTTTTTTACCAATGTTAATATTGGAATTATTATTATTATCTTCATCCGCAGTTTCAATTTGAATCGTACTATCACAGGTATAAAAGTTATTTTCATTTTCTTTATTTTCATCATCAATATCATTTTCAATTTCTTGATAGACGGAAATATCACTACGTAAAAATCCGTTTATAATGAAATCAAAGTCATCCAATCTGTATTCGATACAATGTTCGCTACAATAGCTATCGATTTCTTCAAATAATTGTTGCAATTCTCTCTGTAAATGTTGGCCATCATTTTGTGGTACGAATGCCAATCGTATAATATGTTTGTTCATTCTTATCGCATCACGTAATGCTATGACACCATCCAAACCAATGTCATTCAAACTTAGATCGATCGTTGTCAATATGCTATTATTACGAATAATATCAGCGATAGCTATGGCGCCTATTTTTCCAAGAAAAAATTGATTAATCTTTAAAATCAGATGGGAAAATCCAGTTTCGTTATATATTTACCTTCATTTGTGATGTAAGTAGATGATAAATTCAAATATTTGAGCGTTTTTGATTGTAATAAACCTTCTTTGAGGATTAAAACACCTTCATCGCCAAGAGAATTGTATGATAAATCCAGACCGATCAATGATCGACATTGAGACTTTGTTTTTTAATTAAAAAAAATGGTAAAATAAATAAATACATTAGCACTTGACTTTTTCCTATTTGTTTGGATGCAAATATACATCAGACATCATAAATAAAAATGCAAAAATAATAATAAAAAAAAATTTATTTACCAATGTTTGAGCCAATCTATTCATAGCTCTACTTGAAAGTTGATTATTACTAAGATTTAGTATCAAAATACCAATATTTTGTGACATTAAATTATTTGTTTGTGATTTGGATGGATCAAATAGGCTAAACATTGAACTGGAAGCAGCGGTTAATGGTTGATGTGCAAGACCTTCACAAATATGATCTAGACCAGTGTCTTGAATGAAATTATTTCTTAGATCCAATACATTAAGAATGCTATTCCCACGTAATAGATTTCCAATTTGAACACAATCAGCTGAACCGATCTTATTTTCACCCAAATATAATTCACGTAAACTAGTGTTGAATTTTATTGATGATACTGTATTTTGGTATCGTTATGGTAGTAGTAGTAGTAGTAGTAGGAGTAATAAATCATTATTATTTTACTGAACGGAAATGATACTATGAATTATTATTATTTTTATTACCTAATATTGCCAAACGTCTTCCGAAAAGACCTGCATTTTCTAAATGTAAGGTGACCAGATGTGAACCAACACGAATAGTACGACCCATAAAAAGTAATATTTGTTCATTTAGGCCTGTATTACTAAGATCCAAATATTGTAAACATGATGTCTATTGATGCAAAAATATTTTCAAATATGAAAAGGAAATGGTAAAAAATGAATTAATTGTAGTGACTGTACTGAATCAACATCATCATTATATGCTTACTTTTTTCAATGCACGACACAATGCTTGCCATCCAATGATACCGATTGATTTATTATTGGCAATGGACAAATGTGATGCCGATTCATAAAATTCAATCATATCGAACAAAGCCGAAGCACCCTAGTTATAGTTATATAAAAAAAAAGAAAAAAAATGATGATGATGATGATGATAATAACAATAATAGACATTCAACAAAGGAAGATTAGTTTTTTTTCCAATATTGCTATCATTATTATGATTATGATGATGATGACAATGAATTCTAAAGCAAATAAATGCTAAGAATTTGGCAAAATTGCTTCTAGCCTTCCACTAGGAATTAGTTATATCTTGATTTTTTTGCTTTGTCTCTGTGATGCAACCAATCAATACAAAAAAAAAGAATGAAAATATAAACTTACGTCACAATCAAGATCACATGAATCAAGATCAATAAGACGGAAAAGAACACGTTTTAGAATCTCTTCCAATGCTTCACAATGATGTGGATCCAATTTTTTTCCTATTGTTTGATGAAATGGAAACAGAATGGAATTAGATATTGGAAAGATATATAAATTTTTTTGTCATGTTCATACAAAAAAGTCAAAAAAATCAACAACCAAAAACTAGAATTACGATCAATGTGAATAAATCGATTTTCGTTATAAAAGTTTGTCCATTATTTGACATAATCATCATCGATGAAGAAAAATGCCAATAAACATGAATATATAAAGAATCATAAATCATCATCAACTTTATTTTTGACTATTAGTTCTTTTCATAACATCATTATTTAATGGAGCTTTTCAAGTTTTATCTTATCGAAGCTAAGTAAAGTTATCCATAAATTCTGTAGTCGAATAAGTAGTTGAAACTATCGAATAAAAGGATTGGAATCGATGACATTTAAAATTTTCGGTTCAGCCAAATTTGTATCGAAAATCGAAATAAAACATTTTTGGATATTTATTCAAATTGATTGAAAACCATTTGTCGAAAAAAACAAATTTATAATTTGGTTTGTTCGATTTTTAGTCGAATTTTCGTTCCCTTTGTTGATCTGTTGGCATTTTTTTTAATCAAAACAAAATTTTCACAAATTTAAATGAAACACAGAATTGCAGACAAAAACGGAAAAAAAATTCAGCTGAAAAATCAGGAAACAAAAACAGAATTTATTTATTCTTCTTCTTTGCATATACACAAACATATGTCAGGCATTTTTTGTTCATTTATAAAATTTTGTCTCTTTTTTTCATGTTTATATTCATGTTGTATTATATAAAATTCCACAACAACAACGACAACAACAGCGACTGCTGTTGTCAATTTTTTTCTTTTTTGTATAATGATTTTCACATTTTAAGAAAAGAAAACCTTTTTTTTCTGATTCACATTTTTTGTTCTTACTTTTTTTTGGCTGTTCATGTTTTTTAGTCATCATTTATTATTCAGACTCAACACACAAACTCACAAGCGCAAAAACGGAAGAAAGAAAAGAAAAAAAAAAAAAATTAAAGTTCATTAATGCTTGAACACAAAAATGAAATGAAATGTGTGTGTGTGTGTGTGTGTATGTTTGTCTTTCACATCGTTGATAGTTGATTATCACATCAACGACTATCTCACATTAGTAAAAGAATCATCATCTTCATCAACATCATTAACCAAATTCAGATCTTATCAAATATTAAAATGAAACATTTATTCTGAACATTTTTCTTTTTCTTCTTCTTTTTTTCCCCTCTTTTGGAACATGGAACATGTGATAATTTTCATTTTTTTCTTAGTTTTCTCCTCTTTTTTTTTCTTTTGACGTTTGTATTGAAATTTTTCTTCTTTTTCATTATTATTAACTATTGACGACTGATGACTGACTGTTTTGTGCACTAAACTTTTCCTCTTTTTTTTTCTTCTTCTTCTTATGCTTCTTGTCAATTATCGTAATACTGTCATATTTGAAATTTTTTTTCTTACTTTTCTTTTTCAATTGACAAAAAAAAAAGTTTGTAAAGGCGATTTTTTTTCTCTTCGTTAGGTTTGGAATTCAATCTAAATCAACTTTGAATGAAATGAAATTGTATTGAATGAATGGAATGTCTTTTGCTGACATAGAGAGAAAAGGAAACTAGAGAGAACGAATGAAATGCAAATATACTTTTATATTATGCGTTCGATTGGATAAAATTTCATGGACATGTGTCTGTTGTCAGCGTCATCACAAGCAGCACAATCATCATCAGAATAAATGAAGCGGATTAAATTGATTTTTTTTTATCGTTAACATTCTTACTGGATATATGATATTAAATGATGAAAAATAAAATGGCCAGAATTATTATTTCGGCCAAAAAAAAAATGTGTCCCAATTTCAACAACAATTTCGGTTCACAATGAATTTTGAGAGCTAGTCATAATAACAATAATGATGATGATAGCAAAGGTGGCCAAAGAAAAATAAGATCGATAGCCATTATTATTACACACAACACACGAAAAAGTAAAAAAAAAATTCCGTATCGATTTTGTTTGTTTGTTACTAGTTTTTGAAAAAAAAACGAATTCTATGACAATATAAATAAACTATAAAATAAATTTATTACAAACAAAAAAAAACGAAATGGCATCGATTATTTTAACGATTTACGATTCTTACGAAATGAAATTTATGATGATGATGATTATGATCATTTAAAATTAAAATTTAAAATTTTTTTCATCATTTGATTGAAATTTCTGATTTGGATTAATAAAGATTTTTAGAATTCAGACTGTGTTTGCGCGCATTTTCTGGTCAAATTGATCAAAAAATGTAATATTTGACCATTAAAAGGAAAAAATCTTGAAATCTTCTCTTCTATTCTAGGCAACGAAATATTAATAATAAGATTAAAGAATTGAACTTTGAAAATTTCTTTTCATCGATAATCCAATAGCGTTTTTTGCAAGTAATGTTGACGAAAAGACATTCTGTCAAAAAAAACAACAACAACATTATAGCAGTAAGTGTGTGTGTGTGTGTGTGTGTGTGTGTGTATTCATCCATTTTATTCTTGGGTTTTTTTACTGATTCCAAACAAATGGAATGCCTTTGGTTTTGTTTTTCTTTTTTTTTGGTGAATTTCTTTGAAAAACAAATTTTTTTTCTGCTTTCAAAGAATCGAAGATGAAAGTAGATAACAAAACTGAACACAACAGCACAACCAACAACTTGAACGACGAAAAAAAGCGTCCTGAAATTTGATGCAAACAATAGCATCAGTATTGATATTTTTTTCCAAATTCTAACAAAGAAAAAAAATGTGTTTACTTATCATATCCAATGTGTGCATTTTTATTCAAGTTTCAAATTCATTCATTTTTTTTATTGTTGAAGAAAAAAAAAATTCTTCATACAGAATAATATGGCTTGAGAATGCTGTACAAATCTCAATTGAACAATAATAATCAAATTAAGAATGGATAGAAAAATTTATCATTTATGCCCCTGATACCCAAAACGATGATGACAGAGTTAGCCAGGGTTTTTTTGACAATTTTTTTCCTTTTCTCCCTTTCTTTCTCTCTCAATAGCTCTCAATAATAATCGCTTTCATAAGGGATAATGGAATTTGATTCAATAATTAATAAGAGTTTCATTTTTTTTTCTTCATTGAAATCGACATATCATTAATTTTTTTTGGAGATATTTGTGACATGTGAAAATAATGCACATTCTTATAGTGAATGGTAAATTTTGTGTTGATGGTGGTGATGATGGCCGGTGATCGAGTTAAAAGCATAAATGGATATCCGAAAAAAAGAATGTGCTAAATTTATACCAGAAAAAATTATAATCATGCTGTTGGAACACAACCATAGAATTGCAAACGTGAAAATTTAATTCTAAAACTTATTTCAACTTTCATTTCCCATTTTTTTTCAAGAACCAAGAGAGACAAAAAGTTTGTTACACACACACACACACATGGTGAGTTTTTTCTTCATCATTTATCTCCATTTAACTTGGTTCAGTGTTATAAATGGAGATACTATAAATGTAAAAGTTGTGGATCACCCACTCTCTCTCTCTTTTTCTGGACTAGCTATAAAGTACGACATGTCGATCCATATTCAAGTGATTATAATTCACACATACCCACACACACACACACACACACACACACACACCAAAGATAAAATGTGTTAGTTATTATAATGAAATGTATGCAAAAAAAAAAAAACAAAAGATGGAAAATTTTGGACATGTTGTTTTAGCTATTTGATAACGATAAATTATTCTGTAACTTTGAAATTCCTGTTAGTCATCATGTAAATCAAACGAATAATAATTAAACCAGAATAAATAACCAGAATTTTAACTGTCTGTCTTTATATTTGATGAGTTATAATGGCAACATATCAAGGCCAGATTTTTTTTTTTTTTTTTTTTTTGTAAATAAATTATCAACACCCTAATAATCATATATATACACACATAATGTATGTATAAACCGTCAATAACAATGACAATATTTTTGTCAACATTGTCGTCATTTGTCAAATCATCATTATTTTGTTTGCTTGTGTTTGTTTATTCTTGAAAAAAAACAGTTTTCTCGTTTCAAAAAACACACACACAAAAAAAGTTTGTCCTGTTTACCAATTATCACTGTACATAGAACATAGTGAAAATCAAATGACGATAAAATTAGATAACGGAAACTAATTACCATGAAACACATATACTCACATGTTCATGAACAGGGCGCGAACAGGATTTTTTTTTTTGCTTTCTCTTTCTATTTTCGTTGATCCGTTAATTAAAAAAAAAACTTTTCATCATCATCATCATCATTTTTTTTTCGTTAAACGTCACGTTCTCATTAATTATTATAAACGTATATGTGGTCAGAATAGTCCTATTTTACTAAACAAAAAAAAAATAGGTAAAGTTTTGAGGCCATTCAGTTGTTTTTTTCCATTTTAAAATCATTCACAGAACATTTTATTTGTGTTGACGCATGTGTGTGTAATACCTCTGTTTTTTTTGTTGTAAAAATTGAATTTTTTTATTGGAAAAAAATTTACTGCATGTTTCGCACAATAATAATAATAATAAAAATAATGATCGATTGATGAGAGTTGAAAAACAATTTGAAATGAAAATTTTTTTTTAAAAAAAGTAACATAAAAATTCACTTACCACGAAGTATTAGATCCTGTGCCCGTACACGAATCGATTTGAAATTCTACAATAACAATATTAAAAATGATGAAAAGAATAAAAAGAAATGGATGAATGAATGAATGAATGAAAAAAATAATAAGATTGTATATTGTGTTATTTTGGAATTTTATTCTATATTTCATCGGTTTTTTTTAAAAATTTTGAATTGCGTGTGTTACTGCTTTTTTTTTGGTTTGTGTGTCTTTGAATTAGAACAAAAAATGTTTTTTTCCATGTTTTGTTTTCGTTCATCACAATGAAATTTATATCAAGCCATAGGCAATGTAAACAAAAATAAAAAATTTACCTTGATTTGTTCCAAAACACTTGGTATTGGCTCAATATTTTGTTTGGCACATGCGTTTTTGAATGCATTCATAATGGAATCCAGATCTTGATCATCTTCTTCTTGATCAGCTGTAGCTATTTTGTGTGGAAAAAAAATGAATAAGAAAAAAAAGAGGAATAAGCATTGATGATAAAATGAATATGTGATGTTACATTCAATGTTAATAGCAACATAATCATTTCCTTCCTATTTTCAAATCATTGTATGGAAATCAAAAAAAAAAAAAAAAAAAATAGAAGGAAGAATAGTGACAAAATATGATTCCAGTGAAAATGTTTGAATTTCAATTTCGATTTTTTTTTCTTTATTGGCAACAAAATCATTTCATTTCATATTTGATACACGTTACTCAGTAAAAAAAAAAAAAAAAAATGAAATTAGTTTTTTCAATCGCACACACACACAGAGAGAAAAAACAATAGTAAAATGTCAAAACCAAAAAAAAAAAAAAAAATCCAATGTTTTTGATTGATTCTTGCCTGCCTGCTTGCCTGCCTGAAAATAAACTAATGAATTTGGTTTTTCCTTCATATTATTGCTATAATGGAATATACTGATTTATTGATTATACCGAATAACAAACAACCGAACCGAACCAAAAGTAATCGATTGAAAATGTAAACATGACAAGTAATCAATAGAAAGAAAAAAAAATTCAATCAACGACGACAACAACAACAACAACAAAAGAAACAGAAAGAACAAAAAAACAAAATGTTTCCAAAAGCGTAGAATGAATGAATGGATGGAGCCTACGTATTGAATTAAAATTAAATTTAAAAATTTTCCCTCGGAGAATTTGCGCTTCAGAAATAAAAGATAAAAGAAGATGATGGAGATAACCCATTATAATGATGATGGTGATGATAATGTTGATGTTTTTTTTCTATATTCGTTCATCATTATTGTATCGTTTTTTCACTTGAATTATAATGATCGTGTGATGAAAAAAAATAAATTCTCAGAATTATTTAATTTGGGTATTAATGTGTAATTAAAATATTCAGAAATTCTGGAAAAATAATCGAATGAATGAATTAAATGAATCCATTAGCATCATGATAATAATTATGATGACTGGTGGTGGTGAATTTTATGAATGAAAAACAAACTTAATCACCATAATAATACATATCCATTAAATAGCAATCAAAATATTCAGTTTATTCATTTGAATCCATTGAATCTTTTTTTCCATTTATAATGGATGGTCAAAAGTAAACAATTCTTTTTTTTTGCACCAAGTTTTATTTAATACTTTTATATTATGTCCACAATAAATTTGTTTGCACGCTAACACAGTTTCAAATTATGTTTGGAATCTCTCATTTTTTTTTTATTATTATTTAGGATGAATTTTTTCTCCAATTTATTCAATGTTTTTTCTCGGAATGTTTCATTTTTTTTTCTGTCGTCGTCGTCGTCGTTGTTGTTGTTGTTGTTGTTGTTGTTGTTTGTTGTTGTTGTTGTGAATATTTTTGCTCAACAAAAATAATAATGAAAATAAAGAACCAAAATGAATAAAAAATAAAATTGAATGACGTAAATGTGGTGAAAAAAAAGAATGTTGCCATTACAATTTTGTTGTTGTTGTTCATAGGGTTCATATTTTCAATGAATTCTAGCGTCTATAAAGTGTGTGTGTGTGTGTGTGTCTCAACTTTTTTTTTCTCTCCCAAAATGATGTTTATTTTCTTGTTGCCGTTGCTACTGCCGTTGCATTTTTGTTTACGATTGTTTGTTTGGCCTAGAAATGCAAGAATTATTTTTTTGTTTTCGCTTTTTTTTTCTTTTTTTTTTGCCTTTTTTTACACATTCTATCAATGTATAATGAAAAATAAAAACAAAAGAGTATATAGGGATATTTTTTTTTAGTAATTTATGAGCTTTGATGTTTTCTATTTCTTTTTTGCTTCTTTTTCATTGTCGTCATCGTTATATTGTTATATTCCATAAGAATGTTCCAAATTCCTCCATAATAATGATAATCACAACGATATTCACCATATGGAGAAAATTCTGTTCAATTCTGGTTATAATCAACGATGTTGAACAACATTAGCTATTTTATCGTCAAATTAAATGAAAAAAAAACAACAATGATATCATAATTGTGACAGCAGCCTATTATGATTATTTGAAATTACCGGGTTATTTTATTTTGACATTTAAAATGTTTGATAAATCAGGAAAAAAAACTTTCAAGAATCTCAAGAAATTTGTACCAGAAAGTAAAAATAAAGACGACGATAAACTTAATTTTTTCCCGGTAAACATAGTCTAGTTCAACATAAAGTTTTGACATTATTTTTTCCCTCCATTCAAGGGAGTGATTATAGTAAAGATGATGATCATCATTAAATAGACAAGTTTTTTAGTGATGAAAATAATGATGATGATGATGATGATGGTAATAACAGTGAAAAATAAAATTCTCTCCACCATTATTATTAGATTGGTATAACAAGAAGAAATAAAAAAAAGAAATGAATCATTTCCACTTTCCATCAGTAACTCGTTCATTCGTTCATTACATTATATACAACGAAATGTTTGTTTGTTCTGTTGGTTGGCCGGAATTCCGTATGTTATGATGATAATAAAATACACACACTAATACACAGATATATTGTTTACATCGTTTTTTTTCTATTCATTTGTGATTCAAAAAAAAAGTTTCAATTTATATATATACAAAATGTCTAAAAATCAACTAAAATCGATATAGTTATTTCAATTCATCAATGTTTATAAAATGGAAAGAAAAAAAAAATTTTTTTTTGTTTTTGTTTTTCTTACCAAATGGATCTGGTGCTTCATGATATCCAGTGACAATGGAATGATCTTCTGGAAATTTAACTGAACGAACCGTTTTACCACTACTACCATCTTTATTATTGACAAAATCATTGAATGAAATTGGTGTTTTTGTCGGTGATGATGGTGCCGATGTTGATTGATTCTGTTCTTTTGTTGTATCCGGTATTGCTAATGAAGTTGATGCTGATGATGATGATGAATCACTATGATTACGATGACGAGATGAATAAATCTCCATCTTTGATGAAATTTTTATTTATTTTTTTTTTGTTTCAACACAGAAAACAAATATATTATGTCCGTTTTTGTTTTTGGTTATGAAAAGAAGATGATTTCAAAAAGATAAAAAAGAAAAATCTTTGTATTTGATTAGTTGTTGTGACAACACACACACACACAAAAAAAAAACAAGCACAGATTTAAAGATTTTATCTTTCCACTTAAGATTTATATTGATTCAATTAGATTGATAGTAGGAAAACAAAAAAAAAAATCACAGAAGAAATTTATTGTATTCAAATGATGAATGATAACGATTTAAATTAAATTAAACAAAATCAAAACTTGTGATGTTGTATTGTATTGTTGTCGATAGATAAGTGAAATTTCTTGGATTTCTATCTATTTTCCAAATCCAATTTTGTGTTGTGGTTGCATTGGATGACAAGCGATACTATGCGATAAGAGATGTGAGCAATAGAAAATTTTGGTTGAAATCAATTTTGACAACAATCGACAATTCAATTTTTCAACTTGTTTACGATGTACAGTTATTATTATTATAAATTCAATGTTATGTGATGACTATGTATTATGTTGATTGATTGTACTTTGTTCATTGTCACATACACACACACACACACACACACACACTCAGAAAACAATGATGAAAATGGAATAAGAGCTTTAGAATTTTTTTTTTTTTTTTGTTCGTATCTCAATTAAACTTATGCATACTCACGCACACAACTTGATCCAGAAAGGAATCTCATTAATTTTTTTTCATATCCATTGCTTCGATTCATCATTATCAAGTTCATTTGAACTGAAAATTATTATTATTTTTTTTTTTTTTTCCATTCTTTTTTTCTATATTCTTTATTTATCATTTGTTCATGATGACAAATTAATGATGATCATGATCTAGTCCTTGAATTGATTGCGTGTGTGTGTGTGTGTGTGTTTGGAACATTGAAGAATGATAATTAATTTATAATCTTTGATGATGAATCTATGGAATTGTAAAGGTAAATGAAATGAAAAGAGAAAAAAAAATTATATTAATGTGAATGAATGAAATACAAACAAACAAACAAACGAAAAAAAAAATTCCGGATAAAATGAAAAAGACAAGAATAATCATGATGATATGAAGTTATTTTGTGAATGATTGATTGATTAGTGGATGGTTGAATCACCCATCAATTTGGATTGGCAATAAATAAACAAAACAAAAACAAAAAAAAATTAGATATGAATGAATGGACTATCATGACGACATGACATTTATTGTTTTGTTCCCTTTCATCTAAAGAAATAAAACTTTATTGTGCGTGTGTTTTCCGACATTCAGGGTTCCACCTATTTCTTTTCCATTGTTTTTTTGGGGGGGGTAATGATTAATCTCATCGATGATGAAACACTCGAATATATGAAACGACAATCATAATTGAGAATTTTTTTTTCTCTTCCACTTTTTTTTCTGCTTATACAATGACATTTGCGTGAGTTTGAATGAATGAATGAATCTTCGTGTTTGTTTGTTTTTTCTCCAATAATGGCATTCAATTTTTTTGACAAAGAATCGGAATAAACAATGAATGAATTCATTTCTTATTTCAAACAACATTCAAATATCAAAAAAAAAAAAAAAAAAAACATCAGCTATATATACCAAATGAAGAAGGATTTGTTTATTCTTATAAAAATAGTCCACAATCAATATAATAATGATGATGATGGTAATAGAAAGAAAAAGAGAAAAAGAAAATCTCCAATCATCATTCATCGGATTTTCAGATCCGAAAATATATTTATCGATTCAATTCACTCTCGTTTTTTTTTTAGTTAATGTATTAATATATACATTATTGGGTTTATGGATGATGAGAATAGCATTTATATTAATCTCATTTGTTAATGATTTTTGTCCATGATTTTCTCCCATACATCATCATCATCGTCGTCGTCGTCATCATTGCCCTTATGTGATTCAATATATATATATAATAACACGATATGAGATATTTGGAACAATAAAAAGAAAGAGAAAGAAAAATAAATAAATAAACAAATGAAAATGAATTCAATCGTAATGTATTATATGGGATGGAATCGTATTCATAATAGGAATTTTCATCATGGATCCATTGATTGTTTGCCAATGATGATGATGATGATGATGGCGAACAATAATTTAATATCCAATGTCATGAATGAATGATGACTAAACATTATATATATTTAATTAATTAATTTGTAATCATGTTCAAAAATAACTTCTGAAAACATCTGTCAAAAATGCTATTAAAAGGTAATGAAAAATCTTTCATTCTTTTTTTTTTTTGCCATAACAATGGTAACAAATATTCCTTATCATCATCATCATCATCATCATCATCTGACGACATTGATTTGAAGGTAGACAAAAAAAATTGAATGAAGGAATCACGATAAAAATAGCAACAAATAATGAATAACGGAAAAAAACTGTACATCCGGATCGATGATTGAAAGATTTTTTTTGTGTAATGTTTTTTGATATGTGTACGTGTAGGTGTGTGTGTGACTGGTATATGAAATTATTATTTTTTTTCATCATCATGATATATATGAAATATGAAATATCGACAAATCAAATTAAAAGTGTTTTTGCGTATATGTATGTGGTATGCATTTTGATTTATAATTTTCATGCAGAACATGAAAATTGTAAATTGAAAATCAGAATGCAAAAAAAAATTACTTTGATTAATTGTGTAATGGAAAACAAAAAAAAAAATTCTAACCAACATGTCGAATGGAATGGAATTCATAAAAGAATCATGAAAAAATTCCTAATAGTGAATTATTGTTAAAAAAAATTCTGCCTTTCAATCAAGCTGATTATTATTGTGGTATATATATATATATAGGAACTAGAATTTAAGCCATCAAATTGAAATCGTTGTTGTAGAATTAGGCTACATTTTTTTTCTCGTGTAAATGGTCCAATAAACCGAATAAAAGACACTACTATTGAAGATTTAGTCGATTTGGTTTTTTTTGTTCGTTTGATAATTCCAATGTTCTCTAATTTCCACTTTGAATTGAATCAATGGAACCATGAAATCGACAACATCGTCGTCGTTCTAATTTCACATAAAATTCAATAATATCGTAATAAAATTAAAAGAATAAAGCTTTTAATAGAAAAAATTCAAGTAATTTTGGCAATGAACAAACACACACACACAATCATCATGATGATGATGATGAAAAATTCTGGATCAATGGAGCTACAAACACACACACACACACATCGAACGTACAAATGAAACAAAATAAGTATCAGAATATTTGTCAGAATTGTCTTTATTGAAAAAAATTAATGGCAAAAACAAAGATTCGATCTTTTTCATCATCATCATCATCATCAACATTGAAAACAATAAAATTCTCCAATGTATCGAAAGTTTTTTTTCCAAAACACACATTCTATAGAATTGTGAAACATGAAAAATTTTTGAACTAATATAATATGATAGAAAACAAGATGAAATTGAAAAAAAAAAATTTTTTTTGCTGACCATTCAACATTTCGAAAATACTAAAGATATTGGTCCAAAACGAATGAAATTTGGTGAATGAAAAGAATCTCTCTCTCTCTTTGGTTGATATGAGATATGAGTATCTTTCTTCAACAAAGCATAACAAAAACAAAAATTCTCGCCTTCATTCAATCCACCCACCCACACACACACACACCATAATTCAAATCCAAAATACTCCTTCTAATAAAAACAAACAATATACGTGATTTGGTGAAGAATCACGTATATTGTTTGCTTGAAAAAAACGGAAACAAAATCAACAGAATTTTTTTCTAGACTAGATGAATTATAGAATAAATGTTGATTCCTATTTTTTCCCCAATTTTTTTCACATCGAATTCCGTTTGTATTAGTAAAATTTTCATCATCTCATTGACTGTGGGGTGTGGTATAAATCCTAACCAAAAAAAAAACAATACAAACAAACAATAAGTAGAATGAAAAAACTACGAAAATCAAACATGAATGAATGAATGTATAAAACGAAAGAATAAATATTAAACAAAAACAAATTCTGTGGCAACAACAACAAAAAAAATTCCTTTTCGTTGTTGTTGTTGTCGTCGTTGTTCAGATAAGCTTTTTGGCTTCATCATCATCATCATCATGTAGTAGCATAGTTGAATGTCATTAATTCTGTAGTTATTGTTGTTGTTGAATGTTGTTTACGTTGTCATCATCATCATCATTATCATTCGTTCAACATGATGATGTATATTAAGCCAAAATAGAAGAAAAAAAAATTATATTTTAATCACAAATGAACATCTATTGTAGAAACAAAGAAAATTTTGAACGAAAAAAAGTAATCATCTTAATCATCATCATTATATGGTGCGTATTTAGATGAAAACTAAATTGTTTACTACACTGTCATTGTGGTGTGATGTATCCAAAAAAAAATGATTATAAATTCAATATGCGAGCAAAGAATGTTGTTGTTGTTGTTGTTGTTGTTAATACATTGTTGGTTATTGACAAACAATAATAAACATTAAAAGCAATCGTGAACAGAAACCAGAAACCAAAGTCAATCAATATATGTCAATCGTAAATATATATATATAGTATGAATGAAAAAAAAACAAAAATTCTTAATATCTCAATGACAGTGTTGTGTATAGAGATTTTTTTTGTTCCTGTTTCATTTTCACATTAATATAATGAATAAACAAACAAACAGGATTGGTTGACAGAATTAATAAACATAATAATAATAGAAAAAAAAATCCGATTCTGAATCGAAATTCCTTGATTCTTGATCAAGCTTGATTGTGTTAAATTTTTGATTTTTCTAAAAAAAAAATATTCTGCACTACTAAACTAATGAACACAGAGAATATTTTTGGATGAGAAAATTGAATTTAGCTAATAAACAAAAAAAATGACATTTAACCTTTTTTATCAGGCAACAGCTAAGCCGTGAAATAAAAATTCATTAAATCAACATTTTTTATCGTATTATACACATTTGCATTTCATTAATAATTGACATATATATATACACATTGAGTGAAAGAAAGATGGATCATGAAAAATGTGATCGAGAGAATATTCTTCAATGTGTGTGTGTGCGTGTGTGTGGCACCTTGTTGTGTCGTTGCCTTGGATTCAACCGGAAAAAACGACGACGAAAATAACAATTTTTCAAATTTATCCGGAATATATTAAGTAAAAATTGGAACGAATTTTGTTTTTTGTGGTGGGGAGGGGGAACAACAACAAAATGTACATACAATTTATTTTTTTTCTGTGTTGTTAAACAATTTGTTGTTATTATTGTTGATGGATGGCTAAATGGATGGATGGATGGATGAAATGGAAGAATCAACGAATATTTTTCAAAAAAAAAAAAATTTTGGTTGAATGAATTAACGATGTGTAGTAGGTGTGTTTGTTTGTTTGTTTGTTTGTTGAAATTAAATAGATTTAATGATGTGAATTAATCGGTATATATATATAGATGAATTTAATCACACAAAAAACACATACACACACACACAATTCAAATGGGCAATGTGATCTAGAGTGAATAATCATCAGATACGATTAAATGAAAAAATCAGAAATGAATTCATTGTTATGAATGTTGATTAGATTCTCGTTTTTTTTTGTTGTTGTCGACATTATTTTTTATATATTTTTTGATAAGATATTTTATTCTTATAGACAAAGTTCGAGAGAAAGAAAATAAAATGAAAAAATTCCTACATCATTGACAATACAGTTACGTCTGCATTCATACATCCATTACATTCACTGACACACACACACACACACAAACACATTGATAAATACATTTACCCGACAATGAAAATGCCGAATTGTCGTTTGAAGAAAAAAAAATTACCCGACAGAAATAGACACACAGGCACTACTACTACTACTAGTACTGCTGTTGCTGCTGCTGCTGCTGCTATGGTTCCGTTGAATGATGGTAATGATGATAATAATGATAACCATCCAACAACATTAATATCCAAAGATTTAGCTTTCAATTATCACCACCGACACAAACATGATCATCATCATCATCACCTTCAAGCACATTTTAGTAACAAAGCAAAAAAAAAAAGTAGATTCAAGGCTGCAAATTTGAATGAAGAGAATAGAAAAAAAAGATGAAAATTTTCAATGTTATGAATCCAGGAAGGAAGAATAATATGAGAAAAAAAAATTATAAATAATAAAAATAAAAATTGTCCACAACCACAATCATCTTTATCATCGACAACAATAGCAAAATATAATATGAAGAAAAAAAAAAAGAAGAAGCAACTGAAATGAAGCCACCATCCAATAATCCATCCAAATTGTTTATTGACGTATATAATATATACAAACATACGACATACAAAAAGCATTCTGTTATGGATGGCGCCAACTCAGTTTGAATCATTATCATTCTGGATCCATCCATCCATTCATTCATTCAGAAATTAATGCTGTTAGCAAGTAAAAAAGTTGAAATACACTACTACTATCATCACCACTACTATTATTATGGCCAGAAAATTTTTTTTATATATACTAATTGTATGAATGAAATTCCAAAAAAGAATAGTAAAAAAAAAATGATATGATATATTTGTTGGTGTCGCCACCTAACACACACACACACACACAATTCAGAAAATAAAAAGATCACCCTGAAAAACAGTATACGAATGAATAAAAAAAAAAACAAACTGGAATAAAAATCAAATGGTGAATAATCCATTCAAACAAACATCAAGAGTTAATGTATTGTTGTCTTATTCTATAGTGGTAGTGTTGTTGTTGTTGTTGTTGTTTGAATCGATCATCAAAATATATGAATAGATGTATGAAAACCAAATGATGAAATAGTAAATTCTATTCATTGATTCTTGATGATGAATCATTGTTGAAGAAAGATGACCTCTCTCTCTTTTTTCTCAAAAACATTCTATGAACATATAGAATAGAATATATTTTATTGTTGTTGTTATTGTTGTTCATCATTATCATCATCATCATCGTCATTTTTTTCGCACTAAAGTGGACATGAACAATGAAAAATGACAGCATACTGAGTATAGTAACTACTAGTCTGTATGTTATATATGTATAAATCATAAAACCATAACAACCACAGTATATATTTTTTTGATGTAAAAAATTTTTTTTTTTGAAAAATGAAGTTGTTGTTGTTGTCAGTGTAAATTCTTTCAATGATGATATGATATGAAGTGTCACAAGCGGCCTGGAAACCTGCACTCATAGTTACATGAATTTAATTTTTTTTCTTTTCCAAAAAAACAGATTTGATTTGCTTGTAACGAAAAAAAAAAATAGAAAACTTTTCCATTTCCAACTAAAGGAACAAAAAATGATTATTATGTCCCTTGATATATAAAAAATTTATGTGAAAGATACCCAAACACGGACACAGACACACACACACATCAGGGAATCATTTTGGATCAATTTGATATGGCCAGCCACATAATTGATGATGGCTCTCTTTTTTCAGTTGAAAAAATTGTCAAAAAAAAAAAATCAATTTTATATATGTTACCAAACACTATACAAAAAAAAACGGGAATCTGAACTTAGTGATCTATCTGAAAGTGAATTTTCATTATTAGGCCATCAGGTAATTCAAAGGTGTGTGATTACAGTCAAAAAAAAACGAAGAAAAAAATTCTTTATTGAAAATAGAAAAGCATTAAAAAAAATTCCTATGACCGGAACTAGAATTTTAACGATGTAATCATGTTTGCGTAAGCAAACAAATGTTTGTGATGATTATGAACAACCAAAAAAAAACATCATCTCAATGGAATGAATAAAAGAAATTAAGCATCTTTATACATTTTCATTCATTACTTATCTAATTATCTTGAAATGTAAAAAGAAAGAAATGAAATGAGAAAATAAAGACCAAAACGTAACATGAAATGTAGTGTGTCCAAAACGTAAGTTTCGAATGAAAAAATTCCCTTTTGGGTAAAACAATGTTTGGTATTTTATTCTCATCATCTTCATTTTTTGTCTGTATTCATTTCGTGGAATTTATATCTAATTTTATTCTGAAGGCCAGAAACTTTTACAATTAGCTATGAATGGACAGAAAAATAATTGATGAAATTTTGTTGTGGATTTTTTTTGCTCATGAAATTATGAAAATTTTTTTAAAATCATCAAAATGAACATGGTGGTTGATGAAGATTTTTTTTTTTATCAAATTATCAAATGATCATCCACAATTATGATGATGATTATCATTACAAAATATATTCATATCTAATATTTATGTGGTAATAATTTGTTTCCATTCTCAAGGTTGAATTTAAATTTTTTTTTTGTTTTGTTTCTGTCTTTGAAAATTTATTACAACAACTCATTATATTCATGTGACGCCAGCGCAATTCATGTTGAACATTCAGGGAAAAAAAACCTAACCACAACTACAACTACAACTTTTGACATTTAAATTTTCAAATAAATTGAAAAAAAACGGAAATACAAATAGCGCCATCCAGTGTTTCGAATCGAAAACGTTTTCAAAATTTTTTTCACTTAAATTCTGTTTTTATTTATCATATAATTATATGATTATTAATTAGCATATATAAGATTCATCAACTATCTCAAATCAATAATAAACAATTTTGAATGAATTGAAATTGTAAATTCTAAAATTTGAATGAATCAATCAAGAAAAAAAAAATCATTGATTCATTCATTAAAATAACAAATAAGTTTGAATTTTGTTGTTGTTGTTTTTTTGATGGAAGACAAACAGATTGGATATAGAAGATAAGATATATAAGTTTTGTAATTGTCAAATGGAAGACTTGGTTGATTGATTGGTTTGGTTTGTTTTTGGAAGACTTTGTTTAAAATGTTTAAATTGATTGTTTTTTTTTAATTTTAAATGTAATGATGATGATTGTATGCATCATGATATGTAAGATTTATGATTGGTTTTTGTTCAAAAATGAAATCAAATTGGCATCGGCAGCATTTTTCATTTTCAAATCATTGTATCATAATCTACCGGTTTGAATACCCAGGATTTATAAACAGCATAACCGACGATAACCAAAATCGATACAATTACTGTCAATGTACCAACAACAACTGGTACACTATCATCTTGTTCCAAACTCACGTATAATGGTGCAGCAACACCGGATCCAAAACTTACCTGGCTACAACGAGATACTTGATTTTTTTTTGGAAAAAGGATAAAGAATTTTATGAATTATATTAAAAAGAACAAACAAAAATCCAAGATACTTACTTGGAGCAAATTTTCCCATCTCAATCTGGAATGCTTGTAAATGTACATTGGTCAAACGTACAACAACACTTGGTTTACCCGTTTTGATTCATATAAATTTATAATTGGTGGTGATGGACAGAAATATGATTTACCCATCATGGTTGTAAACATTCCTAATGATCCTTCTTTAGTACGTGCAACTTTTTTTCCACCTTGTACTGATCCACGAAATAATGAATCAGCAGTATTATACAGTAAATCAATCGAATTGACACCCCATTTTTCACCATCATTAACTTTTTCAAATATAATACGAAATGTAAAACCACCGATCCATGATACATCCAATACGGGTTTCTCATCCAATAGATAATCGCAACGTCCTTTTGCTTTAGCATCGATTGGAATTTTTTCGATTAATTGCTAAAATCAGCCGTAAACACAGAATAAATTAATTAATGTAACAAAATCAAAATAAAAAAAACTTACATGTGCACCACTTGGTGTATAGAATGTAATTGTCAATGTTGCTTCGAATTTAGCCAGAATACAGACCATTCCTTGTTCATCCCAAACAACATAACTAAATTTTGGTGCTGCTTGTTTATTGGCCAATACTAGATTGCCACCAGGTGATTTGATTGTCGAATTACTAATTGGCTGTTTGTGAAGAAGAATTAGAGTGTTAATAAAAATTAAACCACACACACACACACACACAGAATCGGTATACCTTTTTACGATTTGTCAACATGGATGATTGTGCAGTGATTATCATAATCAATTGCAGCAATATAACTTTTGGATGAAAATTTGTAAAAAAAAATTAAATTCATTCAATAAATCAATTAAAAATACACTTACAAATGATTGCAACCAGGCTAGCCCGTGCAATGATACAGTTGTATGATGTTACAGAATTATAATGGATAATATTCATTGTTGAATGATTTATTTATATATGATGATGGAAGCACTTGTTTAATTGATTTTTTTTTTCGTTGAAATTACATCTGACTATCATTGATGGATGCCTGGTTGCCAATAACACACACACACACACACACACACACATACATACAGGTCTAGCCTATCATATTTTATTTGACTCATTCGATGCTTATACAAAAATATTTTACTCCGCATCCAATTTTTTTTCATGTATAGAAATTCTCTTTGATAGAATTTTTGTTAACGATGAGAATGCGCCAATTATTGAACACTTTGAATCAGGTCATATTAAATTGTTAAATTCTGAACAATAGATGTCACTATTATCAATGGTCTGGAAATGAAAGAATTTTCCTTGGTAAAATAGTTGTGGTGATGTATTAGATAAAAAAAAATGATTTTATTGTTTTATGATTGTCATTTTCACGAAAATATAGTCTCATTTTGAATTAGGTTATGTATTAGTGTAGATCCTAGAGTTTGGAAAGAGAAACAAAATGATTGAAAATATTGATGATCAGCCAGCCTATCAAGCACAAAGTTCATGGACTGTTTTCCGTCAAATGATCATTCCGTTTTTCCTATCTGGCCTAGGTTGTGGTGCTGCCGGAATCGTATTGAATCATGTGGCTGAATGGCCAGTATTTATTGATATACCACAAATATCGATTTTGGTGCCTGCATTTATCGGTATGATCGGTAATATTGAAACAACTTCGGCATCACGTTTGTCCACAATCGCCAATCTTGGTCGAATGGACGATTGGAAGAATATCGGTAATGTTATAACCGGAAATTTTATGGTCATCGAATGTCAAGCATCATTGATGGCAATGTTTGCTGCATTAATGGCATTGGCAATATCAACATTTCGTGAAGCTACCAGGGACAAAATAACACTCGAAACGGCATTAATTTTGTGCGCCGGTTCGGTTGCATCTTCAATTTTGGCAAACACATTAATAGCATCGATAGTCACCATTCTGGTTATCATTGGTCGTCGTTTAAACATCAATCCAGGTCTGCGTAATATTTTAATTATGTATGAATAACAATGTAATAATTTTTTTTTTTCATGAGCAGATAATATATCTGCACCGGTTGCAGCATGTATGGGTGATGCTTCAACGGTGGCCATTCTGGCCAATGTTCATCGTTTACTATACAGTCTGAATCCAACATATCAGCTATATATTTCGGGAATTATTTTAACATTTACATTAGTTATTATGGCACCAGCATTTATATTTTTGGCTCGTCGTAACCAATATACAAGATCCGTAATCTATTCCGGTTGGATTCCACTTTTAGTTGCCATAATTTTATGTAAACCAGCCGGTCTTGTTATGGAAATATCAATGGAACAGTGGCCAGTTATATCAACATTTTTTCCATTAATTGATGGTGTTGGTGCTCAAGTGGCCGGTATACAAACTAGCCGTATATCAACTTTTTTACATACTACAGCTGAACATAAAACAACAGCAAAACAAAATTCTGATGATGTAAAACAAACAAAATGGTTTTTCAGTCCAATACATGTATTTTTTTCACAAGAAATTCATTCAAAATTAGCACGTATGTTGGTCATGATTACACCGCCAGCACATTTGATTTTCTTGGCCATTATTTATGGCATTCAACATTTATTGAATGAATCATCATTTCATTTTACAGCATCATTCATCATAATTCATTTGATTGCTGTATTTCTTCAAATAATCATATTATTATATCTATCATATTTAGCCGTATTTTGGACATGGAATCATAATATTAATCCAGATAATTCTGTTATGCCATTAGCAACAACATTATCGGATTCATTGGGAATTTTTTTTGTTACTTTAGGTTTTCACCTGTTGAACACATTGAATGATATAAATACATTGTCATCATCATCATCATCATCATGATAATGATAATTTGTTCTATATTAATAAAAATAGAACATTACATAATAAATATTATCGAATGATATGTATTGATCGATTTATTGATATGAAGTTTGAAGAGAGAAAATAAATGTTTCCATTGTCATTTTTTTTTTTTTTTTTTTGGTTAAATGCCAACAGAGAGAAAAAATCAATTATAATTGATAATAGATAGACATTATATTATCATCATCAACATCTTTTTTTTCGACCTTGTCTGATATATTATCATATATATGCGCTCACTCACACTCACACACACACACAACACAAGTATATCTTTTTTTTTTTTTGATTTAAATTTTCCTCATATGATCACAGGGTTCAAATCAATCAAATCCTAAAATCAAATGGATTGCAGACGCATAAAATTAAATCAAAAAAAAAAATATATTTTTGAATATATACGTGACTTTTTTTTTTTTGTTCAAGTTGTTCAACATATATATCAAAATATATTTCAATGTATAAACGTCTGAGTATTGATGATGATGATGATTTCATTTCATTTTATTTTATCTAATACGCATGTGTAAATTGAGGTGTGTCACGTATAATACAAAAAAAAATTGCCACTACTACGACTCCATTTTGATAATAAATAAAAATAATTGGATCTTGTTTTCTCTCTCTCTCTCTCTCTCTCTCTCTTGTTTTTTCAATGAATCACGATGTGTGTATGCGCACGTGGTTAGCTTGTAGCAAATGAAAAAAAAAGCATGTTGGATAAAACACGCCTGTCAAAATAATTTATATATATAAATCATGCGCAAATGATATGTGAATTCAATATATCCTGTTTTTGTTGTTGTTTATTTGTGATGTTGGTGGTGCATTTATTTTTTTTTTTTTTTTTTTGATCAAGTCGAATTTGAATTTTTTCAATTTGTTTGGCTTCTGTGTGTGTGTGTGTGTGTGTTTGATGATGAAATAAATATGGTTGCCAAAGTCATGCCTTTTAGTTGTTGTTGTTATTGTTGTTGATAATTATTATTTGCCCCTTTGATTGTATTAAATTGACACAAACAAAACGATGGAGTTGTTGTAGAGGTATTTTTTTTCACAATCGTAATTTCAACCCGAAAAAAATACAACAACAACAACAAAAAAAAAAAATCTTGTTCTTTACCCCAATCTATCCAAAATGTAAGGAGCCCCCCCACTATGATAACCAAAATAGTAATGACGACCATCTGTGTGTGTGTGTGTGTGTGTGTGTGTGTGTATAGAGGTCATTGATGATATAACTAATTTGATATGTTGAACAATAAATTTACCATTGAATTGAATTTTTTTTTTCAAAAATTTATAAAATTCAAATTCTTAATCATGATTTAACTCATTTGTCTACCATCATAGGAAAAAAAAGACGCTATCCATAAGACCAGTGACTCTCAAATGTTTCGTAGTCATCATTGCGTTAATATTCTCACGTGTAAACACAGTGTTAAAATTGCAAAAAATAAAATCAAAATGCAATTTATTAAATTCGTGCGTGTAAAAGTGGGCATCATTATTTTTTTATTATTAATTCATGACATGATGATGATGATTTATATGTCTATATATAATAACACAACAACAAAAGAGATTCTAGATTTCATTTCATTTTTTTTTATACAGAATGAACCCAAATTATAAATACACATTTTTTATTACTCTATGATCATCACATGCTTTCATCAAAATCATCATCAACAACATCATATTTCTCCAGAAATAAAAAATGCAAGACAATGACATATAATCAATGATAAAAAAAACTAACCAAACTGGATAGCGAAATATAAAAAAAAATTCTGATGTAAAAATCGAAAAAACACACACACATGCATGGGCCACATAAATTGACAGTATTGTTTTTTATTTTTAATAATAGCTCATTATCACTAATTGGGAATGTTTTTCACATTTGATTAGCAATCATCATCATCATTATTGGCAATAACCAACATGAAATATGGCGATGAAAGAATTCTGAATGAGAAAGGTGGATATGACATTGTGTGTTTGTGTATGTGGAAAATTTATTTTCTTTCCTTTTTCCCCGCCCCAATCACACCGAAATGACATTAATCTTTATGTTTTTTTTTCTTTGTTAATCAAAATATAATTTTCTTTTTCTTGGATTCAATTCAAAAGTAAATTTTACGATGATAGCGGGGCACACACACACACACTCACATAGACATCAAACAAATGAAAAAAAAATCCCTAATGGAAATAATAATGATGATGATGATTAACATCGATCGTCGTCGTGGTCGTTTAACGAAGACAATAGAATAGTTTTTTTGATTTTTTTTTTTCATTTCTATCTGGTTTTTTTTGTTATAAATTGTGACCATGGCCACCACTTAAAATTCCACAACTATTTTTTTTTTTTTTTTTTGAATTTTAACATGACCAAAAAAAGAACGTCAACAACAAACACAACTGGAAAACACATCAAGAATGATGATGATATGATATTGTATTGATGATGATTATGGTAATCACATGCTTCTAGGTTTGTTTAATTTAAATCTATATATAAAGTAGTGGTGTACACTGGAAAAAAAGTCTATGTAAACCACGCATTTTTTTCACAATATTTCAAAACAATTTAACTGTTACTGTACAAATTTTGCCCTCTTTTTCAGGAGGGATTTTTTTTCAGTGCACACGTTTTTTTTCCGACTCCACCGCTTTAGATACAACAAATCAGAAAAAAAAGTAGTAGTATGCACGAAACAAATAAAAAATGAGAATCAAATAACAGCTCCGCCCAGAATTTGTGAAAATGTGGCAATTTTTTTGCATGTGCTTCTCCTTCATGAAAAAGCTGGCAGTACCGTGGTCGATTTGCGAGAAACAACATGCAGCATCGTCAACATCAACATTAATAATTGTGCTCAACAACAACAAAAAAATTATATTTTGGCTGTTTTTTTAATGAAATGATATAACCACAAAGAAACCAAAACCAAACTAAAAAAAACCATCATCATCAACGACAACAACAACAACAATAGCTAACTTTGAACCACACAATAAACCATAACGACGACAATTTTGTCAAGAAAAGGGGGTCAATATAAATTTTGTGAAAATCTTAGAACAAAATCGATTCATTAAATTCATTTGATTATTTGTTTGTCTAAAAATAATTTTGATTCAGCTTATCCGATTGCGATCATCATCACATTATTTGATGAACTTCAAACTCAAGGTCTTTCTTCATTGAAAATTTTTTGGATAGAAAAAAGTGTCAAAATCAATCAATAAGAAGAAAACAGCGAACATTCGAACGAATCCATTTTGTTGTTGTTGTTGATTTGAAACATATTGCTCTTTTCGTCACATATTTCGTCATAATTTTTTTTTGTCTTTATTGATATCCGTCATGTGTTGTGTTTTCTTAATGTTTCTCGTTTTGTTTTTTGTTGAATTAAACCCCTAAAAAAATAGACTACGTCGACAACGATAAATATCAATCATTTCTGTTTGTTTTTGATTGTTTATGTATGTTTTTTTTTTTGCAAGCCAATCAAACATTGTCTTTTGTTTTTTTTTTGGGGCCGACTTGTCTTTTGTTTGGTTATTTTTGTGTGTATGCTTAAACACCATTATTACTACCAATTCATTTTTTTCGACTCTTTTTTTTCCAAAATTCACCTAAAGAAAAAATCCTAAATAATCAAGAACAACGACATCAAAAAACATAAAATATGCTCACCTGGCCTTCAGCTACTACCAACACCGCCACCATTATCCACAGCAACAACAACAATAACTATTTTGCTGAATTAACTGGAATTTATTTACTATAATATGGACCCCAGGGAACAAGAATAATGTCTAAATGTGTTTTTTGTGTGTCTGTTGACCAATAACTGAAAATTTTTTTTTACCTTGCAATACAATGGAATTGAAACAATGGATTGATTGATTTTCATCAATGAAAACTGGCAACAACAACGACAACATTCTATAAATTCTCATTTAATCATCATCATCATTTGTGTTATTGTTTAAGAAGATACTTTTTGTTATTGTATTCGATTTGGGTGTATGTTTTTTTTCCTTGTTTTACTTTACTCTCTCTATTGCTATTTGTAAGACATCAAAAAATCATTTCAAACAACAAACGATTACAACCACAACGACGATCAATATGGATATGTTAAGTGATGAAGGCGATCTTTACAGTGATGTAAGTGACAAAATGTTTCTAAATTATTTATCCTTGTTTTTTTTTTAATTTCAAAAGAAAACATTGTTACTGATTTTGATGTCGATGAAAATGGATCTGATTTGATCATTTGTCAATTTTAATTGCATTTTACAAAACAAAAGACTTGAATGAATATTTGTAACAAATAAAAACTGAACGGTTACGTATGCTGTCCCTTTAGGCAGATTCAATTTGAGATGATGAGATTTGTAATTTTTTTTCTATTCAGATGATTATATAAAATATATATAGCCCATGAAGACGATGATGATGATGATCTACGGTGGGATCAAATCAACCGAGAATATAATGTATATAGCAATGTGTGATTATTGCCAAAGAGAGAAAGAAAAAACCACATGATCTGATCTGATCAAATCAATGATGATGATGTGTATGTAATGTGTCATTTATAAAGAAAACAACCAGAACAAAATATACAACAATAAATGAGCGACCAATCAACCATTCAATTATTCTTTTTTTTCAGGAAAAAATATTATTGTTGCTGTTGTTTTTTTGCCTTGTGTGTGCGTCTATATATATCTGATTACTAATCATAATCTCATCTCATCATCATCATCAGTTTAATTCAATTCAATAATAATAATAATTGGTAAGAATGTATATAAAACATATGAATGATGTGTGTGTATATGTGTATCCAAGCGGTTAGAATGAAATTTTTTTTTTTTTAAGAAATCAACTTACACATAGTAGACACATGTCATATTGTAAAAAATCAAACATTTGATTTTTCGTTCACTCTGTCTTTCTAATTCAGAATATTTTATAGATTGGCATGTGGGGGTGGTAGATGTGTTTAAATAAACAGTGAAAAAAAATTAAATAAATTTTCTATCTATCTATATATATGTATACAAAAACATTGTTATCGTTATATAATTTTTTTCTATATCAAACTAATAATATGTATATTACTCGATTGAATGTGAATAAATAAATCTTCAATATTAAAATTGGCATATGGTGGTCATGGTGGGATTCAGAGAGAGATGTTTTTTTAGTAGGGGTGTTTTTTCTCTTGTAAAAAAAAAAATTTTTGTTTCACATATTAGTCTACTAAATCAAATAAATCCATCATCATGTGTGTGTGTGTGTTTGATCATCAAAATGCATTTTTTTTTTTTGTTAATGTTTAGTTTAGTTTGTTTGTATGATGAATCAAATATAATATCCCGAAATAAAGAAATATATACTATTCAACCGAAATTAAATTGGTGCTATGTAGTGGTGTGGTGGTGGTGGTGGTGGTGATAGTTTTATACAACAGCGATATTAGACACTATTCAACGACAAAACCATGATTTTTTTTGTTGTTTTTTGTTGTTGTTGTTGTGGACATGCATTTTGTAGGAATATCCATGCATGACCATTGTCGGTAGAGGGCGATAGTTTTGATTTTTTTTTAATTCATGAAAAAGAATAGTTAGTGCAGGCGCCCAAATAAATAACAAGAACCGTGTGTATGTGTGTATAAGTTGTATACGCCATTGCAGAAACATGTAGCAGTTTAGTGTGTGTCGTGACGACCACGAGGATAATGTTGTTGTTGTTGTTGTTGTCCTCGAGATTCGCTTCAGATATACTCTCCTTATATACAGTGATTATCGTCCGTTTTTTTTGGATTCTGTGTGTATGTGTGTTGTTCTTCGTAAAAAAAACATTTTGTGTTCTTTTTTTCCCCTAAATTTATTGTGTGTCAAATGTATATGGAGAGCTGTTTGATTGATGCCAATATAGAGAAAATGTTGGTTGCACATGTATTTTTTTCGCTTCCAATATATAATATATTAACATCAATTTGAACCAAAAAAAAAAAAAAAAATATATAGAAGGAGAAAAAAAAAGACACGAGGTATAACACAGGACAATTAAGGATGTATTTTTTTTTTTTTCAATATACTCCTGTATTTATTATACGCATGACATTGTGATTAGAATTCAAGAGAGGGGGTTATTTATGTTATATATCCTCGTTTCAGAGATTTTATACATTGTAACAAAATCATGAACAGTGTTTGTCGGTTTTTGGTGGTTGGAACGTAGAATATTTTTAAATTAAATTTTTTCTCGATTCTCAATTTGTCGAATATTTGGTTTGAATTTCTTTTTTTTTTTGTTTCGTTTATTTATTATCTACCTGTTGTACATTTAGTGTGGAGGTGGTGTACCAAATATCACTAAACAATATTTAACATTGAATAAATGAAAAAAAAATTTATTAACCTTAACAATTTCAAATGTACTATATATCAAATGTTGAAATTTATTCATTAAGACATGTGAACGAGTTAATGAAAAAATAACACACACACACACACACATGCATGTCGTATACGAAAATGATACTAAACACACATGGATACATATAATCGGTTGTCCTTGTCATATCATTCGACGAATAGAAAAAATATCCTTCAATATATATATATATGTCCATTACGTTTTTTACAATTGTAATAAAATAACCATTTGATCTTCATCATCATCTTCATTGATTGTTATTTATCTCTTTTTTTTTTTTTGACCACCATTATCATTTCGTTTTTTTTTCATTATTATTTAGTCGATAAAAAACATCGATGATGATGATGATGATCTGTATGATGATATGGTCACACACACACACACACACACAATACAATACAATAGCTGCAGCTACAAACTCTAAGGCGCCATTTTTATTTATGTATAAATATCTTGTTGATGATGATGATAATATCATCAGCTATGGTCGTCGATGATGATGATGATCATCATCATTGAATGAATGAAGCATACACACACACAAACCGAACCATTAACAAAACCATATAACCAATTTTTTGCCAATTGATGATGGCCTGAATGTTGTATAAATGTGTGTGTGTGTGTGTTTATGTGGAGGTCATTGAACGTATTTTTTCGAACATTGAAACATAGACCAAAAAAGAGGCTAATAAAGTGGGAAAAAGACATACATACATACACACACACACACTTGGAAAGGATGGACATTTTTCAAAAAAAAAAAAACACATGATGATCACGCCTGGCGTCATTATTATGTGTTTGTGAGTTTGCATAGAGAGAAAATAATAACCATATGAAAAAAAGAGCATAGGAAATGAGATTTGTTATTCAAAAAAAACAACAACAAAATTTCAAACAATCAACTCTCAAAAAACAACAACAACAACAACAACAGAAATAATGCCATAATAAAAGAAATGTGAAATGAAATCAACTGAAGAAAAAACATTTATCATTGAAAAGAGAAATATGATTCAGTAGTAGTTGTTGTTGTTGTTGTTTTTGTTTGTTTGTTTTATTCACACATTGTGATTGTTCCGGTTGGTTTATGTTGTTGTTGTTGTTTATCTGTGTGTCTTTGTTCCTATGTAAACTATTTTTTTTTATTTAAAATAATTTTTTTCTACCTTTAAGCCTGATTATATTAATGAGAAGACCATAAAATTCAGTTTAAATTCCTATAGTATATATGTGTGTGAAAGAATTAACTATCATGAGAACGACTAATGGTTATATGATGATGATGATGATGACCATCACCAAAACCCGGTGGTAATGTCCACATAATGTTTTTGTATAACAAGATGGATTGTATATATTTTTTTCCATATGATAATGTAAAAAGGCAAAAAATGAAGAATTATTGTTGATCTTATCCCCATTGATGACTTTCATGTCATCGCTATCATCAACTATTATTTGATCCATAAAGCAAGCGAGAGAGAGAGAGAGGGAAACAAGAGAGAGAGAGAGAGAGAGCTCATCATCTCATCAATTTTTTTTTTTTGTTATAAAGGGAAAAAATCATTGCAAATATATATTATAACCATTGGAAAAAACGTGAAGGAAAAGAAAAATATATTGTAAAGAATGGTTGGTGGTGACGATAATAACGAAAAACAGGATATATATGAAATGTGATAGATAGTGAGAGAGAGAGAGAAAGGTCAAAATACTGTTGCTGTTGATCTTTGTTATGGTTGTTTGTTATATATTGTATACATATATTCGTGTGAAATATTAAATTTTTTAGGCGTGAAAAAAAATCAAATTGAAAATCATTATAATAATGATCAGGTTAAAATAATAATAATAATTATTTTAAAATCCGATCCGAACTGGTTTTGACCCCTTGTTATAGTATTCAATTTGGAAATGAAGAGTTAATCACATTTTTCTTTTTCTTTTTTGTTTCAATCTCTCAATGTATGTGAAATATTGTTGATTTTAGTTTTTTTTTTTTTTTATAATAATTTAGCCAATAATTATGTCGCCTACACACGTGATAACATGGGTGACTACTACCCTATTATTAAATTGATTGATTATTCACATGTTGATGATGATAATGATGGGAAATTTTGAAATTTTCTTAATTCAACTTGTTACAATTTTTTCCAAGAATTTATACAATTAAATTATTACTTTTATGATAATAATATAATTGAATAATCGTATGTTTGTTTGTGATTTTTTAGGAAGATGAATCTCAATATATGCAAGGTGGTGGTGCCAATATGGCCAGCGGTAGTGGCAGTGATTCTGGTCGTAATGATCGTAACATTCCAAGCGCTGTAAGTGTACGGTTTTTGTTGGATTTTTTTTTTTAGTTTTTTCGGAATTTTTCACCTTTTTTATTCATTCATTCATTCATTAGGCTGATAGACGTGCACACCATAATGCTTTAGAAAGAAAACGTCGTGATCATATTAAAGATTCATTCAGTAGCCTACGGGATTCGGTACCATCTTTACATGGTGAAAAGGTTTCAAAAAAAAATACATTTGATGTAATAAATTTTTCATCAATGAATATTTTTTCTCCATTTTAACCATTATTAGGCTTCACGTGCACAGATTCTGAAAAAAGCAGCTGAATATATACAATTTATGCGAAAAAAGACTACAAACGTTGCAACGGATATTGATGAGATTAAAAAGCAGAATAAAATGCTAGAAGAACAAAGTTTGTAATCATGTGTTTTTGTTTTTCTGTTAATTTATATATATTTTTTTTGTTTTCAGTTCTTAAATTCGAAAAAAGAGGACTAACACTTTCACCAACACCATCGTCAGCATCGTCAACTCCTAAACAAACGTTATTGTCACCAAATAATAATTCAAATTCATTGTATTTAATTGATGTTCAATCATTGTTAACCCTGCGTTAATAAAGTGTAGTTTTTTTTCTTATTACCCCATTAGTAAAGTGTCAGTTGTTTTCAAAACTCAATTTTCATTAAATTGAAAATAAAATAAAAATCAATTCATCAGAATTTAGTTGGAGTATTTTTTAAGCTTGTAAGCAGTCAAGAGATCAAATCTCTCTTAGATCTCTTATGTTTAGTTGGATTTAGATTTGTTTCGATTCTGTTTTGGTCATTTCCAAACCCTCAACTCGTTAACGCAGGGTTAAGCATTGATTACTTGTATGGTACCTGATTTTAATATAAATTTTTTTTTATCATTTCCCACATTTAGCTATGGTGACCTATCGGAAAATAGTAATGAAAGCAATGTCACTAATAATAGTGATTTGAATTTGACTATGAATGGCGTGATTACCGATAATGGCGGCAATGGAAGACTGACCGATTCGCCCTTATTATCCCAATCATCGGCATCAGTTACACCAACTGTGGTATCCATGAATCCTTCAACTATTGTTCAACGACAGCCAACCGGCAGACAGATAAATCCATCGGTACAACCATTGACCACACAGCAGGCTCAATTATTGATTAATGGAAACACTTCGGGGCCAACTGTACGTTCAGTAGTAAAAAATGGTTCAAGCACGATCATTGTACAGAATCCTCAGATTAAATCAACTCCAAATGGTCCTCATGTAATTCATTTATCAACGAACAATAATAACAGCAATACAGCTACAGCGACCCCAATCATCATTTCAACAACATCGTTGGCCAACACTAATGGAACCAGTGGTGCGATTGCTGCCAATGGAAATGCCACTTATACGGTGCTAAATGCCAAAACTACTGGTGGTGGTGCTGCATTATCATTGGCTCCAAATACAATGACAACGGCGGCTACAAATGGTGCATATCGAACTGTCGTAGTACAACCGGCTACTGCTGCCACATTGGCCCAACAATCTTCATTAAGTGGCGGCACAACAACGCCAAACATCCATATTGTATCAACTATTCCAAACACATATTCCGGTAGAGTTGGTACTAGTACCGGAACAACCAAACGTTTCAAGATCTCGACTACAACAACAACGCCATCAGCTGATTCAATTGTTGAAGTTAATAATAATAATAAGAAAAATAACATTACCTCATCACCATCAAACACATCAACTATTATTAATACATCAACCGGTAGTGGTTCAACAAATGTTTCAAATAACAAAACATTTAATATTACATCTGTTTCATCATAAAAATTGCAGAAAAAAATGAAAAATTTCAATTAACAAACAGAAAAAAAATAAATTTTTTTCAAAAAATTTCTATAGAAAATAAAATCCAAGGATCCACACAACACTGGTCTTGTAAAATAAAAAAAAATTCATTTTATTAAATTTAATGGCAAACATCCACCCACACACACACACACAAACAACATTCACAGAGCTTCTCGCCTATCACCTGTGCTGAACCTTTTCTGTTGCCCATTTATCATTGAAATATATCGAATCAATTCGATCAAATCTTCAAAACATTGTTCGGATCAATTTAGCCGAAAATAGTTTTTCTCACATTTTTTCAACAAATCACACTTATTTGTTTCATAATGAATGAATAAATTTAAGACACTCGAATGAAAAGAGAAAAAACATGCTAATGAAAACCTCATATACAAAATATTTTATTCGTTTTTTTTCTTGGCAAATTTTCATCTTCCACACACACATACACCTCACACCCTAACGCCCAAAAAATGTGAAAATACTGAAAAAATTGTTGTGATATATTCCAATTCAATAATGATTGATTGATTAATTGATTCATATGATAATAATACCCAATATTACACTTGTTTTTTTTCTTTCTACAATTTTTTTTGGTCCAACTTATGACTACAACCAATTGTCAAGAAAATATTCACACACACACACAAACACAAACATCATTGAAATTCTTCAATTCTCTGGTCTTCTCTTCTTCTTTTTTTTTTTGCTCTTTGTTGTTTCCATATTTGAAATTCTTTTTTCGCTTTTTTGTTTAATTTTTGTAAATACCTCTTTATTTTAATTCATTCATTTTCATTCTCATTTTTTTGTGTTTTGGCCAAACAAAAATGAGCAAGATACAGTGAAATTCTTCCAAAAAAGAATTTCACGTGAATTATTTGTCTGTTGTTTCATTACGGTGAAGAAGAAGAAGAAGAAGAAAAAAGCAAAAAAAAAAAAAAAATCTGAACAAAATCTCCTCCTCATTACCACTTTATATATGTGTTGTGTTATTATTACTTTTTTCTTTCTCTTTCAATTCTTTTTTCGAATATAAAATTCATGCTTTTTATTCCTTGATTTTTGTTTAACAAAAAAAAATTTCAATTGTTCGATTTTCATTTACAAATGATACACACACACACACATTGCTGATACATTTATCGATTCTAATCGGTTATTATTATCAATTATTATTGTATACACACACACACATTATTTATTTGACAAAAAAAACAACAATACACCAAAAAAAAAAAAAAAAAACATTTTACCTGCTTTCAATTCAATCATTCGAATATCAATTTTTATCATCATCATCATCTGATGATGATGATGATGATTGATATGAATGTCACATTTTGTTTTGTTGTTTTTTCTTTGTTTCTTCTTTTATTTTCTGGACAAGTCATTTTGGAAAAAAAAATTTCAATATCTTTGATGTATTATTTTCTTCATCACCATCGTTCATCGTTCTTCGTCGTTATAATAATAATTGATTTTGAAAATTTCTATTGAAAACAAAATTTTTTTTTAAATTGATCGAACAATGATCATCATCATTATGGATGTTTGACGACGACGACGATGACGACAACGACAACAGCAAACAGAATAATATTAACAATTTTGAATTATATTGAATCATGAATAAAATAATTTTATTATGAATTTAATAAAATTATAGAAATAATAATAATAATAATGTAATGTAAAATTTAAAAAGTATAAAGTCATGTGATGGTAATTTAACATTTGCAATTGCATATAATATTGAAAATGTCTTCCAGTAAAACAAGTGAAAAGCGATCCAAATCTAAAAAACAATCATCCGCTCATAATAATGATAATAATATTAATGTAATGAAAAATTCAAAAATGATTTCAACACCAACATCATCATCGACAGCAGCAGTAGCATTAGATTTTCAAGAAGATTTTGTCATGTCATTGGATTCAAAAATTGGTTCAACTATTTTTGTACGGCCAAATATAAAAGATATTGATATTGATACATATACACATTCAAATAAACGTAATGCATCAAGATTTTTAAAATTAAAAGCTGCATGTCAAAAACCGGATTTAGATAATGATAAAAATCAAATGATGATGAAAAATGATACAACAACAACAACAACAACAGCATCCATGAAAAGTAAATCAAAAAAACAACCTGAATCACCAAATAATGTAGATGTTTTCTGTAGTTTGCCGGAAGTCCATGTTTTAGATCCAAAATCAAAAAGTAAAGCAAAAAAATGTGAAAAAAGAAAATCAGAAAAAACAACAACAATACCACCAATATCAACAAGTAGTTCATCATGTGATGATGATAATCTATTGGCTTGTTGTCTACCAATGGATAAAGATAAAAAAGATTTAGATATGAAAAGTAAAGATTCATCAAAAAAACATCATCCTCATCACCATAGTCATCATAGTCATTCTCATTCAAAGAAATATGATGATGATAATGAAAGATTAACACCTTCTTCTGCAGCTGCACAAAATCAGGAAAGAAAGAAAAAGAGTCCAAGGATAGAAAACAATTTTCCACAAAATCGACAGATAATAATCCACAATCATCATCATTAGATAAATCAAATTCTTCATGTGTTCAAGGTATTGAATCATTACGAAAAGATCTTGGACTGCAGAGCACAAGAAAACCGGAATTATTCCGTAAGAAAAGTCCAATTTCATCATCGGTAAAGAAAAAATCGGATAGAAAAAAATTAATCGCAAATAATAATAGTAGCGCTATTGTTGGTGATCCATTCGTAACTGGTCGATCAAATCTATCTGGTGTTGATACAAGAAAATTTAAAATCAATAAATGTACATCAGGTAATGTTACATTTCATAATGCTGATCTTTCTAATACATCGATGATGTCAAGTGGTGGTGGTGGTGGTGGAGGTAGAAAAAATACTGCAGAACCTGAAATGAAAAAGAAATCTGATAAAGATGACAAACAAATGTTTAGTTCGATGAATAAATCGAAAAATATGGAAAGTTTTAAAAGAAAAATTAAAGAAAAATCACAACATAATGATGATAAACCAACAATAACAATCGAACAACAATCAAAAATATCGAATCATATATCGAAAACAGAATCATCAAAAATACATACATTAACTTCGGATGATCAATATAATTCAGGATTTATTTCCGCTTTATCTAAAGCTTCATCAACGTCATCTAAAGATGATGATAATAATGATAAAAAATAGAATAGAATGTTCTTCTTAAGAATGGAAAAATTTTGAAAATAAAAAAAATTCATATTGTTTCCTATTCATAGATGGCAGTAGCATAGACGTAAATTTTGAAATTTTTGATCCATAAAATTTTGTTTATTTTTATTCATTATCAATTAATGGTACCTTTCATCATTGTTTTTCTTCCTTCAATTTATGATTGATTTGATCAATAAAATGTGATTTAGTTAAAAAAATTGAAGGTGAATACAATTTGTGATCACAAGATTAGCATTGGCAGCAGCAGTATAGTTTTTATCCAAGGATTTCAAAAATGATCATGATTATGCTGAAATTTGTCATTTTTTTTATATATTCAATCAAAATTAAAAAGATCAACAAACTATTTGATGGCCAATTTTCAAACACCACACACATAGATGTATGTTGTTCACGTATTCGAATTTGGAATTTATACATGAAACACAATAAGTCAATGATAATAATAATTCATGGGTTTAAGTGGCTGTTCAACAAGTTCAAGTGCAAAAAATTCTTCATTCATCATCACTGTATTATAATCAATTTATGTGGTAAAAATAAACCCACTGATCAACAGGTATGTTGATGTATTGATTTTTCATACTCTTTCTCACTTTCTCTCTCTCTCTCTTTCAATCCATGTAAACACCAACACAGGTACAGATGATAATAATCGATAACAAAAAAAAGAGAAAGGATTAATTCATGACATCATTGAAAAATAAAAGTACTATTCATTCATCGGTAACAAAATAAAGAGAAAATTATTCCAAATTAGATCATCATATCAATTTTTGTATTTGATGATTTTTTTTTCATTGAACTCAAAGGGAAAAAAAGTTTTTTTTGTTGTACACATTTCAAGTGTGTGTTTATATTATCGATTGTTGATGAAGACTACTATTTACGATGATTGATTGATAATGATTGAAAAAAAACATAACATTATCATCGATTGATCAATCAATCGATCAGATTTTTTTTGATCATGTTTATGGCCTTCAATATCAATCAATTTTTTTGTTGGTGGTAAATTAAAATGGTTTAATAGAAAGCTTAATTGAAAAAATTTTTTCATTTTATGATGACCATTGTTATTTGAATGATGATGATGATGATGATGACAATTTTCTGGATTCTCATTTTATGCTTAATCATCATTATCATTTTGGAAATAAGGCCCATAAATGTCATTTACCAGGACATAATCTATTTCCAATGTCGATGATGAAAGAAATGTCACAATTTGTACCAGGAAAACATAGACATACACCCGCACAGTATATATATAGACGGAAATGATACAAATCCAAATTTTTAGTGGATAAATGAGCAAAAAACAAATAAAAATAAAAATAACAAACAATTAATCATATTTATATGTGCATAAATAAAAATAATTTTTTTTTCTCTCCATTTCCATTCATTCATCTAATGACTTTTGATTAATTAAGTAAATATTATTTATTCATTAAATGGGCGGAAAGTACGGCAAATATAATGATACATGATCCAGATACGGTTTAATGATTGATTTATTTTTTTAATTTGACTCCAACACAAATGGACATCGGATAATAATGTCCATCATCATCATCCGATAATTAATCATCGGTTTTTTAATCATTTATATTCATTTATCAATTATCAATATGCATGTGAATAAACACATCAATGAATTGACCGAATAAAATGGCCATCATAATTCATTATTTTATCATTTGAATAGTGGAGAAAAAAAAATTATTAAAAATCAATCAAACACAATTATTATTGTAATAATCGATAATAATAATAAAAAATAATGATGATGATGATGATGATGATGATCTGGAAACGAATTTTTTTTTCTTCTGGTTTCTGGTTATCATTCAATAATAATGACCATGATGTTTTGATATAAAACCAAACATAATAGCTGATAACATCTATTTTTTTCTTTTTGCTAATATGAAAAATTTCAATATATGTCAGGGAATTGTTTTGTCTATTACGAAATAGACAAAACTATCATAACCGACATCAAAGGATGCGAAGAACATCCGAAAACTTTGAACATTCGAATGATAAAACAAAACAAATTGTAATTCTGAAATTACTATATAAACGAATCTAAAAAGAATAATAAATTACGATAATTATTATTGGTGAATTTGATTTAAATTTGATATATACAACGATAATAACAACAACAAAAAACATATATTCACTTCCATTGCGTCAATCAATCAATCAATCTTTTGTTTTGTTTTGTTTAAAAATACTGTGAATATGATCAAACTGATGGTGATGATATTTGCTGCTTGTACCTATCTTTATCATTATCATCATCAACATAACGACCACGACAACGATTATATGACACAAATATATATCATTTATATAGAAATTTAATTTGATAAAAATAAAAACAAAAAAAAAAACTTTCTAGAACATCCTTCTAATCACCACCACCACCACCACCACTACCATTGTTTTGTCCTCCAATCCTGTATAAAATTGATTTTTGGATATCTTTGAAAATTTTCATAACATAAACTTTGGACAGGCGACATTTTTTTTTCTTCTCACACACTCAATTTTTTACGCAGGGTTGATTTTTATATATATATTGGATTGTCATTAATCCTCATCGATTCATTCTTTTCATCAAGGAAATTGTTTGATTTTCATATATCAAAATGTTCTTTTTCAATGATGATAATGATGATGATGATGATGATGATTTGTTTTATTGTTTTTCTCTTAGATTAAAAATGCAAAACAAAAAGGAAAAAGGAAAACGACATCAAACAGACATTTTTAATGCGTAAAAATCTATATTGACATCACCATTGGTCGGTCGGAAAGGTTACATAAATCAATAAATTATGGAACAACTAAGAGAGAACACACACACAAGCAAACGCATAATGTCTACTTTATCTATGTACATTTTTTTTTTCCTGTCTAAACCAAGATAATAATAATAATAATGAGGACGATAATGGATAGTGGATTTATCCTAATTTCTGGTTTTTGATTTTTTTTTTCTTGATTGCCATATACTACGGTATAGTGAAATAAATAGAGACAAAAATGGGTTATTCATTATGATTTTTATTTTTGTGGTGATAAGAAAATGATTTATCATTTAAATTTCTTTACTTCTTTCTTCGGGAAAAAAAACTAAATTGTCACCAATTGTCGTTTTTTTTCTTATTTGTATCTATGGTTTTTTATGGCCACCACCACCACCACCACCACTACCACCATTAATAAAACGTCGATGACCGAATTGATTGACATGTAGATGTTGAATTTGATTATATTAGAAATTATTATTATAATTATTAATATGAAATGAAATAAGAGATCAGTTAATTTTTTGGTATTTTTGTTTTCTAGGTTAATTATCATCCATGTGTTGTTGTTGTCACTTGTATTACATGATTGCAAATGAATAAATGGATGTTAAATTTTTGCTTTTTATTGGATTGTTTGGTGTTTCCTGTGTGATAAAATTAAAATTATTATTATCGTTTTGTTTAATTTTTTTTCAATTTTTAACATTTCTCTTTTCCCTCTTACTATCTATTTCCAAAAACATATATAAATATGGAATGAACTCTAGAAAAACAAAAAAAAAAAAATTTAGGAATCCTTCAAAAAAAAAATTTCGATTTTTCAAATCCTCATCATCATTATGTTTAGAGCTTTACATATGTGATGTGGTGATGGTATTCCTGACAAAAGTCACATATTTCTATTTGAAAAAAACGATACAGGCTACAAACAACAACAACAGCAGCAGCAACTAAAACAACTTTAAAATGTCCTTTTTTTTGCCAAACATACGCGGATTATAAATTTATATATTTCTCGTTAAAGAATCATCAACAACAAGTCAACGTGACACGTTCATCATCATCCACATCATTTACTACGTTTGAATAATAATAATCTTCTTATAGTAAATATAAAATCGTAACTTTTTTTTCGTTGATCCTGGGTTGCATTTTTTTCAAATGTTGTGTTCATATATTGAGAAATATAAAGAGAATGAGAAAAAAAATGGAAAAACACAAAACATAGAGAGAGAGAAAGAGAAAGAGAAATATGAAAAGATTCAATGTATAAACATCATTTTGTAAAATCAAAACAATAAATTATCTAATTAAATAATTATGAAAATCATCGTACGCACAAACACAAAGACACATTTCGAAAGCCTGGTATATCCCCAAAACGATCTATGATGACTAATTTCTCTTCTCCTCAATGAATTTGTAGTAATTCAGAAAAACAAAAGAGATAGAGAGAGAGAGAGAGAGAAAAAAAAGAATGAAAAAATCTGATTATGTTTTATAATTGATAATGATGCCTCTTTCTCTCTTAATTTGTGACTGTAATTTTAATTGAATGATATATAGGCGTAAAAAATAGATGTAAGACATAATTTAATTTTACACACACACACAAAATCTGTCTGGTTTGAGACAAGTATTTGTCACACACACACACACACACACAAAAGATCATTTCTTATCATCAAAGAAAAAAAAATGATCAACAATTTTTTTCTCATAACCCTAAAAATCTAAATTCTTTACACTGAACCAGGCGACAACAGTTGTTTTCCTCTTCATTGCCACCATCACTACCCATCATCATTGAAAATGTTTCATACAAGAATCAAATTGATGCAATCAATAAATTTTTTTTTTGCTTTGTTTTGTGTATGTGTATGTGTGTGTGTTTGTTTGTACAAATTATGTTTGTAAACAACAACAACAACAACAACAATGACAACAGCTATTTTTATTTCATCACAACATCATGATCAATGATGATGTATCGTAATCATAATCAAATCATAAACTTTTTATACTTATCATCAATTTTTTTTAACTCTTTATCTTTATAAATCGGAAAAAGAACAAAAAAGTAAGTCAATGAATCAATAAATTGATCAATTGATTATTTAATAATGATGATAATAGCTATAAAAAAACAAAACAAAACACTTAACCATTTAATTATTAGTTATTTATCCGCATACACACAATGTTGTTGTTGTTGTTATTTTTTTTACCGACATTCTTTATATATTTTAAGTTGAAATAATGAAAAATTAAAAATTCAAGAATCACGTAGACACACAAGAACATTTTAGTTTTTTTTCGCGCCATGACATACATATTTTGTGTGTGTGTGTGTGTAAAATATGTCATTCTTGTTTTGTTCATTTGATTTTCCACCCAAGAGACATAGAGAGGAGATTGATTTTGTCAACAAAAAAAACAACTCATAAATCTTTTTCTGTCTCTAGTTTCAATGAAATAAAAAAATAATTTTCTACAGTTTCTAATTTTAATACATGCATGTGCCATACTTGATTTTTATTTCTTCTGGAAACTGATTGAATAACAATTATTTCGATGATTTTAAATGTTCGAAATCGAAAAAAACGATTCATTTAATTATTTTTGGTTTGATCATGAAATGGTATCCATTATTTTCTTCCTACGATCATCTTAATGATGCTTATGATTGACTGATGACTGACTACAATCCGAATCTTTTTATAACGTTTATTTATCTTTAATCCAAAAAAAACTGGATTTTTAACTAACTGGAAAAGAGATCAAAAGGTCAAGACCTTTGAACTTTTTTTTTCTATTGCTAAATTCAAGCATTTGGTAAGCCTGATTTATTTAAGAGATGCTGTCCTACTGAAACTGATAATGATGATGATGATAGAGAGAGAGGTCATCATTATCATTTTAAACGTGGACAAAATCATCACCAACATCATTGATAATTGATCAACATGATCATCATTGATTTGATTTTCATTTAATAATATGCTGAATTTGGAGTCATTGCTACCATGATATATCATCAACATTGCTGTTGTCAAAATAATATTGATAATGATGATGATGATGATAATGATGATGAATGAGAAAAGCCCCCCAAAAAAAATTGTCATTTTTCATTGAAATGAAATCAATACATTTGATATTTATTCAAATTGACACTTAAACCTTGTTCGGTAATAAGAATATTTTTTTTTTACTTCTTCGTTTCATCACAAGTTGTTTATTTCGGTATTTAAATCCTTGAATTGTTTTTTGAATAAATTAAATGAATGAATGAATGAATTATAGTAAAAATTTATTTGTCAAGTTTGTGTGCGTTCGTGTGTATTTGTCATGATTTCACAATTCCGTTCATCTATATAATAATCATTCATGAAAACAAAATATACACATCATCCTAAAACCTTGATCCAATAAAATCTGTTTTGCTGTTTTCAAATGTTTGTTGTATGAAAAAAAAATTTTTCAACAAATTTTTAAACAAACACAGATTGTCGTTTTGTATCTTTATGATGCCAGGAAGCTTTTTTTTTTTTTTTGTTATGTGTTGTGTGTGTGTGTGTGTGTGCGATACTTTGTATAGCATTGTAATTCATGCCTCAAACAAATGGTTTATCATTTCTTTCTTGGAGAATTTTTAATGAATGAATGAATGAATGGTTGGATGTGACGATTCAGCAGGAAAAAAAAACACCATATATATGACCCCTCTCTTTTTGTCACTTTTAGAATATATTGAGCATGAAATGAATATGATGAATGATTGTTGGCGTTTTTTTCATTGTTGTCGTTTATGTCGTTGTTTTTGTTTGAATTATGCCGGCTTTGCTTTTTTTTTTCTTTTCTATTTCTCGCCATTTCATGCCAAAAAACAATTTATATATATAGTTTGAATCTGTAATCAGTCAATCAACCGAACAAGAATGGTGAAGAAGAAAAAAAAATTCACCCGAAAAATTATTGCGGCAATTGTTGCGGTTGTAGTGGTGTTTGATGAACTTGATGGCTTACAAAAACACTTTCTCGCTAGATCAAATTTAAATTGAATGAATGAATGAATGAATGAATGAATGGATGAACTGAGAAAAAGGCCAATGAAATGTCAACTCTCTCTTTCTCTTTTTTTTTTTTTGTTTATCATATTGCAGATATTCATTTATGAATTATATGTGTACATTGAAGAAAATTTTCATTGATCATCATCATCATCATCATCATAATCATCATTTTTCACTGTACAATTCCGGTTTTTTTTCATATTCTAACCATTTTGATCGATATGATCTGTAATAAATTTCATTGGAAAAACATTTCACTCTAACAATAATAATTAACCATAAATGATGATCTATATATTTTGGTTCAAAATTTCATTGCAAATTGCAAATGAGATAGCAAAAAAAAAAAAAATTTTTTTTCACTGTATGAGATACAGATAAAATATATGACAAATGAGAAAACTCATATTTCACATTTATGCTGTATATTTATCACATTTATATAACATTTTAAGGCGCCAACTGACGCCAGACACAAACATACAGACATGGCAGATGAAGTTTTTTTCTTTTCTATTTTGATAAATATCTTGATATCGAAAGAAATAAGTATATCTGATGATGGTGGTGATGATGATGATGATGGTGGATCTACTATAGTGGTAAATGACGTCCACTTCAACCAAAAATCAAATCAACTAAACCTAACCAAAACCAAACCAAACCAAACCACACCAACGTTGATGCTAAAGATTGATGTGTGAATAATGAATGATGAATATCATTTTTCACCATCATCACTGATTATAGTTTTTTTTCTAACTTTTTAAAGTTTAAAGCTACTATACCAAATATATACCGATGTTTGAAGAAATTGCAATGCACAATCATCAATTTAGAATGTCTTGATACATTCCATTGGAATTCACGTAAATAGAAATTTCTCTCATTTTTTTTACTCTGTGACTTTGGCCATTGATCTAATGATGATGATTATGATTATTTCACCGTAAACGGTTTTTTTCAGTATAAATAAAAAAGATATATATTTTCATTCGTCATTTTCATAATTTCGTCACCATTTTTTTTACAGAAAAATTTTCGGTTAATGTTTGTGTGTGGTTCATATTTTAGCTATTCAGATATTCAATATCGTCATATTACGTTAAACATTTTTTTTGTATTTCTTGTTCACTATGTGTTTGTGTATTTTGTCAAAAACCAATAACATTTCTATATGGTACATTTGTGTCAATGACCTGCTTCAATAAAACAGACAGACAAAAAGAGAGAGAGAGAGAGATAGAAATTGATCTAATTGATAATGAGATTGTTGGATTATTATAACAGATTGGTTTTCATCATCAACAACAACAACAACAACAACAACCAAAAAAAAAAAACCATATTTTCAATCATTCGATTTGAAAAACCAAAAACAAAAAACAAAATATTCATCATTCAAATATTATATTATTATGTTTTATCTTCCTTATTCGATTATGTTGATCAGAATCTATTCGGGTAAAAACAATTGAAAAAAAAAATTTATGTTTTGTATATATAACCAGAAACACATACGAAAAAAATTGGATTTTCCTTTTCATATCAGTCAGTGTATTTTTTTTTCAACATATATATTGTAAACTAAAAAAAAAAATCATTGAATGATAAACCCAATCGATGATGATGATGATGATAATAATAATAATGATTATAAGGACATTAATGATCATCGAACCAAACATTATACTTCCAGTATTGTTGGATAGATAAAGTGAGAGAGAGAGAGAGAGATGACACTGTGTTCAAACAAGTCATCATTGCCATCAGTCTCTTGTATCTCTCTTTTTTCACAATTTAATATTAAATAAAGTTTCAACTTTTTTTACCATCACACACACATTGTAAAAGTAGGTGGTAACGTTTTTTATTTTGTTGATGTTTAGTCAAACATCAACAACAACAACAACAACACAATATTGTCTTTTGAATGAATAAATAAATGATGAATGATTGGATGTGTTCATTTCATTTCGTTGTTGTTGTTGTTGTCGATGTTGTTTCGAAAAAAAAGAAATAGAAGGGGGAGGGTGGTGTTAAAGGAGGACGGAACAAAACAAAACAAAAATTTCATCTATTTATTTAAAAAATATCAATATTTTTTAAAATCCAAATTACATAAGTGATGATTATGTGATATTGGCTATGTTTGTATAAATATATCTTTTTTTTTCTCACCATCATATCCACAAGTTTCATCTCGTTACTTTTTTTTCCATAAAAAAATTGAATTATATTAACTATATTCAATTACGGATTTGGAGGATCGGATCTGGCGTCTTGTTGGTTTATTATTATTTTTTTTTTTTGTCTGTTTCTGGTTCTGGTGTGTGTGTGTGTGTGTGTGTGTGTGTCTATTCTCAAGTTGAATAGAGTTTACTCTGTATATATAATCAACATCGATGATGATGATGATGATATACCATCCTAACTATATATGATACAAATACAAGTTGACATTATTTTTTTTACGCTAGTTTCTGAACAACAACATCATCATCATCATCATCATCAATATCAAATATAGAAACAGAACACACACACACACAACAGTTTTGATACATTCAAATAATTTCTGATACAAGAAAATATTGAAGAAAAAAAAACGAAGAGCCAGTTTTGTTGATGTCGCCAAGATGGATTGTCAATGTGTTTGTGTGTATAAGTTGTAAATACATACATTCAACAGCATGATGATGATGATGATGATGATAATCAACAATAATAATAATATTTTTAACCAAGCAACAGATTTTTCTAAAAAATTCAACACATTTTTCTTATTTAATGAACAATGTTTTATAATGATGATGATGATAATGATAATGAATGATGATAATGACGATGACGATGACGATGATGACAACTTTATAAATGTGTTTGCTTGTGTATATACTACAATTAACTTGTTAAATAATCAATTAAATCATTATATCATGTTGAAAAAAAACAGGTAAGTTTTATTTAAATTTTTTTTTGTTCATCTAAAATAGAAAATTCTTCGCTACATTTAAAGAATTTTTGTATTAGTAATAATGAAAATATATATTTGTTACTCATTTATTTCTATTATTATCTGTCGCGATCTTTTCGATATCCATCAATGATATTCATCAACAAATAAATACTGTTCTGCTTTTGCTGCTTTCACTGATAAGAGATATCAAATACACACAAACAATGATTATCATCTTTATCGTTCATACCAAACAGAAGCATTGATGATTTGATAATTTCATTTTTTTTTCATTTATAATCGAGGTAACCAAAAATAGTATAAGAAAAGTAAAAAAAAAAAATCGCGCTCATTTCCAATTATCATGTTTCATAGATAGATTACCTACAATAACAACAACAACAACAACAGTATAACTACACATGGTTAATTTGGTCTTCGTCTTCGTGATAATCGATCGACACCACTGTATTAATCATAATTCTTATGGCGATGATAATTAATAATGAAAATAATTTTTTTTTCATATTTATTTCAATTTCTATAGGATTCCAAAACCGATTGGTAAAAAAAATAGTGAATTGTGATTCTAGTTCAGCCTAGTGATATTTTTTTTTGTGCGTGAGTGCAATTTGTTTATTTTAATTTATATATATTTATTTAATTGATTTAAAAATAAATCGACGACAAAAATTACCGCTAAAAATATTTCACTTTACTATCCAAGAATCATTCAGTTTTTGATTAATCATCAATTGTGATTAATCATTGAAAGATTGTTTTTATTATTATGGGAAAATTGAAACGTAAACAGCTTCATCAACAAGTTACGAACCACTATCATCATTATAGTAACAATCGAATTACTTACCATAATCATCATCATCATCATAATCATCAATCATCATCATCTTGTTCACCATCATCATCTTCATTGTCACCATCAAGTTCTAGTGTATCATCAACATCACCATCACAAATATCGTCATCATCACGTGCTTCATCGCCATCATCATCATCATCATCATCATCAATACAATCATCAACATCACCTTGGAAATCACCAGTATCATTATATACAATTTCAGATGAAGATTCGGGTATAATTAGTAGTGGAACAACAACAACAACAACAACAACATCATCATCATCATCATCATCATTATCTGATAATTTGTGTTCTAATTTGAATATAAATACAAAAAATAATAATTCACTAATTCAAACAAATATTCCTGTGACAAAAGTTGCAAGATTTAATATAAACAGAAATTTATCTTCATCATCATCCGCATCATCTAGATCAAACCATCCATCTGGTGGTAATACAAATGTTTATGCCATGACAAATGGCCATGCTAGAAATATTGCAAACAACGCCGCTGCCGCTGCCGCTGCCACCACAACCACCACAACAAGATTGTCGTCAGTGGTAACAACAACTAATAATAATAATAATAATAATAATATTGGCGTTAATCATCTGCAACATCTTCTTCATTCACAACATCCTAATAATAATCATCATAATCAACATCATCATAACCACCTGTTGCATCAACAACATCAACCTCAACAGCAACAGCAGCAGCAACAACAACAACAACAACAACAACAAAATAAAGCTCAACCATTTTCAAGAAGAACTTTGAACATTTTACCACCACCGCCCACAAATTTTGGATCTTCATTTTCACATAATAATAATAATAATGTATCATCGAATTCATCATTGTCTACAAGTGAAACATCTATTCCTATTGTAACTCATTCAACCACTAGTAATGGATTTGTTTCTAATAATACAGCCGAAATTATTCGAAATTCATCATCATCGTCGATGCGACAAAGTTGTGTTTTAACACCAACAACAAATCAACAGAATAGTACTGTTTATCATAATCATATGAATCATTCTAATATGATTGTGTCATCATCGCCATCATCATCGTCGATTCGTAATTGTCAAAAAATGAGCCATTCAAATCAGAATTCGGCAGTTTCATTATCAACAACATTGGGCACTAATCCACATCAATATAATCAGAATAGTATGATTAATAATCGTATCGCACCATGTGCTCATCCATCACGTTCAAAGAATAATAAATATGAATTAAAGATTCTTTCACAGCCCGAAGAACAGCATAGGTATGTGTGATGTAATAATATATGACAAAAATTATTCATTTTGTTTATTTTATTCACAGAGCTCGATATTTGACTGAAGGAAGCCGAGGTGCTATCAAAGACAAATCTGGCCATGGTTATCCAATTGTAAAACTTTGTGGTTACACTCGACAACCAATTAAAATTCAATGCTTCATTGGACATGATAAACATATTGGTGTTCCACATCTATTTTATCAAGCATCGAAAATTGCGGGAAAAAATTCGACAAATTGTATGATGAAAAAAATTGATGGAACCAGTATAATTACAATGGAAGCATCGCCAGCCAATAATATGGAAGTGAATGTTGATTGCATCGGTATTCTAAAGGTTTGATTTTCGATCATGAATTTTTGAATTGTATTCATTTTTTTGTTCTTATAAAAACAAGGAACGAAATGTTGATGTTGAACAAAAATTGAATAAATTTCAAAAAAATGGCAATGGAAACAATATGACCACCGATGTTGATTCAATAACCAATATTAAACGATCAACACGTTGTCGTTTAGTATTTCGTTGTGAAATACCTGAAACAATGGAAATTTTGCAAACAGTTAGCACGCCTATTTTATGGTATTTATTCATTTTTTCTTTCTCGATGTTTTCATTAAATTAAACAAAAAAATAAATAAATAATCCAATCCAAAATATAGTACACAGCCTTTGGGTACACCGGAAATCAATAAAAAATCAATGTTCTGTTGTAATATTGATGGTGGTGAAGAATTATTTATAATTGGTAAAAATTTTCTCAAAGATGCCAAAGTAATATTCCGTAATGATAAATGGATCAAAATAGTCGAACCAAATCGTGAATATCTTAAATCGGTAAACAAATCAAAACATATGCTATTTTTATCTATTCTATTTCTATTATGTCAAATATTTAATTCAAAAACAAAAAAAAAATTGAAACATTTCCATTGAAACCTTTGACCTTTTTTGTGCTGCTGTTTTCTCTTTTCCTGTTATTTACTGATTTTTTTTTTGATCAAATAATAAAAATCCATTTTTTTTACAAAACAGACACATTTAATTTGCAAAATTCCACCATATGATTTATCAATTCCAACGGCAACAGTAAAATTATCTCAACAAATACAGACACGATCATTATCATCATCTTCATCCTCGTCATCATCATCATCACCATCATCATCATCATCAAACAGAAACGGATCCAAAATTGATCGAAGTTTTATTGATGGTCAAAAGTGGAGGAAAGTGTTCGGATCCACAGAGATTTTACTATCGAATACCAGATAGAAATAATAATTCACAACAACAAACATCCAACAATACTAGTGAGTACAAATCTTATCAATCAAATAAATGAATATGAGAGTTTGAAAATTTACCCAAAAAAAAAATGTTGACCTAACCTTCATTGAACTTTGTAGCCTTGAATTTTTCCTGATAATTTTAATGTTTGTTTGAAAAAAAATTAATTTATTTTTTTTCTCGTAATTTTCCATTAGACATGAACTTTGAAATGGATATGAGACTTCGGCGAACTGAATCATCGACGTCAACAATAAACAATTCAAATGAAGCCGTTCTTAATTTTATGGAAACCCGAATTAAATTGGAAACAGATTTGCAATCATCAAATTTAGTGACCAATGATCAACAACAACAACAATCTTGTGTTCAAACGAATTCAATTATAATTCCTACACATGTCACATCCGTGCAGGCTACATCATCACCATCATCATCATCATCATCGCTTTTATGTCGACAAATGTCCAATTTTAATCATGACAACTCCACAACAATGATCAATAATAATGATCAAATGAATAATAGTAAAGATTTGAAAGAAAATGATTTGAATAAATTAAGCTCATCCGAAAAATGTTCTGTCCCTTTAGTTTGCGATAATAGTTTGTTAGCGAGCTCTACAAGCTTAGCTACATTAACTACGCCGATCGTTGTTCCTTTTGAATCGTCGAATAATAATAAAGATAACAATAATTCATCATCAAATATGACCAATAATAACACTTTAGTTATGGATCTAAATCATCATGACAATCTATCTCATCATCGTCATCATCATCAACAATTTATTGATCATCATCATCATCATCATCATCATCATCATTTACAATCCACTACCTCGGTATCGTCAGCGACACAAGCAACAGTCGTGGACTCTAATGAAACAAACCAATCGATACAACAACAAACAACAACCAACAATTCAACAAACACACAGCAACAGGCTAATAATTTATATTCAATATTAACGGCAACACCTTCTTCATCATCATCATCAACACCATCACCAATTGCAACAACGAATGAAATGAATTCATCTCATCATCGAAATGCGTTAATTCAAAATAATTCAAATATTTCATCATCTCCGGTTGATTCGACAACAACAGCGACAATTATGTCTTTTCTTTCGAATCAAAATAATGTCATGACACCAACAGATGCATCATTAACATCACCATCATCGACAAATACGTTATCATCATCACCTACAGCATCGATAACATCATCATCATCATCATCAACATGTAGCGTATCCATTGTTAAACAAGAGGAATTAGTTGAAAATTTGATACGAGGATGTACTGGTAATACTAATCTAAATACTATCAACACAAATACACAATCCACACCATCAGGACAAATAGATCAATGTACTTCCGCAGCAATGGGGACAAATATCGTCTCTGATCAACAATTACAATATTTGAATCATCAAGCATTACTAAATCAAACATCTATAAATGGCAATGGAAATAATGGTAATGGAAATGTACATTTTACACAATCATCTTTGACCCAGCAACCGGAAAATATTTCACCATCATTACAATCAATTTTACAACCAGCCACAGATCTTACTAATACAGGAAATGTATCTATGCAAGTTGTTACTCAAGTTCCGATCACTCATTCAATTCAACAACAATCTACTGCTTCCGCATTTGTTCCATCGATTGATCATCCAATGACGAATATTAAAAACGAGAATGATTCAAATCTTTCACCACCACAATTAACACCAAATCCTGTATCTGCAACCACTACGAGTATTAAGGAATCTCCTTTACCCGAAATAAGTCTGCAAGATCTGAATAAACAATTAAATGCAATCGCCATACCTGTTGTTCGTCCTGTACAAATGAATACGGTTCCTCAAACAGCAACACAAACCAATATAGCGACTAACATGACGATGGCCATGGAAGGTGTGCTCGATGGATCTTATCCATCTAACAAGATCACCAATGAAACCACGGCAAATCAACTTCCACCTTTGCTGATAAATACTAATCATACATCAATGTTGACGGAAACTAATGCCAATCCTGGAAATGGTTCTGTCACAATTATTAATCAACAGCAATCGATAGTTGGTACTGATAGTACAGGATTGTTGAATCAGGCATCGAATCCATTATCGAATGGATTAGGATTATCAAGTTCAGATTTTCAAATGCTTAATTTACAAACTACACAAACAACATCAAATGATTTTATGGTTTCAGCGACGAATAATAATCCACCAATGATGGATACAATAATGAGCACTTTGAACCAGGCAAATTCAAACACCGCCAATGTGACCGTTACCACTACAAATCCAACAACAACAATAGATTCTTTTATGCAAACTTTACCCGTGTCAAATGCGGATAATTTGGCAACATTAGGAAATCCAAGTCAGCCAAATCAGCCAAAAATAACGGAACAGTTACCGTGTTCCATGATGACAAATGATTGTCCACCATTGATACAAACATCATCAACAATGACAATAAGTGAACCACTTGTTGCAACATCCAATCAATTAACAGCTGTAAATCAACAGGCATTAAACGTGCTAGAGCAACAGGTTGCAAATCAAAATCATCAATTACAGCAGGAAATATTGGATTCATTAAATCAGATGAACAATACTGGAGCTGTAAATGGTAATCAATTACAAAACATAGCTATGGCTGTGGATCCTACTCCATCATCATCATCATCGAATTCAACGATAGTTACGAATCAAACATCACCACCACAAGTTGGTATTTTAGGTTCTGGTAAGTTGGCATCGTATTGTCATCAAGAAAATAAAGTCGACTTAACATCAATAAACCAAACAAACAGTCTATCACAGGAAATGAATAGCGCTGCTACAACAAATCAGCAGCAGGTTTTCATGAGGACAATGTCCACAAATCTTGTACAGGAAACGCACAAACAGAATGAATTAATGTTACCAGCACCGACATCAATGATTACAAACCAAAATCAACCACCAATGGCTTCATTATCAACGGTTACATCTACAAATAATAGCAATAATAATAATGGCACAGTATTAACGACAACCGAGCCAAATGATTTAACAAGTGCTCAATCAAATATTTGTCCAATGTCCAAAATGAGTGATGCCGAATTGATTGTATTCATCGATCCGGCAGCATTTGATTGATAATGATCACATAATAATAATAATAATACAAAACTATCTATCTTTTTTGGCGAAATATTTTTTTTTTGTTCAATCATTTTTTTTCTCTCATATCTGAGCTTAAAAAAATCCAGTCATAAAATTCTTGTCATATATGTCAAAGTCAAAATCAAAATAAGTCATTTCTTGGACACATGAACCTCAATAACACATACACATATATATTATATTTGTATATTCTTTAACTGCAAAATTGATTCGATTCTATTGATTATCTTATCTATTTGCACTTTTACTATTATTTAAATTTAAACTTTGATTAATCTGAATATATATATATAAAACAAACGAAACAGAAAAAATTCGACAGATTCGAAAAAGGTTTTTATTATAAAAACGGTATATAATAAATATTCATATCACGATTTTGATTATCATTTTCTTTGTATAATAATCCTCATTCATTTCAAATTTTCTGTTAAAATTTTTTTTTATTACAAAAACATCTCAAATCATCATATTTACAGTTATTATTGATCGTTTTCTTTTTCATTCATTAAAGTTCATCACGTAGATGAACAGAATTTGGTCGATGGAAAGCAAAAAAATGTGTAGTGTGAAAGAAATTAAATCGATATAAGCGATATCGTGTGACGAAAGCACTGAATGATGAAATACAATTGCCGATAAAAACGTTTGAATGTGATAAAAGATAGAGATCGATGAGAAAATGTGCCTGTTTATTATGTTCACTAAATGTTCCATTCATTGTATTGAGGGTCAAGCTTGGCGTAATCAAAGTCAATGATGAAAAATGTTTTGTCAATGTTTGATTCAAATCCAGCCATAATGATTCGTTATTAAAATCGGTTGCTATGTAGATATGTTGGATTGGCTCTTTTTCATTTCGTTTCACTTCATCCTGGTTGTTATATGATTGTAATGATAATTTTATCCCTTCGATTATTTGCTCGAAAGAATGAAAGCAAAGATCAAATGTTATCCAGTTGTTTAGCCATCGATGTTTATCATTATCGCCTAAACATTGTTGAGAACTGAAAAGCTGTTTTAAATCAGGATTAGAATGGATCAGTTCACAGGCTCGAATCTATTTGTATAACAAACAACAATAATAATAATTTTAAGTCAATAAAAACAGGTTGAATGTCAATGAACACACTACCCAATCAGTGCCATGACGTAGGTGGATAGCTAAATATGGTTTTCTTGCGAATCCTCTTTCATCTCGATATTTTTGGGCTTTTTCCATGATACTTTTTGTAAAGTAAATATATTTGGACAATTTTACTGCTTTACTATTTGTTGGAAATGATGATGGTGCACCTGAAAATAATCGTTGTTTAATTGAACTAAAATTAAAAATAAAAATTAATTACTCGACCTACCTACTAAAGCTAATACTGGAACATTGTGGAATTTTTGTTTCCATTCATTCGAATAATTATAATCAGTATGTAAGGGTTTATAGTAAAGTGAACCTAAAGGAAATTCTCGAACGCCCAAATGATACCAGAATTCTTTGAAAGGACTTCCTTCAAAAGGATTACAACCTTGATTTTTTTCATTGTTTGAAAAATTTCTTGAAGAATAACAAGTGATACTTCGATTTTCATGTTTCCAAATTAATGGTGCTAATTTTGACAAGAAATCTTGCATTGTCATCACTCGATGATATTCACGAATAGGATCAATCTCTAAAATATCTTCAAATGGTTGAAAAGTTACTTTATAATCAACATATTCAATGAATGGTGGTAAAATCAATGTTCGATCAATTGATTTGGCAAATTGTAAAGTTCCTAAAATTGTTCGGCTTGATTTCCAAAACGTCCTGTGGAATTAAGAATAAATAATTTGATTGAGAAAAAATACCATATTCAAAATTATCATACCCATGCATGGACAATAAAGTAAATATCCATTCGGATCGATTGAAATATCGGAACCGGTCGAATTAACATTGTCGGAAAATAATAAAACAATAAGGTAGCAGAATATGGCAAATATTTTATAAAATGACATCACAGAATGTATATTTTTTAGAATTTTAAATTTAAAATTGTAAAATTCAACTTGAATTTGGCGGAATGAAAAATGTACGGCTAGAAGCATGCAAGATCGATAATAAACATTGAGCCGCAATCGATTATCAACTTCTATGACAAAGGATTCGTTCTTCACTTTTTACGCTCTATCAGCTGTCACTATTGGATTTCACAATTCCAAAATAAAATGAAAAAATAAAATCTGTTCATCATTCAATTGGATCATCACAATAGTTTATCACCAAAAATGTGGCATGAAGCAAGAAAACATGAGAAAAAAATTCGTGGTATTATGATAGATCATAGACGTCGTGCCGAAAAACGTCGAGAATTTTATGAAAGTATCCGTAGAGATCCGGCATCATATCTTCAGATACATGGTCAACAAATGAAAATACATATCGATCCGCTCATTTCACAAGCTGCCGAATCATCTTTAGTACCGTGGATGGGTGATCAAAATAACCTGATAGATCGATTCGATGTTCGTGCCAATTTAGATTGTATACCAAGTTCAGCAGATGTTGGTACAAATGACAATGATGAAGGGTTGCTTACATCCGATCAAGAATGTCAGCTCAATTATGAGCGATTTCGTAATCTTGTGCAAAATGATTTTGTTGATAATAATGAACAAAAAGTTTTACATAAAATATTTCTTAAAGAAAAATGGGGAGAACAACAACAGCAGACAAATAATGTGAAAACAAAGAATGAATTGAAGAAAAAATTGGCGGAAAAAAAGTCTGCGATTGGATATAATTATGATGATAATGATGGTAAATCATCTAAAAATGATGATGAGACATCAAGCGAATCTGGAGATGATTCGGATGATGAAGAATTTGAAGATCTTGACACTATCGTGTTTGTTGATCAATTGGATTTGGATATGTGTGAACGTGTTAATATTGTTGCCAAAAAATATGGCATCAAATCTGGAGCATTTATGAAATTCATGCAAGCTGATAAAGCTGAAGCTGATCGTTTGCGCATTGCTAAAGAAATAGAGAATGAAAAATCAATGTTTGTTGGTCGTAAATCTCGTCGAGAACGTAAAGTATTAATCCAACAACGTTTGTTGATTTTACGTTCAATCAATATGGATGATTGTGAAGTTGATCATTTTGCTGGAGAAGAAAAACAACAGAAAAATAAATCAGATTCTTCATCCGCTGAAAATGATGATGATGATGATTCGAAAAGTGAAATTGAAGAAGGAAAAATTGAATTTATCACATCATTTGGTAATGATGAAGATGAAACTATGGATAAACCGGTGAATAAAAAGAAATTGAAAAAAATTGTTCAAAAATCAAAAGAATCAAATAAAAAGAAATTATCAGAAAAATCGAAACAAATACCAGCCAAACAAATTTCATCGAATCAACCATTGATATATGGTCCAACATTGCCTGTTGATGTGGCCAATTCAAAAGTCGATTCTAATATTCGTTTTAATCATACTTCTAATTCAAATGTAAAAAATCGTCGCTGTTTTCGTGAGGCTAACAATGATGAAAAATTTACATTCGATCGATCTCCCTCATATACCATTCGTCGTTCACCAAGTGTACGTCGAAGATATTCAAGTGATGATGCTAATTCTTCCGATGAAAGTATGAGCCATAGAAGTCGATCTAGTCGACGACGGCTTTCACCACCATCTAGATATCGAAGTCGGTCTCGTTCACATTCTCGTTCACACAATTACCGGCGTAGTAGATCAAAAAGTCCACGCCGTAGAAAAACTTCATATCGAAAGCGAAGCAGATCAAAAAGCCCTATTCGTAGATCTGATCGCCCATCTTCGAGACACAGGGATCACAAGCAAAAACAAAAATCTCCAAATCAAAGTCTTATTCCTATCAAAACTAATGATGTAAAACTCGAAACAAATGATGATAATATGAAATTATACAAATTACTAGAAAAGATTGAATCAAATGCCAAAAAATGTCGAAGAGCTAGTTCTAGAGACAGAAAAAGTGAAAAAACTGATGAAATTGAAGCGAAAAGTCAATCCGAATCTAAGTCAATGATTAATTTGGTGGTGGAAAAAGAAAAATCGCCACCAATTAAACGATATTATCGTCATGATTTAGTCGATTCTCAAAGCGGCGATGATCATAGCGATGATCCAAACATCGATTCTGACGAGAAAAAGTAAGTACCTTTTGTTAGCCATATATTTTTATATTTCTCATTTTCATTATTTTTTAAAAAAATAGATCAAACCTTTCTGTAATTCATGCAAATTCATCCGAACCAACTAAACATTCATCATTGACTAATGTCAGTATTGAAATTTTTAACGTTTTTCGATTTATTATATTTGGTTCATTCATATATAAAAATTAATTACAACAGCTTTAAACGGGTTTATTATTATTATTATATTATTATTCTTATTGATGAAATTTTCATCTATTCGAATTTTTTACTAATTATTTTAAATGTTAATTTAACAGTTAACACCTTCAGCAGCATCAAAATCCAATTCATCATCATCATCATCATTGGTAATAACACCACAGGAACGTCTTAAACGTTTGATGAAAGCTCAATTAGATAAACAATGTTTGTATTATTATATGAAATATGAATTTCTAAATTTTAATATTATTATCAATTTTAAATTAGATAAATTGGATAAAAAAGCTGAAAATGATCGATTAGAAAGACGAAAAATAGAGCAACGTGAACGTAAAGAAGAATTTGATAAATTATCCAGGTTGTATGGGTTCCGGTTTTTTTTACATTCAGTTTTTTTCTAACAATTTACTTTTTTGAATAAATTTAGACGTAATAGACGATCTCCTAGTCGATCATCGGATTCTTCTCGTTCATCTCGATCATCATTTAGTTCATATTCGAATTCGGATTCATCATATGATAGACGAAAAAGGTATCATTCAAGATCTAGGTCCCGATCACGATCAAAATCTCGACATGGAACTAAAGAACGTTATCGACGACAAAGATCTCGATCCCGATCAATCACACCCCATGATCGTCGACATTATCATCATCATCATCATCATCATCATAGTAACCATTCATCAACATCCAGGTATCGATCATCAAGACGATAAAAGTCTTGATGAAAAATTCTCTTTAATTTATTTTTTTTGTGAATAAAGAAAAAATAAAATAAAATTTTATTCAAAAAAAAAAATGATTCATTTGTGTTAAACTCATTGTGTGTAAATAGCCTGAAAGGAATTGCGCATGCATAAATCGTATTAATAAATGTTTTTTAGTAAGCATCATCATATTGCATTGTTGAATCATTGCATTAGTTTGATTGATTGAAAAAAAGAAATTAAGATATTTTGACAAGTAATCGTAATTTCGAATATTGTTGAGTGATCAAAATATTTAAATCGTCAACGTCATCCATCTCATTATTATTATTATTTGTTTATTGTTTATCATTTTTGATTGATCGTTGTAAATATATACATTATATTAATAATAGATTTGTTGAGAATATTCACCAATTCCATTGATTCGACAATACTTGTTGATTGGTATCAAATTACAACATGAAATTTATATTCACTACTCAATGTTTCTTTTTAATCTTGTCATCATTTTTGATAACCAATGTGTTGACTGTTGAATCGGCTGATTCTACATCAGGTGGTGTTAGTAAACAGTCTGCTCAAAATAAATTGAACCAACCAAGTTCGAAAACATCATTGATTGTGATCAATGAAGATGATTGGGATCAGATGCTTCAAGGCGAATGGATGGTTGAATTGTAAGTTTTTCGAAATTATTTCAAATAAAAAAAATCTCAACTATTGTTTTAATTTATGATGATTAGCCACGCTCCTTGGTGTCCAGCTTGTCGAGCTTTGCAACCCGAATGGAAATCATTTTCAGTTTGGAGCTCAGATCTTGGGTTTGTTTTTAAATTATATTTTTCAAATATGAAAACAATTAATTCGTCAATTTATTTATCAATTCAGAATTAAAATCGGTGCCGTCGATGTCACTGCAAATCCTGGTTTGACAGGACGTTTTATGGTGACCGCTTTGCCTTCAATTTATCAGTAAGTATCCTTTATGCAACATATAATTTTTTCAATCTATTAATTCATCATCTATTTAGTGTTAAAGATGGCGTATTTCGCCAATACAAAGGAACACGTGACGTAAATACTTTTGTCAGTTTTATTGAAGATAAAAAATGGCAATCAATTGAACCAATCAGTTCATGGAAAGCTCCCAATTCTATCCCGTAAGAATATTTTAATTTACAATTTTCTTCTAATCGTTATCTTTTTCTCATATTAGAATGTCGATTGTTTCTAATTTTTTCAAAATATCTATGACTCTTCGAGCAGTCCATAATAGTCTAGTCGAAGATTATGGCATTCCGTATTGGGGATCATATATTTTGTTTGCATTTGCAACCATTTTGTTTGGTGCAATGCTTGGATTGGTAAGAATAATAAAGCTGATGTTTATTTTTTTTATTAAAATTTCCTTCCATATTTTAAAATAGATGATTGTTTGCGCTATCGATATTATATATCCTGCCAAACCTCATGACGATATTTTAAAACGGCCATCCACACAAGATGATCTAATTGATGATACGGAAGATTTGCAGAATAAACGTAACAATGATGATGATGAAACCGAAGAAGATGATTTAACCGATGAACAAGATGATGATGATGATGAAGAGGAAGAAGAAGAAAATTATCATGATGAAGATGAAGATGAAGATGATGGACCACGAATCGAAGAAGTTATTGATGATGAATTGATCGAAAGTTCACCTGAACAAAAACGATCAAATGTTCGCCAACGTAAAGCACGTCGAGATTAATTGGAAACAAACAAAGAAATATTTTAAAATCCAGAAATTTATTATTATTAATAATTAGATTAAAAAAAACACGCACATTGATGATTCGATGATTGTATTGTAAAATTGTTTTTTTTTTTGAAGGAGCAACTTACGACATCACAACGAGATTGTCTTCCATCAATGTTATAAAAAAAGTAATGTTTGTTTAATTTAAACTATTGATTTTCTCTCTTTCCAAATGATGGTACATGATTCTCTGTTTTCTTTATGCAAAAAAAAAAAAATCGATCCATGGTATAAGATTCATCATATGTTTGTTTCGATATAGCCGTGAAAAATTACCATCATCAATATCTCTACACATTTATATTTGTATAATAGGTTTTCATACCTATTTTATTTTTTACTTTTAATTTTCATAATTTATCTCTCTCTTAATAATGCTCTATTTGTCGTCTATTATAAATATAAATTTTAATTAATAATAATATCACTTTTCATTGGATTCTTTCTCTTTTTTTTTTGGTGTTGTATTACCCATGGAATATTTATAATTTTGATCGACAAATAAAACTGGTTGATTGATTGATTGATTGATTTGGATTAAAATGGGATTATTACTGTTCGAATGGTTGAAATTCATCCAAAAAAGGATCATTTTATTCAGAATCAACGCAAGCGCATTACTGTCTGTCCACAATACAGACACAATGAACTCAGCTGCATCATTTTCATAATACATACATTTACTCATTTAATTTGCTTTGAATTTTGTATTTGGAATTTTTTTTTGAAAAAGAATCCAATTTTCAATGATTAAATGAAATGATAATATTGGTGGAAACGAAAAAAAATTTCTTCTTTACAAAATGATGATTATGAATCCTAATAATGATCGTGATTCAATGAACGATTCGAATACGGTTTGTTATTGAATTTTATTTTATTTTTTTTTTCATTTAATAATGAAACTTTTTGGATCCTCGAATAGAATCTTCTTGGTGATGATGGTGATAAGATTGAAAATAAAATTGATAAATTATTCGAAATTCATTCGGAAAATGAATCAAATGATACTGATATAAATGAACGATTTAGCCATTCATCACCAACACCGCCACCACCACCAGCTCCCGATCTAATACCTCAACTGAATCAACAACATTCTAATAGCGATATCACCACAGAAATTGTACGAGCAACACAATATGGAAATTTAGATTTATGTCAGAAAATAATTGATTCCGGACGTTATGGTGTTAATCAACGTGATCATGAAAACGTCACCCTTCTTCATTGGTCTGCTATCAATAATCGATTGGATTTGGTTAATTATTTCATATCGAAAGGTGCCATCGTTGATGCTATTGGTGGTGATCTTCAATCTACTGCACTTCATTGGGCAACCCGACAAGGACATCTTCCAATGGTAGTACTATTGATGCAACATCGAGCTGATCCATCATTATTAGATGGTGATGGATATAATGCTCTGCATTTAGCTGCTCAGTTTGGACATACTTCAATTGTGGCTTATTTCATTGCCAAAGGACAAGATATAGATGCTCCCGATACAAATGGAATGACAGCATTAATGTGGTCTTCATTTCGTAATAATTCGTATGTATTTTGTGTTGATTAATTCTTTTCAAATTTTAAATTTTTCGTATAGAATTGATCCCACCCAACTTTTGATAACATTAGGAGCAAATTTATCATTGACTGATCGAAATCGTAACACAGCATTACATCGTGCGGTATTGGCACGAAATCCGATAGCTGTATCATTATTGCTCAAACATGGAGCCAATCCTAATCTGAAAAATATTGCCGGCGATACACCCATTGAAATGTCTGTCAAATTTCATGCCAAATTCATTCATAGTTTGTTTATGGAGAATCAAAAACAAATTGAAGCTAAACAACCATTAGCTAGGATAAAGATTGCTCCAAACACCGAGATTCGTATACCGAAATGGCGTGATCCACAATTTCGTCATTATGTGATGGCATTAACACCATTCATTTACTATTATCTGTTTGGAAAACTATGTGAAAGTGATCTGATGTTATCAAGTAAAGCTCTACTATTAATAATGCTAGTCGGTCTACTTTATCTTCTTATTCGATACATGTTTGATGCTAAACAATTGAATGTTTTGGCCATTTCATTATATTTATCCACGAAAATCTGGCTTTACATAACATTTTTTCAATATTTTCTTTTCGGTAAGTGTTTTTTTCTGAATGATGTTTCTTTAAATAATTGAATTTAATTTATTATTATTTATTGTTCTTTGTTAGTTTTTTCATCATTCGAATTATTCATATTCATTTTATGTTCGACGGGTCTATTTTATAGTTTTTATAAATGTTATCATAGTGATCCTGGTTATATTTCCAATAGTCGTGAAGAACAGATCAAGGTATGGTTGGATTTAATTGTTGCTGTGAATTTTATTGAATGTTACATTTTTTTTTATTTTGTTAGACCATAATCGAGCTAGGTGAACATGAAGGTTTTGATTCATCATGGTTCTGTTCAACATGTCTGATACGTAAACCAACACGTTCGAAACATTGTTCATTATGTAATCGTTGTGTGGCACGTTTTGATCATCACTGTCCATGGATTGGTAATTGTGTTGGATATCGTAATCATAAATATTTTATCTGGTATCTTGCTACATTATCAATGACTCTATTCTGTTATATTGTTGCCACCATACATTGTAAGTTTCAGAAAGAGAAAAAATTCACAAGAAAAAATATCACTTATATTTTATAAATATAGATTGGGATTTTCTTGATGACATACGAGATGATATCAACGAATCTGATCGAATAATGACCAATAGAAAGCATGAATCTTTTGTGGATGTTTGGTCTAATGTAGTCACATATAATGGATGGATCACATGGTCACTAGTCAATGCTTTGATCCATGTCATTTGGGTTGTTTGCCTATTATTTTTTCAATTATATCAGGTAAGCAATTGATTCGAACTTGTTTCATTTATTTTTTTAACAATTTTTTTTCACGAAAAAAAATCAAGATAACTTGCCTTGCTATGACAACTAATGAACGAATCAATGCTGATCGATATCGATATTTTAAACAAAATAAACGTTCTGGAAATATTCATAATCCATACAAGTAAGAAAAATTATCATTTCATTTCAAAGAAACATTTATCTTTTTTTTCATTCATATAGCTATGGTTTTATTCGAAATTTTATTGAATTTTGTGAATGTCGCCGTTTAAACATGTGTTTATATAAATCACCAGATCTACATGATTGGCGTTATGTATTTGAAAATTTTGAAGCAATGGGCCGATATGATTCCGATGATGATGATGATGGTGGTGGTAGTTCATCACATGATGAAATCAATGTTTAATACAAAAACAAATGGAACATGAAAAAATTGAATTCATCCAGCATTTTTTCCACATTTTACCTAGCCCATGCACACATACCCACACACTCTCTCAGTATTCCAATTTGTAATGATTTGTTTTGCTTGAGTTTGTGAACATTTTTTTTTCTCAATAATATTTCGATATATTTTATTTTGAATTATGTGCATTTTTTTTTTTTTGCTTATATTCCATAAGAAATAAAAGAATTTTTTTCCACTGGATAAGTCATATTAAAATACACACACACACACATATGGTACAAATCTTACGGATTTTGTTTTTCCAATTCATCATAACTTATGATTACCTTTCGACCATTCAAAGTTTTAATTTCCGATCCTTTTTTTTTTTCTTAATCTAATCTTTCTTTGGCACCTTGGCTTCGCACACACACACACACACACGCATATTAGATTCAACCCTTTCATTCAATATTCATTCATGGTTTATCGTTAATTCTCCCTGGTTAACGTATAGGAAGAGAGAGAGAGAGAGAGAGAAAAAAGCAAAGGAAAATTTTCTTGGATTGTTCATTTTTTTTCTGTATTTTTTCTTTTTCAATAATAAGAACATATGTAAGTCATTCAGCATAAGAATGAATGTGTGTGTGTGTGTGTTTGTGTGTAGTGTATATTTAATTACTCAATGATCATATAGAGTTATCGATCATCAGATTGTATATGATGTACGTACAGATATTATTATTATTCATAGATTTATTCGTAGATATTTCACTACAAATGTCTTGAATTAATCTTTTTCTTTCTTATTCACACATTTGAGGTAGACAAACTTTTTTCGTTTCTTTCTCCGTTTGTGCAAACTGACCACCGAAATGACCAATCATAATAATAATCTCTTTTTTTTACATTTTCTTTCGTATTTAGTTGCACCCTTTAGTTTCATGACAAAAATAATAATGATATGACACAAAAAAAACACATGTATTTGGCACACTTTTTTTTCTTATTGTTCTTCATTTTGGTTCCGTCGACATCATTTTTTTTTCGATGTTTCTCTAATAACTTGTGTTCAAATCAGGTTTCTATTCTAATCTATGAATGTATGAATGAACTCTTTTTTTTTCTTCAAAAGCTTTATAGAGATCAAGACATCTATTGTCTATGTCAAAGGTCGTCGGCATGTGTCAAACAAAATGACACACACATACATACAATGAATTTAAACCGCAAAAACTCTTTCCATATTCAATTCAAAATATTTCACGCGTATGTGTGTGTGTGTTCGGTAAGATTTTCATTCATTTTTATGTGGAATAAGAAGAAGAAGAAAAAAATTGAAGGCCTGATCAAACTTTTGATTGTGACAATGGTCAAAATAAAATAAAAAATGTAACAAACGGGTCAAAGGTGAACGTGTGTTGTGTCGATTGATTCGATTGAGATGTTTTAACATTTTTTATTTCTTATTTTGGACATAAAATGATGATACACAATAAATGATTGTGTATCATTTTGTATCCTGTCCTAATTTTTTTTCTCTCTATTTCCAATGATCAAATTGAATCACCAAAATTGACCATTGATCCAAAAAAAAATATATCTGTAAAAGAAGGCCAAATGTGTGTGTGTGTGACAAGAACTATATTCACATGTAATGCAAAAAAAAAGAACATTGGTCAAATTATCGAGAAAAATGAAACATACAAGATATCATATTGCAATAAGAAATTTTGCAATTTCATTTGTTTTGGTTTCATTGGAAAGAAACTAAAGATTTCTGTTTCAAAAAAAAAAAAAAAAATTTTTCCATTGAAAACCATCATCACACCATCATTTATCGTGGTGTGTTATTATGTTTATGTCACAAAATTATAAACATTTTAAACTCTAAAAATCCACCATAATTTGTCCCAACATGCTATTACATTGTTGATAATCGATCAATCGTCTAAACAAACTAAGATGGCTGTGAAAAAAAAAATTCGTTGGAAAAAAAAACATCATGTTCTTTAGTTGTTTTATCAGCAAAAACATTTCGAAACTATATAATATTGTTCATTGTAATCATTATCATTCTTTGTCTTTTTTTTTCTTAGTTCGAGAAAAAAAAGAGATATTTACTGTCCAATTAGATTATCATCAGAATAATACTAATATACAATTGGATTGTTGGAACATTAAAATCAACACTTTTGAAATGAACTCGTCTTTAGTATAATTGACAAATGTCAAATCAATTGTTTTTCATCCACATATATAGGATATATATTGTTTGTACATGTTGTGTACTAAGCTGGTAATAATTAGACGAAATGATGATGATTCCATTCCATTTTGGGTTTCCATTTTAATGAACACCACACACACGGAATTGAATAGTAGTCGCAGATGTGCTGAACTTGAACTTGAATTTTATTCTTTCAATACAGAATCATAAGAACTAAAGCATTATTATTTTTATTGTTTGATAATGTGAAAAAAAACAATTATTTCAAAGATAATTTAAAAATAAAGCAAATCAGTCAAATGTGAATGTGTGAATTTCAATATAAATATCAGTGTATAGAAAATAATGATGAATGTGTTGATGGAAGTAAAAATTGGTTTTAAAAAAAAAATTCCATTTAGATGAAATCAGCAAAATAATCTTCGACTGATAATTCATCTTGCATCTGTTGCAATGTAGCAAATCGTTTTGTTTCATTTTCATCTTGTAATGGTGCCGACATTATTTCATTATGATATCGTTGAATATAATAATCACTAATTTCGGATGAAAAATGATGTTCACGATATTCATGGCGGGTCAATGGATAAGCATTTTCGATTTCATCGATTTTTGGCAATGGAGTTGATTTCAAATTAGTAGATTTCTTCATACTTGAACATTGTTGTTGTTGTAGAATTCCTTTCGAATTTTTTTGGCTTTGATCTTTTTTCAACGATTGAAATGGTGTATTCGAAAGATTACCAAGCTTACGACGATTATTAGCCGGTGTATTGGTGCTCATCAATGATAAAACTTTTTTACGTTCTACCATATTCATGGCTGATGGTTTGATTCCCATTTGAATAGTGGACAAATCATTTTCATTCAAACGAATTTGACGATCAATTTCCATGATATATGATGATGATCAAAATTATTTCGTAGAATAAACTGTAAAAAAATAGAGATCAAGAAAGAAAGAAAAAAAATATCAATCTAACACAATGAAAAGAGAGAAAAAAATCTTTAAAGAAAAAAAAATAATTAATTATCAACAAATACCAACAAAACAATTGGCTTTTATATGTGTTGAAGCAAACAAACAAACAAATAAATCGCAGATTCACGTTTAATCGAAAGAAAAAACAAAAACTTTAAAAAAAGTCAAATATCAGAAAAAATAAACGTTCATATCATATAACTCAATGAACAACAATGTTTTTGACGGTTGAAAAAAAATGATTGTTTAGCAACAAATGCGCAAGCGTGAAAAGAAATTTAAATACCCAAAACACACACACATTTGAATTCGAACGCTTTTTCAAAATCAACACCAGCGGCGCACACATAATGGACATTTTATGTTGCAATAGATTTTTCGATTATGGAATCATGTGGGTGTGTGTGAATAACCTATGATCAATTCACAAATATTGATTCTTATGAAACAATATTGAATATATATTGAAATTATCATTGTTTCAGGTGTGTGTGTGTGAAAATTTTTCATAGGTTTTTAGTTTCTTTTTTTTCAGTTGTTGATCAAAATCAAAACATTTTGATTATTTGGTCAATTGTAAGCGAAAGAAATACATATTTTGTCGCCAACCTTCAAATCTTTTTTTTTCAAACAACAAACAAATAAAAAAATAATTGCATTTTCTTTATTTGTGTATGTGTCCGATGATTGAACATTTTTTTTTTTGACATTTGACATTTGTCGTCAATGGTCAACATAAAGCAACATATTGTCAAATGTCAATCTTGTATTCTTGATGGCTAAAATCTTTACCCATTTTTTTTTTAAAAAAGGGTTACCAAGTTTTGTAAAAAAAAAAATTTTTGTTTTCTTTTTGAAAATTTGTTTAATATTTTTCTTTCTTTATCATTAGATTTTATTCACAAATATAATTTGATTATGACAATATTTGGACAGGAACAATCATTTTGAACGGGATTTCTTTTTTTTTTTTTGGACAAAAAATTGAATCAAAATCAAACCAACGAATATATTGTTATTCAAAACGGACAACAGATGTGTTCGATTTCACACACTCACATCATCATCATAGTGTAATGGTCAAACTCAAATTCAATCATCATGACATCGAACCTTAGTGATAATATAATAATAATTATGTGTTATGATTGATAACACGAAAAAAAACGAAAATTCGATTGATAACGCATGCAATAACGAAAAAAAAAGTGTTCGATGACACAAAAAAATACGATTTGCGTGATCAATTTCATTTACAATATTATTTGTGCATAATATTGTTATTCAATTCAAACACACACACACACACATATACAAATCATCGTGTCATCACACTCTCATACACAATGAAAATGACGATGACAAAAAAAAAAAAATACTTGAAAAAATTTATTATTTGCATTCATGTTTGCATCGTGTTCTTGTTGTCACATTAATTCATCGTTTTTCATCATCATCAAATACGAATTGAATCAATCAATCAATCAATCAATTTTCATTGAATTCTACAAGATAATAAATTTTAAATAAGTGAAAATTATCGTATCATCATTTTCTAACGGTAAATATAATAATAATTTCTGTTTTCTTTTCTTCATTCTTTCAAACTAATACATTATCCTCCCTATAAAAGAGCCATTAGAGTGAGTGATTTTATGATTTTCTAAGAATTGATCATTTCTTTTTTTTTTTTTTGCTATACACGTTATGTACGCATAATAGATATATAACGATGACCGTTGTGATATTATAGTCATTTAGTGAATGTGACATTTTTATTACCATTGTTGCCTATATATAACGGTATTTTTCTGGTGATTGGTTAAAAAAAGTGATTCGATTACCTGATGATGATGATGATGATCACTTATAGTGAAGTTTTTTTTTTTACTCTTCCCAAGGTCTTCATTATGTTTGTCTGTGTGTGTGTGTGTGTGTTCATGAAAAATGACAATCTTAATTAACGGTATTCACATTTCCGGTATCGGGTTTTATTAACTCCTTTAGGCATTTTTTCTTTTTTTTTCTTGAAGAAATTTGTCTTGTATATTTTCTTAAAATTCTAAAATTAGAAAAATGTTGGTTTGTCGCTGATCATAACAACAATGACAACAGCAGCAATTTTGTTGTATATCGATGAGTTTTGTATTAGTCATTTTTCGATCGTTGTTGAAATGATTTTGATTTGATTTTTTTTTGTTCTTGTTATTGAAGTTTTTTTTTGAATGTGGTGCAATAAATCATAATGGTTGGTCACAAAAGTGTTCAGATTTCAATTTTTTTTCTTTTCATTTCAATTTCTTGTTGGAAAATTATTTTCACATTTAAAATTGTCGTTGAAATGGTTTGCTTTTTTATCGCATGTGCTCCATACACACACACACACACACACACACACTTACAATATAAGATGATGGAAAAAAATCTCAATTTGTAAATCCAAGAGAGAGAGAGAGAGAGAGAGAGAGAGAGAGTCATTTCATATCCGAGGGCCAAAGGATTGAAGTTGGCACGTACGTGTTTTTTTTTGTACGTATGTTATATCCATAACATATTGCCTGCATGCCTACCAAAACTTTCTATGCTTGATTGAATTTATTTCGTTCAGTCATCATCGTTTTCGTTTTTCTTATAATAAATTTAGTCCAACCAGTTATTCCATCAAACAGTTGAGAAAGACGAAAAAAAAAAATCATAGTTATCAGTTCATTCACATTAGGCCAGGTCCGGAACTTTAGTTGTTGTTGTCGTCGTCGTTATTCATTCATTCAATATATGTCTTATACTTGTTATAAAGGTTGTTTTTTTTCTTTGCTTGATTGCTTTCTTTCATTTTCATCTTATTTGCTTTTCACCATTCTTTTTTATTTTATCGATCAATACATGCTTACAACGATAACCGGGATATACTTCATTAAAACTACATTAACAAAATCCGGTCATGATGATGTTGATTATGATGATGGTGATGTGATAAGATGTACGGCTAAAACTCTTTTGTCATACATTTTCACATATAAAGATAGATAGATAGATAGATTTGATTAAATTATCATCTAGTGGTTTTTATCTTTTCCTATATATGACAGGATTTTTTTTTCTTTTCAAAGATTAATCTTGACACAATCTTCAATTATTCTTTGTCTTATATACCAACACAACAACAGCAGCAGCAATAACACGATAAATCATCAATCCAATGGCGCCAGTCATTTCTCTAATTTTGACATTTTTTCCCTTACTCTATTTCATCCTCCATAATGTGTTTGGTATTGATTTCTTGAATCGTTCATTATATATTATACAAGGGTCCTAAGTCGAACGATGATGATGATGATTGGTTGTACAATTCATTTTTTTTTCTTTCTTTCAGTTGGTACGGAATTTCATTTACAAAAAAAGGTTTTTATTTCGTTTGATTTGAAGCTAAATGTGTACTTGTGTCTGTATATCTGTGTGTGTGTGTTTGTGTGCAACCGAAACATGACCTTTGCATTTCGACCTTGACATTGACATTGAACTATTTTGTCAGTTTTTTTTGGACAGTTTCAATTTTTTTTTTGCTGAATCGGTCATTTGATTGGTTGTTTGGTTGGTGGTCAGTCAGTAGTGGTGGTGAGTTTTCTCATTTTTTTTCTTCTCATTCTTGAACCAAAAAAAAAGTTTTCTCCGTTTTTGTTTGGCTTCATAACAAGAAGAAAAAAAATCGTCGATATGGTCGATCAAAAAGAAAAACGGACGGACGGACTAATTTCGTGCTGTGAGATCATATATGTAAGAAGATGGAAAATGATGATTACACTTGTATGTGTGTGTGTGTGTGTGAACCAAAATGACCAACACACCAAACAGCAAAGAAAAAAAAATGCTCAATATATTTGATCCACTGAATGTCCTTGAAAGGATGTGGTAAAGAGAAAAAATTTTTTATAAGACGAACACATTCTCAAATTATAGTAAACAACAACAACAACAACAACAAGTGCAATAACCAATTATACATACACACGTTTGTACGTAAAAGTTATGTTATGTTGATTGACTTTTGACATTTCTTTCTTTCTTTTTTTTGAAATGTTTTTTTTATATAAATATAAAGATGATTTTTGTTGATGAAAATTCTTGACATTCTTTTAGTGGTTACGAAACATGAATCTTGATTCTTGCAACTTTTACTTTCTCATACTATTGTGTTTGGAATTTTTTTTTTAAATTTCAGAGAATCAATTTTGAATTTTGATTTAAGGTCATCGTTCAATCAGATGATGATCGAGTAGGAGTATCTCACTTTCTCTCTCTCTCCTTCTCTCAAGCTTTTTTATTTGTTGCTATTTGTGGTTATATTCGATACGCTTTTAACCCTTTTTTTTATTTATATTAATGGTCACAATGTGTCGATGTGTTTGTGTGTGAATCACAATCGACAAATCAATCGAATTGAAAATGAAATAAAACGAAACTGTGATTGTAATAGAAAACATAACGCTTGCCACGCGTCATCATCAATATCCATGGCGAAAGGATTTTGTCGCCTAAAAATAATCTTTCTCTTTGCCCAATCGATAATTGATTTATTCGTTAGTATAAAAGATATATATCAAAAATAAATTGACCAGTAGCCAACAACTAGTAGTAGCTATAAGAGTTCTAATGCATCCCATCAATCAATCTATAAATGTGTGTTTTGTGTGTGTTTGTGTGTGTGTGAAATATTGTCCGATTTTTCGGGTAAATACATTTTTGTTTGTTAACATTATACCATCTTATCATTGTAGAACGTAACCAGTTTTTTCTTTACTTTTTATATTTATATATATCCTGACAATGTGATATTTCCTGGATATCACACAATGTTTTTTTTTCACTGTTTTTGTTTTGTTTTCAAGGTCAACATATATATTATTTTTTTTGGCATGTTATATATGTGGATTGTGAAAGTGAAAGCCCTGAATATATAATATGTATGTCCAGTATATATGTACCAATAATACACAAATCCATTTCATCATCATCATCATCATCATAACATTTTAAATCATAATTGTTGTGTGTATTTTTATTCTTTTCGGTTCATTCAACTGAGATATATTTATCGTCAGAAAAAAAACCAACGTTTGACCTCAAGGTCACGTACTATATACACAACAACAACAATAAATGATGACTGATGACCACTCTTTTCTATTCAAAATTATTATTATTATTGTTTGTATTCGCGCGAGCCAGATGTTTGCGAAAAAAGAAAGAATGGAATGGAACCGAAAATCAAAGATCTTTTTTTTTCTATATTCGCTATCAAAATGAGTATTACCGGTGGTTGGTTGGTTATGATTTCATAAGTGAAAATCATATACAACAATAATTCGATTATATATAGTGAAAAATGAAATGATTATGACGATTATGAATGATGATGATCAAATATTGAATATCAAAAAAGGGTTGATATTGATTGAACAATATTTATGGTGGGTTCCATTCGTTCAGTGATTTGTTCCGTTTCTTATGGATCGATCCATAATAATAATGAATAATAAGACCTTTTATCACCGAAAAAGATTTTTTGTTTTGTTTCTTGAAAATTTTCTATGAACACAATTTTTTTTTGAATGAAAAAAAATGAAAAAATTATTCATATTTTTTTCATTCAATTTTTTTTCAAGTCACACGTTTGATTGTCGTCACTTTGTTTGTGTGAAAAAGGTGTTTGAATATAATTCCATAATTTTTGTTTTTTTTGTTGTTGTTGTTGTTGTTGTTGTACCATTTTTCTGGACGAATGAATTGAACAAACAAACAAACCAACAATGAACGATTTATGAAAAATCAAACTGGTTTTCTCTATTCAATTTGATTCAAAAATGGACCGTTTGTCTTCACCTTTGTTTTTCAGTTCTGTGTTCCAAGATGGAACAATAAGTAAGAAAAAAAATGAAATATGATTTACGAGGTGCGTGGGTGTAAAATCAAAAGTTTTTTTTCAATCCTTTCACACACACATGTGTATGTTTGATGTACGGGGAAAAAATCATTTTTTTTCTATTGAAATTTAAATTTTTTGTTTCGCATTGAATCCATTGATGATGATGAAGTCTGTTTAATTCAAAAAAAAAAAATTCGTTACAGTTTCCGTGAATTATGAACAAAACAACAACATTTATGTTTGATATGCACGCGCATTTATCAATCTTAAAACTTCTATACTAGACCTATTCAAATGTAACAACAAAATTCAAAGAATAGAGAGTGAACACGTGCTTGCACGCTTAATATAAATTTGTCTTGCTTAGTGTGAAAAAAAATAGTATGTATTTTGTGATTTGATTTATATATTTGAAAATTTTTGATTGCATTGTTGTTGTATTATTTGGCCACCGGAATCTATAACTGTATGTTTTTCGCTTGCGAATAATAAATTCGTGATGATATCGGAATAAAAAGAATTTAAGATGAAAATTTTCTGTTCACTTTTTTTTTTGGTTCGGTTGATCAAATTCTGTAAATTATATTCAACATCCGACAATAACAAAATCATAGTTTCATTGTAGTATGTGTGTCTCTGTTATTGACTAAGAGAGTTGATCACAATCGTCACACAATATAATCAACCAAACACAACGGTCAAACGAATCCGTAATCATCATCATCATCATCATCATTCTTGTCATTGTCATTTACAAGTTCAAGTTCTATATATACAAAGTATTTGTGTGAGAGTGTGTGTGTGTGTTGTTTTCTATTTTTAGGGCAATATTCTATTGTCAAATAATAGTTCCATTTGGTTGTTGTTGTTGTTGTTGTATGCACACACAAAACATTTCACAATATAATAAAAGCATTATCTCTTATTTCTTATGTTGTTGATGGTGTTTAGTATTATTATTAATGGCCTCGTCCAATTTACATCAATATATACCGTTTTTTTTCTCTTTTTCTCATTTCAATTTCACTTTCTATGCTTCTGTTGATGTGTGTTCAAAAGTGTTTTGAAAGTTCATTTAATTTTCAATCCAAACATACACACACACATAGCCTTCAAACGAATTATCCCAAAGAATACAAATAAAATCTATAGATTTTTTTTTTTTTTTTGACAAAAATATTGTGCTTTTTTCGGTTTTTTTCAAGTTTTCATTTTTGTTTTGTTTTCGCTTGGATCATTCTAAACTCTTTTTTTCAAATGAACTCAATTGATGGATATTTGTGTTGAACGCAAAAACAAGCGAACCATACATGATTTTAAATCCTTTTTTTTGTCGCTATTGAACAACTGGAAAAAAAGTGAAAGTGTTGTGTGTGTGTGGATCTAGCAATGCATCTGCAATTTTTGAAGTTTATATATTCTATGTTCCAAAAAAAACGTGGTTAATATAAAATTTAAATTCAAATTTTCATCTGTCTATTTGTTGTTGTTGTTGTATGGACCTATAAACAAAAAAAAACATTCACATCATCATAGGATCCATCCCATTTTTTCAATTGTAAATTTGATCCATTTCATAATTTGATTGACAGTATCAGGGGCCTGGCTACGCTAGGCTCACGGGATTCCTGATTAGGATTTTTCATTTCTATTTCTCTCAAATCATATTGAATAACTCTTTTGATCCAGAAATAAAATTGATCGAATGAATGAATGAATGAATGAATGAGTTAGTGACCAATGCATTATTGTTTAGAGGTTAAAACATGGTTTTTTTGTGAACCACTTGAATTTTTTTTTTTTTTTGTGAATCAACAACATTTATAGGATAGTGCTTTCTCGTTATATGCCAAAATAAATGCAAGCAGCTGTGGTCAGTCTGAGTTATTATTATCAAACCATTTGCTCTTGTTATTGCGTGATTTTTCCATTTCATTTCATTTCATTTTTTACTCGTTGAATCATCATTGTCGTCATATATGGCGACTAAAGAATGGACATTTTTTTTGTTCGTTTCACAATTGTTACATTTTTCAAAGGTAGTGAACTATTTTTAGGTAATTTTTTTTCTCTCTATTCCGTAATTGTCTACTTGTTTTGTTCGTTTTATATAATTCGCATGTCGTTTATTTTTTATCAAATTTTTTTCTTGACAACAGCAGCCGCAGTGAAATAGAAAAAGGGTTGAATGACAACAGCAACAACAACAAAAAAAAAAAAATGCTATCGATTTGAATTAGGTTGGCCGTAGGGAAGAAAATTTTACCAGTATTTTTTTCTCTCGATTGAGTTTTTCATGTTCGTTGATTTTATTTTATTTTTTTTTTTTTCGGTCATTGTTCAACCGAATATTGTCGACACAGCATTTTGATGATGATGATGATGATGATGGACATGTGAATAACTCGTTCGTCGTCGAATAGTTATTTCGGGGTTACCCCTTTGATTGATTCCATTTTTAGCTCTAGTTTTTTTTCTTTGGTCAACAAATACTAAAAACTGATTACAAACTGATATATAATATATAAATTCAGTGACCAAACGAACGTTTTTTTTATGATTTGTGTGACAAGATTGCATACATACACAATAAAAAGACTAGGGCTAGGTCCATCGATATGACTTGTTCGTGTGTGTGTGTGTTTTTTTTGTGTTATTGCACAATCAAGGAAAATGAAGAGTGAGTTTTTTTTTCGTTTGTTTACGAGTGAAAGTTCAATAATGCAAAAATTTTTTATTCTTATCAGCCGACAGTGATATGAATGATTGCTTTAGTTTTTTTTTTGCTTTTGCTTCTCTTCTCTAACCTGATACTGATTTCATAACGATTTCGATATGATATCGAAGGTCAAAAAAAAAAATTTCAAGGACAAATGAAATCTTTTCAATTTATATTTGGTAAGAATAATTTGTTGTTTTTTTTCGATTGTAAACACACACACACATGTTTGTTGTGCGGTATTGACTTTGACTTTATTTTTTTACAATAAAAAAAATGTTCCCAAGAATTGTGTGATTTTTTAAATTATACAATTCTTCTGAAATTTATGGGTCGAATTTCGTTCTAGATTTCATTTTTTTGTATATGTAAAAAACAGGATTCTGAATTCTAATTCCGATTTGAATAAACAACGAAATCGGTTGCCATTGCTTTCGTATACAGTTGTTTTTTTTTCTCATTTCGACCTGTCATTCTTCATATCTGTTAAATTATTTTTTTTTTTTTACTTTTCAACTTTCAAAAAAAAAAAAAAATAACCCAACAAAATATTCTAGTAGAGAAAAAAATGTCTGCTGTTTACTTTTATTGTTGTTGACCGGTCAACATTTATCGGTCATTTTTTTTTGTTTGTTTGTCAGTTTTTCATGTTTTCTTCTCTTGTTCTCTTTCTCAGTAGGGGGGGTACCAAGGAGTGGATTATTACAAAGTCGAATTGATGATGTGTCCAACATGTGGAACATGTGTGATAATATTTTGAAAAAAAATCGACTTCTTTTTCCACTCGAAAGAAGAAGAATAAGCTAGAAAAGCTAATTATGGAATGATGATTATTATCACATATACAGTCTGTATGATAACTCGTTCAACATTTGAACAAATGAAATGAACAAACTTTATGTGTTTTTCAAACATGTCCATGACATGATGGTCCACGATGATGATGATGATGATAAATGTAATCTTTATCATAGCCAAAATAACTGACAACACAATTAGTGGGCGTGGTGGTATCAGGGAGATAAATATTTTTTACTTTTCTTCTTCATTTTGACACAAAGTTTATTTGTTTCAAAATTTCTAAACATACCCATTGCATTTTAAATTGGATCTAGAAAAAGGAAAATTTTTAATTTGCACTTTATTTAGTTTGCAATTTTTCTTTTCTTTTTTTTTGTCATCATCATATTTAGTAATTCTTCCTATATATAAAAATTGTGCTGAATATGTGTGTTACATCTGCCCATCTTCATCATCATCATCCGAATCCGAATCCAGTACAATATTGTAATCGATGTTGAAAGAAAAAGGTGGAGCTACAATTGCGTCATCATCAATATTATTCAACAACTATATATTTGATGATGATGAACAAAATTTTGTGATTGGTCAAATGTTTGTAGCCAATCACACACAATTTCAAATGTAAATATATTATATAATCTGTCTACACTGAACACTGGTATATATATATGGTTTATATTTGATTGGACAACAACAACAAAAACTAGAACAGTAAAATTTATTGCTCTAGTTTTCCAATTTTATGTTATAGTTTTCGACTATAATTTGTTCCTAAATTTTCTATCTATCTATTGACTATATATAAAGGCTCATGATTTTTTTTTTGACTAAATTTTTTTTTTGTTCTCACCAACTCCTGGGAGGAGTGATAATTATTGGTTTTTTTCCGAATCAAACAAAAATTATATAGGAAACATGTTTTGTATAACAAATTCGTTCGAAATTGCCGAATGATTACTTAAATCTTTTTTTTTCTGGTTGAAATAATATTATTCGATATTTGTTGATTGATGCAGGTATACATACAATTTGATTTTTGTTTCATTTGGCTGCTATCATAGCAACGTTGTCGATCCAGAAATGGAATGTGTGTGTGTGTGTGTGTGTGTGTGTTAATGCTTTATTACATTCTTGAACACATGCTGTGTGTGTGCGTGTTTTTTGGATTCAAAATTCATCATACCTTAATCATTAAGATTGATAATTATATGTTATATTTATTCGATGATAACTCTTTAGATTTTGTTGTAAAATATCTTATGAATTTTTTTTCCAAAAAAAAATTTCAACATTAATATATCATAGGACATTGGCCCTAGAGTTCGAATGATAATCACCACATACATATAGATATTTATTGACCATATCGGACCACATGGTTCCATATTTTTTTACTTTTTACTACAATCCTTTTTTCTATTCAGTGTGTTTTGCTTTGCATAATAATTTTTTACACAATAGCCGTTCCAACATTAATGGATCGAGTATTTTTTGTTACCCTTGTTCTTCTTTATGGTATTAAATTCTAATCATCATTTTTACGACACACACACACAAGCTTACAGCAACAACCTTGAAGATTTCTAACTGAGTTGAACATAATATTATAATACATAATATTATTGATTCGTGATCGTTTGTCACTTGTAATAATGAAAAATATGAAAATCTCTTTTTTTCTTCTTTTGTCTCCTGTCACTCAATAAGTAGGTTCATGAACTTTTCATTTTCGGTTGTCATTGTCGTCCAAAAAAAAACAACAATATTAGATTGTCTTTGAACCACTAACATATTCCGATAATAATAAAATACCTAGATGACTGACGAATGCATAAATATTCTGTGTGTGTGTGTGTGTGTCAAATTCTCCACACATGCATTTTTAATATATACGACATTAGGTCAACGACATTTTTTTATGAATTGTGTGATATTTTTAAATATTTAGAAATTTTTCATATTTGTCGGTCACTACAATCACCATTGGTGGTTATGGTTGTCGTGGTGTTGATTATGGTTACTGTGAGAAAATCCTTATGTTTTTTTTTAAATTTCTGACGACAAAATTTCGTTTTCGTCGTCATTGTTGTCTGTTGATAATTAGTGACACAATCTGTATGAATATTGAATATGTACGATTCTGTTTTTTGTTCAATATTTTGGTTGACAAAAATGTTTCATTAGTCATCATCGTTAAAAAGGTCAATGAATTCTTGAAAACTTTGAAGTTGTTGTTTTTGTTGTGTGATTGGTCAACAAAATATCTTCCGTTAGTATTTGATTTGATTAGATAAAAAAATTTTTTTTATGTTACATCGATTAGTTTGATAAACAAATCACTGGTCATTTTTTGTTGGTATCAAGTTATTATTATTATTATGTGACCAACTACAATAATCTTTCAATGTCAAATTGGCATCATCATCATCATCATTATTATCGTTGTTATTGACAATTGAACATAGGAAATTTTTGAATTTAAAATAAAATTCAAAAATTTAAGGCCTGATTGATGATATGATGATCTATGAAATGATCATCTAAAAGTTAATTAATTCAATCAAATAATTATCATCGATATCTAAACCTGTAATTATAAAGGAATTTTTTATTCTAACAATAAGAACAACAAGAGAAAGAATGAAAAAACGAAACTTTTTTTGCCCAACCTTTTGAATACTTAAATAATGAATTTTTTCTCTTTCTTTCTTTTTTTTGATGGATCACTTTCCATTTCATGTTTTAAAGATATGATCTGATTTTTTTTTTGCTGTCTCTCTTTTGTTGATTAGGTCGACGAACAAAAAACATGTCGATTATATCGACAAGTGTACTTACAAATATATGATGAATAATGAAAGTTAATTAATCACTGATTGGTTCCAAACCACATGATTTGGATAGATTTTTGTTTTGTTTTGTTTAGTTCAGATTATTATTCCACATTTTGGAACAACAATGTTATGGTTGAGCCACAAAAAAATGTGAAAAAAAGGGAAAACGAATCGAATGATTATTTTAAAGAAAAAAAAGCTGTCATGTTTTTATTCTTTGTCGTTATTGTTGTTGTTGTTGTTGTTGTTATTGTCCAGTCTTGTTGTCGTCAATTTTTTTTTCATTTTGGTGTTTTTTTTTTGCCGACAATGACTACGAATACGACGACGGCCATCTCATCGATATAAGCACGAGCCGCTCTCATTGTCAAATAAATACAATATATATGATACTTTAAACTGAATTCGGAATGAATAAACAATTTCTCTATCATTGCTTGAGATGATTTATATTAATTTTTTTCAAATTGATTTTTTTTTTTTTTTTGGGTTTATTCGTACCAGCAACTCTGGGGTCCATATGATCAAGGCATTGTTTTTTTTTTGATCAAAATAGGTCCAAATTTAATTATTTTAAAATTTATAATTCTAGCTTATAAATGGAAAAATGAAATTTTTAATAGATTTGATTCGTAATTTTTTAAGATTAGATTTTTTCCAGATTAATCCAAGAATGTTTTGTTTGTGTGTGTGTGCATGTTTGCTGTGAGAATAACATTGCTATATTGAATACCAACCAACCATTCAATATATGAACCAAACCCAAAATAGTGAATGGACAGCCAAATGGGCGGCACGTACAAAATTCATCCCACTCCACTATACTACCACCACTATTAATTTCGCGTGCAATTTTTCCATAATTTACTCTTTGGTCCTTTACACAAACACGCTAAAAATAGATTGATTTTTTTCTTTCAGGCTCTTCAACCCGTATACAGTCAAATTGTGCATTTTTTCCTTCTTCCAATTCCGAATGTTTTGTCCACTCTATTTGATCATCATTGAACTTATTGATGATGAAAATGATGTGTGTGTGTAGTGTGGTGTGGTTTAGTATATTTATTATCATTGAAAAAAAACAATTTCTTTTAACGGCATTGATCATTGTGTGAAACTATCCCTTTTATCAGTTCTACCCCCCACTCTCCTCTTCTATCCGTGTGCCTAGTGTCCAAATGTGTGTTCATAACTCTATTCAAAATGGTCATACATCATCTTCGTTGTTGTTGTCGAGGACTATGATCATTGACCATAGTTCAGGTTGAAGATCATTCGGTTCATCTAGAAAAAAACTATGCTTGGTATTCGTGTGTATATCTTCATATAATCATAATGCAATTGACCAAGTGAATGTCATTCGTACCATTTACATTTGGCCAATAGGTCATCACATTGCTGATTTCACATATATAAATATTATTTGCGACAAACTTGTTTTTTCATTTCATTTCATCTTTTCTTTCTATTTAATCTTATTTTCTTGATGATGATGAATAATAATAACATCTAATCATTTGTTTTGCAAAAATATTTATTATATGTACACACAGAAAAAATAACACTGCCATTTTACTGACCATCATTGTCCATCGTGAAATTTTTTTTTGTCTGAAAAAAAATATTTCAGCCTGTTTATATTAAAATAAAGATGAGTTCTTCGGCTGGAACATCGATCGTCACCAATCATCATCATCATCATAATACATATCAACAACAACAACAACAACAACATCATCATCATCATATTCATCAAAATGGAGCATTTACAATGGCAACACCACAATCAAAACAATTTTCACAAACAACTTCATCATCAACTATCTATCATTCACCACAATCATCACCACCGAATGAATCAAGTCCAAAGCCATTAACAATGATGATGACAATGTTGGAGAATGATGATGGTGATGATGACAAACCATTGGATTTTTCTTCAAAATCTCCATCAACTAAACGATCATCACTTATTGGTACGGGTAATTCGGGGCAAATAGATGAAAATCAAAAAACATCAACATCATCACCACAACCGGCACAACAACAACAACAACAACAAGAGCAACCAGAACCACTTTTATCATCAAAATCTGTTGCAACTGCAAGTAAAAAAGTTCATCCAAAATTCTTGAAACGTCATCATGAACCTGAACATCATTGTTTTACAACACCATCACCATCACCACCAGAACATCGAATGTCAATCAATCAATTGCAGTCACCATCATCGAAATCGAATTTAAATTCGACAGCTAATGTATTTCCATCGGTAGATATTCACTCTACAATACCATCATCAGTCCTATCACAATCACTTCCAGTAGTCAATCAGGATATTTTTGGAAAATTTTTACAAGAAATGACCAGTCAAATTCAACCGGCAACGAAAAATTATTCACAGCAACAAGTTTTAAACGAAACAATATTAAATCAGGCATTACAATTAGCTAAATTGAATTGTCAGCATCCACAAACGTTGTCATCACCAAATTCATTGATGATTGAGTCAGATCCAACAAATACTAATGCTAAAGCAATTCAGCTGTTGAATTTATTGACCAAAATGAATAACAGCCATCATCATCAGCCGCAACAACAGCAACAGCCCATTCCATCATCACAAAATATCGTTGAACAATTGTTGAACAAAAACAACAATCATACTCCATCATCATTATCGCCAATAAAATCGATTCATTCAACAACGAATTTATTATCACCATCAACAATATTATCACAAAATGCTTTCCTTACTCATCAGCATAAAAATCTGGTATCCGAAAGGCAACAACAATCACTTGTCAATAATGGTGTTGGTGGTGGACTATTATTAACCACAGCTCCAACAACAATGTCGCCAATAATGAATAGTTCAGCTGAACATCAAAATTTAACATTATCATCGAATAATGTAGCGACTACATTAATCAATAATAATTCATCTACCTCATCAACACCAAAATATACACGTCCATTCAAGGCTTTATATAACAATAAAGATTTACCATTATTACCTCAAAAACATTCACCATCTTCAACGACAACTACTTCGGCATCATCAACAACATCATCATCATCATCATCATCGTTGCCATTGGAAACTTTAGCTGCTGCCGATTCATTACTTGGTTCCGATCAAGCTTATTTAATGTTTCGTTCACAAATGTTGTCTATGACAAAAGAGCGACAATCTTCTATTGAACGAAAATCAACAACAAATCGTAAATCGCATAATACATCGGCAAGTTCTATAAAGTCATTAGATCTTATATCAGATGAAAATTCCAATAGTTCAAGTTTAAATGGAACAAATATTGTCGATAATCATAATCAAAGTCCAATCAATCAAGCAATAATGGAAACATCTACATCGAATAGTCATTCACTTGTCATGCCGATCACTGCTGGCTTATCATTACCAAATGTTCCAAATTCTACGACGGCAATAACAACATCGACAAATTCGGGTAGAAAACGTGCACGACCATTACCGGATAATCTTAAAGATGAAGCATATTGGGAACGACGACGTAAAAATAATGAAGCAGCCAAACGATCAAGAGATTTACGACGAGCCAAAGAGGATGAGATTGCCATAAGAGCCAGTTTTTTGGAACATGAAAATCGTCAATTAAAATTGAAATTAATTGAAGCTGAATTAAAATTAGAGAAAAAAGATACACTTATTGCTAATTTACAGAATCAATTATCACTTAAACAACAATAACAACAACAACAATCGATATGATTCCAATCAAATCATCATCATATTTTTATTTTGGCCAAACAAAATTATATATCCAAATGATTTACCATCACATGAACATTTTGAATCTACCTCAAACAGATTTAATATATTTTTTTTCACATTTAAACAACACAAAAAAACAATCTCTTTGTATATATTAAATAAGGAACTGATCTCAAAATTTACATTTATTTTTTTCATACAAAAAAATTCTTGAATTTCAAATAAAAAAAAATTTATTTTTTCTTTATCTAAAATCATTCGCCATCTACTGGATTCGATGGTAAACACATTTAATGAATGGCTCTTATCGTTGTTGTCGTCGTCGTTTTCATTTCTGAGAATTGCTCATGCCGCAATATGATGATACTTTTGATGAATGTTTCATTTTCAACTTCAAATTATTACCTGAATCAAGCTGTTCACGTTCAAATTCAAATTGTTCAACACAATCTAATTCATCAAGAAATTGTCTTAGATCTTCTTCCCAAAGATCTTCCGATGTTGGTATCTAAGCGATAATAATTATCATTTTAGTATAAAAAAAAGAAAAATTCAAAAAACAAATTTCAAATACAGTAATACCCCGCTTAACGCTGCCCCGTTTAGCGCTGATTCGATATAACGCTGTACAATTACCCTACATTACATTACATTGTTACGTTGTATATGAAGGGTAAAAATGCATTATGTAAAAATACCCCCGCTTAACGCTGTTTCGCTTAACGCTCAGAATTTTTGGACGTTACCCCCGCGTTAAGCGAGGTATTACTGTACATAAAAAAAATATTTCACCAAAAAAAAAACGAATATTTTATGATGATGGACACTATGATGAAATTTCGAAAACGTTATTATACTTCGACTACAATTGCAGCTCAATTTTTCATACCGGACATATAACGAAAAAACGAAAAAAATAAAGTCGACTAAATCCGCACTAGAGGCTAAAAATCGACTATATCCACACTAGTCTCTTAAAATTCATTTTACATTTACTTTATTTTACAATATCTTATTCAACTTATCGAAAATTCGAGTTTTTTGGAATCAGTATTCAAATGCTTATATGTTTTCTGAAAGTGAATGTCACGAAAAGCCAATTAAATAGTCACTAACGAAAGAATTTTCAATGGTAATTCAATCCCTGATTCAGGAATTTTCTGCAAGATTTACGCAGTTTAAAGAACTTGAAGAAACTTTAAAATTTATTTTATATCCTGATACAATACCATTTAAAAATTAAATTTAAAAGACCTTGAGTGATTCAATTTTAATGAATTAGAAATGGAATTAATTGAATTTCAGTCAAGTACGTAACCAAAAATTTGTTGATTTAAGAAATGTTATGATATTTATGAAGAAGCTCTCTTGCTCATCGTTCAAATGTGTTCCTTTTGTGTTCTCTAAAAACTTTATATGATTTGTCATGTCATTGCTGTTACATGCTTGATTGAATGTGTTACTAATTTTCTGTGTTTATGACTTTTTGAATTAAGATTATCCGTTCCTGAAAATCTCGCGTTGTTTCTTTCATGTTTTTTTAAAACCTCTCGGATCTCTACCAATTCTTCATGATTTAGAAATTATTGAAAATAATCGATTATTGGATAAAATAAATAAAATTGCAAAAGATGAAATTCTAACTACATGGAATTCAATTCTTGACACGTTTAATTGTTTAAAAATATAAGCAAAGGCAATTTTATCAACGTTTTCATCGATGTGGACATGTGAATCTTTATTTTCAGAATTAAACCTCAATATATCCACCAAGTAAACAAAAAGATGAAAATGATCCGTCAAGCTAAAACAATTAAAAAAAACAAAAAAAAACAAAAAACTAAATGAAACTTATTTGATTTGTAATGAATTTTTAAATTGCCAAAAATTACCGCTGAGAACAACAGAAAGAAAATTAGAAAATTTGCATTTTTCATAAATCAAAATATTTTTAAAGATTTCTACGATGAGCGTTAAATTAAAGTGTTCTGATTTTTCCGAGCTTGCAACATATGCAAATGTGAATGGCGTCAACTATTTATTTGAAATTTTCAACAAACATTTGTAATTATTAAACACATAAATAATAATATAATTTTCAAATGTTTTTGTTTCAGTATTCGGTTTTTTTGTTTTGTAAATAATCAATCAATATCAATCAATAAATTTTAATTCACTAATTGAATACACAACCAAATATATATATGATATAGTTGAATTTTAATACGGTTAATGGCAAACAGGCGAGATTAAAGCGATTCCAAAACTGAACTCTAAAGGCGTAAACGCCAACTGCTTAAGTAGCGGTGTAAAACAAATCTAATTATCGAACACCAATCTACTCCTCCTCTGTAGTAATCGAGATTCTTGGCCGCCCTCTTCTTCTAACTAGAGCGAGGTTCGAAGTTTGGTCGTGACAAATTTTAAGTTGATTCACATGGACTCGGCGTTGAACTCCGTCGTTCCCAACTAAGTTAAATATCAAAGGATTTTCGGTAGAGACAGCAACAAACGGACCAAGAAACTTCGGTTGATGTTTTTGTTGTTGATTGGTGAACATATTTTTCCAATAGACACGTTTTCCATCCAAAGCCAACGGCGAACGCGTGTTGTGATGTTGATATATTATATATTAAATATGATCAAATATGCTATATTTAATTTAGTCTCAAGATAATTTGCAACATTATAATTAATAAAAAAATAATAAAAATTATAATTAATTGTATACAAAGTGTGTTCAGATTTTTTAAGCCATAATAAAGGAGTTTAAGAATCATTTTAGCCAATTTTCAGATTCAGAAAATTTCATTAAATTCATGCAAAAAAAAATCGAGTATCAAGTGGAATGCATTCTTTCTCAGTGTAACAAAATACAAATACAGGAGAAAACGAAATCGAAATTCAAAAAACTTTTATTATCTTCTTCTACTCTTTAAGAGGCTAAGGATGTCTGTAAACTGCGGAGAAGCTGAGCCGAAAATTCCTACTTATTTTCAGTACAAACCTAACTATTTGGTATGAGCTACTCAGTGTGTGTGTGTGTGTGTGTGTGTCTGAGCATGCGGGAAAACTTTTGAATGCCGCTGAACAGTTCGTCCAGCTCAGAAGTAGAAGTCGCTTCCAAAGAAACGCATTCTGTGGTATGTAGCTTTGACAAAGCTTTTTTTCATTGTTCTAGCTCAGCACACTTTGCTGCAGATTTTGCATCCAATAGATGGTGCAGTCATTCAATAGAACATAGAAAGAGTTCGAATTCGAATTTTTCGAATTGATTATTGTGATAATACATGTGGCACGTGATTTTCATTTTGTTTGCCTGTGTGAGTGTGTATTTGATGATGAAATCTTGCCTGAAGACTGTATTCATTGGAATGATTTTTTCTTTGTTTTTGTTCCCGTGATCTATGATCTACTCATCGTTTGGTAAGTTATTTCGGTTATTTAACCTGATTATACCTAAAATACCTAATACCTGATAACTTTTTTCATTTAAAATAAAGAAAAGCATTTAAGATTCAATGTTGAGTGTCTTCATGCGATGAACCCACAAGGTTATCCTATAGGATCTATAGACACAAACTTGGATTAAACATTGGATCGATTATCATGTTCAGTCGCAATATTGAACCACAAAGTGGTTTGCTCAATGGCATGCGTTTATTTGTAAATACACGCAGCATTGAAGCTCGAATATTGACAAGGAGGCTATGATTCATTTTGCAGCAAAACGATCAAGATCCTAAGCTACCATTTAAATTGGTGCGTGGACAATTTCCTGTCGTATTGGCTTTTGCTCTGACAATTAATTATTGTTTTAAGGGCAATCTTTCGATAAAATAAGTGTGTACCTTCCTACACCAGTATTGCAACATGGAATGATTTATATGGCTTTTTGCCGCTGCAAAAATCCTAATAATCTGAAGATTTTTGTTTAGGAAATTGAGGGGAAGATCAACAACGACCACAGTATTTATACCAAAAATATCGTATTTCTTCAACTTATCGATTAGCAATAATAAGTATGCTGTTCGGTGTACGCAACTTTTTCAAAGGTATCAGGTGCAATGCACAAGTGATGGCTGACCCTGCGGTACCAAACCGAAGGCCGGAAGCAACACGCCGTGCATAGAAACCCACCGTCAGGCACGAAGCGTTAAAATTGACACCTTTGACTGGATACCAAGCAGGGGGGCGGCGCAGCCGCCACCCCTGCGGGTATCCAGTTATATTGACCGTCAAGGAGTCAGCCCCGCAGGGCCAGACCAGGACAGGCGCGAAGCGCCTGTTCTCGGGCTGGTTTTTCATTATTTCATATATTTGAATAATATCCATGTCGAAATTCTCACATATGCATATTGTTTTGTGAAAACAATCGAAAAATAATCGAAATGACAAAAAATCCAATTTTTCATAGATTGCAAGTTCGTTGATTTATTTTTTAAGTACAAATCGGAAAAATCTTGCATGCAACATCATCACCAGAATTGGTAGCGGCATTGCCAATTTTTTTTGCATGTGCCTCTCCTTCGTAAAAAAGCTGGCAGTACCGTGGTCGATTATCCAGAGTGTATATAATTGAAAAACAAAACAAACCATCCCTTCATAAACAACGTACAAAAAAAACAAACGTAAACAAACCAACAAAATTCGGGAATTTATGTACAGTAAAACCCCGCTTAACGTGGGTGTTACGTTCCAATAACACCATACCAATATATTGGTTTGATTAATTCCAGCTTCATATTCATATTTTTGAATATTTTAATTATATATCATCATATATTTTATATTTAATTATATTTTAATCATTACAGATACAAAAAGCATCATTTTTCATTTTTTAATCCATTATTGCCATTGAAATACATTGCCTGCCAATAAACTTATCATCATCATCATCAATGCTTCATCTATGGACCACTCTTATCGAGCCATTATCCCATAGGAATACATTGTCTACCATAGACACTTCATTGAATGTGTTGGCAAATGAACTTGATGATGAAAAAAAAACTAAATTCAGATTCGAATATTTGGAAATTATTTTATTTTTATTTCATATTTTTTACATTATTTTATATTTGTTATTTCCTTATTTCCTGATTGATTTGTATGATTTGGATGTCCTGGTTGGCCATCGCCAACCTGTTGGAGAAATTGAAATAAAATTAGTTTTTTGAAAAAAAACCTAACCTTGGCCATTGCCGATTATTTCCCAATATTCGAATCTGAATTTTGTTTTTTTTCCAAAAATATATGATGATGGAAATTACAACTACTACAACCACTACTACTACTACTACTTTCAAAGGAGATGAGAGAGAAGCATAAGGATACGTTAGGATACTGCATGGATCATTTCATAATGCTAGCATTCGATCGATTTGATCATAAAAAAATGTAAAACACCACCACCACTGTCATTCGTGTTAAATGTTTTTTTTTTGGCTAAATTATCCATAATCATCATCATAAAAATATGATAATTTTTATTTCTCAATATTAATTTGGTATATGATTCTGTTTTTTATATAATATATTAATATTATTGTATTTATGTGTGGATGATATTACTTAATTTGTCCATTTTCAGACTTTTTTGTCGATGAAAATTGAAAAATGAAGATTGTCATCATCATAAATAATAACATCAAATAATGTGATTTTTGTTTGTTTGTTTGTTCCACAAGTTTTCAAAGTTTGACCAAAATAAAAGAGGATTTGTTTTGAGAAAAAGAAAATTTTGATTCAAAAATATAAAAATTGTAAAGTTATCAGCGCTCCATTTTCGATCGTCGTGAAATGAAAATGTAAGATATGATTCTATAGAACACATCTTTGTTTATTATTTGATAAACACATCTATTAGATTTGTTTTTCTTCATCACCATAAATGCGAAAAAAAACTGTCAATATTTTCAAACAAGCAGAGTAATAACAAATCAAAACAAATAACACCAAAAACAAAAACAAAAAATCAATTTGTACAGATATCGAATGTTGATCAATACTTTTCATCTAAAGTTTCAATCAAACAAAACAATTTTGTGCTTGCCATCCTCATAAAAACCACAATGGAAAACTGATTCGCTTTTTCCTTCAAATTTCCTTTCATTTTATAATTAATGTATCAAACATAAAACGAAAGAAAACATCTTATATCCTGAAAAAAGTGGAAAATTGAAAATTTCATTCAACTCTACTCATACATACGATATATACGTCATAGAAATATCATCAAATAATTTTTCCGAAACATTTCTCAAAGCAATAATTTTATACGAATTATTTATTATTTATTCATGAATGATCCATTCATTTCAATTCTTAAAATTCAACTAAACTAATATAATGGTGAAATTCCATTGAACAATGGTAAGAACATATGGAAATTTTTTATTATTATTATTCTCATTTGAATACAAATATAGTTGTTTATTGTGTAATAGCATTTGTCATTACATCAATTGGAAAAAAAGCTCAAACAATGTCTTTAATAATTCAAATATATTCACAATGATTTTCATCATTTACAATATTGGGTGCAATTCAGCTGTTTAATCAAAACAAAAACAAAAACAAAATCATTTCGAAAATGACTAGCTCGTTACATCAACGTACGATGGCTAGCCATCAAGTACGAAAGAAAATTACCATCTCATATGTTATACGTTCCGAACAGGAACGTTATCATCGATCCGGCATAAATTCCCTACAGTATGATCCACATCTAGGACGATTATATTCAGCTGGAAGAGATTCGATAATTCGTATATGGAATGTTTATAATCCAAAAACTAAATCATTAATGCAACCCGGTGGCCATATTCAACAATCGATAAATTCTCGATCATCATCTAATGTTAGTGGAAATGTTGCTATGAATTATTCATCATCATCGTCGTCATCAATATCACACGCTCATCATCACCATCAAGATGATTATTATTTCTGCTCAATGGAACACCATACCGATTGGATTAATGATATTGTTCTATGCTGTGATGGCAGAAATCTGATTTCCGCATCTTCTGATACCACCGTCAAAGTTTGGAATGCTCACAAAGGTATCTGTATGTCCACGTTACGTACACATCGTGATTATGTCAAAGCATTAGCTTATGCTAAAGATAAAGAACTGGTAGGTGCAATTGTCTTATTTTTTTTTTGGCAAATTTCCATTATTTTAATTAATTTATTATCCTTCACAGGTTGCATCGGCCGGTCTTGATAAAGCAATCTATCTTTGGGATGTTAATACTTTGACTCAGCTAACTACATCGAACAATACAGTGACGACAACATCTTTCACTGGAAATCGTGATTCTATCTATTCATTAGCGTTGAATCCAGCCGGTACCATAATTGTTTCCGGTTCAACAGAAAATGTTCTACGTGTATGGGATACACGAACATCAAACAAAATAATGAAATTACGTGGTCATACGGATAATGTGCGGTCATTGGTTATTAGTCGCGACGGTACACAGTGCCTGTCAGCCAGTTCTGATGGATCTATTCGACTATGGTCATTAGGCCAACAATGTTGTGTGGCAACTATTCTGGTCCATGATGAAGGTGTTTGGACGTTACAAGCCAACGAAACATTCAACACTGTCTATTCTGGTGGAAAAGATCGTCGAGTAATGATGACTGATCTTCGTCAACCTCAAATTCGAACTGTGATATGTGAAGCGAATGCTTCCATCCTTAAACTGTTGCTGACACCTCCAGATCCTCGTTATATTTGGGTGGCTACCACCGACTCCTGTATTAAATGCTGGTCTTTAACCGGTAATAAAAGAACATCACTACCGTCGTCGGATGGTAATAGATATGTGAATGATACATCAGTCAACGTTTCTCAAACGCCATCTTCAACAACAACAATAATGAATGGTACGTCTAGCAATAATTGCCGTAAAATATCGAATGCATCATCGATCTCTTCCACATCGTCCTCTATTGCTGAATCACAAAGAAGTAATGATTCATTGCAACTACAACCACTTAATCGGCGGCCAGAATTGATTATACGTGGTAATCCTGCCATTCGCAGCTATCACGTTCTTAATGATCGACGTTATATAATTACCAAAGATAACGATAATAATGTAGCAATATATGATGTTCTGAAAGCATGTAAAGTAGAAGATTTAGGAAAAACGGATTTTGAAGCTGAAATCAAGCGGCGTTTCAAAATGGTTTACGTACCTAATTGGTTTTCGGTTGATTTAAAAATGGGAATGTTGACTATACATCTAGAAGAACCAGATTGTTTTAGCGCCTATGTTTCAGCTCGTGATTTTGGTCTTCAAGCCATTGGGACTGGAAGCAGTGATAATGAAGATAATACAAGTGCAACCAGTGCTGGAAACGTCACAAATAATTCCTCGACACAACAGGATGCCAAAATTAATCTTGGTTGTTTGGTACTTCTAGCATTGTTCGAATATTGGCCACAAACTCATACTCATCTAATTGATAATGATATATCCGTGAATGCTGATCGTGATCAACATTCTCATGGTGATTCCATGTGTAATGGTAATGATACTGCATCACATCATCATTCACATAGACATCATCATGGTAATGGCAATAATAACACTGTTAGTGGATCATATCCGAGGCATCATCCCGATCTACAGGGACCGATTAATCGATATTTTTCGATACCACCACATACACCGTTGATCATTAGTGAGAATAGTGGTCCAGGCGGTTCACAACATCGTACATTGCTGAGAATACGGATTTGTGAAGCCAAACAAGATAATGAGAATGGACATTTACAAGAAATGGTACCAATGTGGGTGAATAATATTGTCGTCGAACGTAAATGGCCTGCATTCAATAAAATCTCCTTCTTTGTCCATCCTCATCCATCGATGGAGTTGAAAAACTCAAAAAAAGAACATTTTAGTGCCATTGATATGCTTTTAATTCGTAAAGTGATTGAACATGTTTATACAAAGATATGTAAAGAATTGTTTGATCAACATTCAAGCATTGTTAATTCAACATCATCACAACAGCCAATGTCAGGTACATCGAATGGTCCAACAAACAGTTCTTCCAGCAATTCTTCAACACCCGTTACTAATAACGGTCCTGCTTATCAGTCATCCAATAATGGTGCAATGAATGGAAATAAATCATTTACATCCTCGACAACCGGTAATCCTCATGCAAATCATAATCATCATCACCACCACCACCACCATCACCATCATCATCATCAACAACAATGTAATAGTACATGCAGCACACGAAGTTCAAGTAGTTCGAGTAGTACTGGTAGCATGTGCAGTAGACATTCATCTTCGTGTCATGTCGGAAATGGTAATAATACCTCGAATAGTCCTTTAAATCATAATGGACCAGCCGTAAGAGAAAATGGACAAGATAATGATCATCATAATGATGTTGCCGTAAATCATCGTTCAACTACAGCGGAAGAACGTGTCGAATTACTTTGTCAAGATCAAGTTTTAGATCCTAACATGGATCTAAGAACTGTTAAACATTTAATATGGAAATCCAGTGGCGATCTGGTGCTCTATTATCGACCAATCAAATAAAATTAAAAGTTACTCATCATTATCATCATCCACTTTTGCAAATTAAAAATGGTGCATTATCATCTCAAATATAAATTGAATCTATATAATGATTTAAAACTTTAAAATTGAACAAAGAAAAAAAAATCATATGTATTGTTTCTCTTTTTCTTTCACTTTCATAGAATTTTTCAAATTCATTTCATCATTGCCTCTCTTTCATCTCATCTCATTAATTATTGAATGGCACCATCATTTATAGATAAACTAAATCTGTTTAACATCAAAACATATTCTTCGAATTTGATAGAATCAAAGAAACATTTTTTTCTGTTCGGTTCTTTCTTTTTTCTTTCCTTCTTTCTTTCTTTCAAACCCAAAATAGTCATTTTTGTTTTATTTTATTATCTGTTCTGTTTTTGAAATCTCTATATAATAGAATGAAAATTTTGTATTTTTTAAAAGAAAAATTTGATTGCTATATTTTTTCTCTCTCTCTTAAATCGCGCACCAGTTTCCAGTTATTAATTTATTTCATTTTTGTCTTGAATATATGAGTTTTTTTTACTGCTTTTTTTTGTTATTTCTGTTTTGTTTGATTGTTTTTTTTTCAACACTCATCATGGAAAGAATCTGCTTCTGTGTTTCCATATTGAAGAAATTGTTCATACAAATGAAAAAAAAACCAGACTTGTATCCCAAAAAAAAATGTTCATGTTATGATAATTCACTGAGAGTGGTTTTTGTTTTTTTTCGAATTGCAAAAAAAAACTGAATAAAAATTTCATCAGAGTTTATAATTTTTTAATTCATTTGTTATTACATCACATTCATTCAGATTATATCAATCTTTTCAATTTACTATTGAATGGCTCAAAAAAATTTCAATGTTTTTTTTTGCTACTTTTCATACCACAAGATGGCAGCAAATTTTTGATAATTTAAATTTTTTCTACGAATCTGGAAAAGTTAAAAAAAATCCACCTTGAAATTTGACTGATTTCATTTTTTTAATGTTTAATTTTATAAATTTAAACGATTTTTCACCAAATTAGCCAAAAATTATTAGTAAAGATAATAATGCCCATATGGATTGTTTTCTCATTCACAAGTTAATTATTAAATAAATGTATTTCTCTGTTTGACTGTGTGCGATTGTGTGTATATTCCAACAACAAAATTGGTGGTGGGTAGATGTATATATGTGTGGATGTTTGAATGTAAATATATGGGTGTGTTTTGACTAGTTAATCGTGTTTGATAAGAATAATAAGAATATAAAGAATAAATCAACATCAAGGGGAGGTCTTTTTTTCCAAAACGAACAATATTAATGATTGTCATAAGACCAAAAGTTCAGAGAAGAGAAAAAAAGATTTATAGAATTGTGGCCATTTGTTGTTTTAAAGATCAGATTCACCATACAATGCGGTGGAGAATGAACGATAATCTAATGCTCCAGGAATAGTTCCGGGTCCTTTGTATGGTGCCATACGTTGGATACAATATTCAGCTTGATCTGGAGGCAATTCTCTTCTGAGGTCTTCAGCCGTAATATAAGGCTATAATAAACAACAATAACAAAAAAAAAATTCAGATTACAAGATTCAATTCGAAAATTAGCTTACCTTATCACTGGCCAAAATTCTAAATGAATCAATGATTTGTTCAGCCGTATCTGAATCGGTGCTTTCGCGAGTCATAAAATCAAGGAAAGCATCGAAAGTAACATAGCCAGTATTGTTTGGATCAACGCGGCTTATGATTCGTCTGAAATCATTTTCACCTTGACGATCATTCCTGATGTTATAACCAACAGAAATAAGGCATGATTTGAATTCATCAGGATTCAAACGACCAATACGAGTTTTGTCAAAATGATTGAATGATCCACGGAATTCATTAAGCTGTTCCTGTGTAATTCCTTTCGAATCACGCGTTAAAATCTGATTTTCAACTTCATTGATATTTCGTTGGATCGATGTCAACAACTGCTCCCATCCGACACGTAAAGTCTGAATTTGAAAAAACAGATAATTTAATAAAATTGAACATTATCAATGATTAGCAAAAGTATATACCTCCATTGTATATTGTGTATATCGATTTTCGAAAATCATATTTTCTTGTACTTCTTGATGGATCTTTTCCAATTCTTCCATATGAACTTTGTACATGTTAACAGCTTCTTCATATTGACGCAATTTCATCAATTGATCTTCCAATGAGCCTTGCATTCCCATTCCTATGGCAGCAACAGCATCAATATGTCGTTCAATCCATGGACCAACACCATTGGCTTTTTCGGCAAATTTCCTACGCAAACCTTCGTTACGTTGTTGTCGAATCAATTCTGATTGTAGAGTTTGATCTCGTTTTGGCACTAATTGTCTAACATCATTCCATTTAGCAGTAACTTCCTGTGATAAAATTGATTGATTAGAAAAAATATTGCAGTAAAATTGACAAGACTTACAGATGGATGCAAAACAGTGTAGGGATTTTCAACACCACCAGGAATCTGATATTGAGTGGCAAAGCTTTGAATTTCCTGTGCTAATTTAATTATTGAATTATATTCTTGATCTGCTTCACCCAAGGTTCGTTTGAATTGTTCGTGTGCTTCTATCAATCCCTGAATTTCTTCAATCGTATGTACGATAAACATATCGACCAAATCTTCTCGAGCTCCATCCAACCAATTGTTGAATGGTGCAGCACGTTTAGCAAATTCCAAATGAAGTTGATCAATCTTTTCCAAAACACGTTCCGCTTCTTCTAAAGCTTGTCGTCGTTTTTGTGTCAATGTACCAAATCTATCCCATTGATCGCAGATACGTTGACAACGTGCATTTACCGAAGCCGAATCATGATAATTAAGCGAGTATAATTCTTGAGCAATGGCAGCAATCTGTTCAACACGATCTTGATGAGCACTAAGATCGCTTTCAAAAGCTTCATGTTTCTTTTTGAGAGCTTTCACCTCATAAAGACGACAATTACGGAAATCTTGACTTTGCAACATAGCTTCTTTGCCTTGTGTCCATCCTTCATGAGTGTCGGCCTTATGTTTGAATTTTTGAGCCAAATGATCCAAACGTTCTAAGCGCATCATTTCTGAAAGAAGCCATTCTTCAAATCCTTTTTCAGCATGTTCCAACCCTTTCCAAGCATTATTGATATCTCGTACAGTTTTACCTTCCGATGGCATATATGCCGGTCGATTTGAAAGGCGTAATTTCGTTTGTAATGTATTGAATAATGTCTCCAATTTGCCTTTTTGTTCAACACGTGGTGGTTTATGCATACGACGATAGGCACGGAATTCTTCTAATTTTTTCTGAGCTGTACTCAATTTATTATCAGTGGTTTTATTCTCCAACCATGGAGTTGTACGTCGAATCCAATCCAATAGATCGCTAGCAAGACGTTCATATTCTTCCATCATACGTTCATTGTCCTGATTGACACGAAGAACTTTACAAATACGATTGGAAGCAGTTTCAGCCTAATGGATGCGAAAACATATAAATAATTTAATATTGTCAAATTATTGCTTCGATTAAAGGCGCTTTGAAACAACATAGAACAAGCAAACAAATCAATTTTGGTAAATTGAAGCAAGCTTATCCTCGTTGTTATCACAATCACACACAATGACTAACATCCATCACCAAAAACCTCATACCTGTTGAGCGCCGGAAAAGGTGTGATAATACGATGAAACGTAAGTCATTACGGCACGTTCATCCGAAAGCGGACTAGTATTAATATCTGGGATTATTCGTCAATAAGGAAATGGAAGCCATTTTGTTTTGGTTTGATCATCAAATATTCAAATGGAATTGAAGCATGAAAAAAATAATGAAAAGCAAAGGTTAATAATCAATAATCAAGGTTTAGTTGCAATTTTAAATGAAATGATTAAACTCTTTATTTATCTCACACGCTCATTCATTACTTTAGTTTGCCCAATTATATATTAGATGCAAATGCAAATTATTAAGGTAAATTTATGTATGAAACGGCAATAGCATTCATGGAATTATTCGGAAATTTTGTAAAAGTAAAATATTCAAGTTATTATCAATGATTTAAATTGTAGCAAACAGCAGGCAGGTAAGTAGGCAGCAACAGCAACAGGCATGATGTTACCGACCATCTTGTTGTTGTATGGAACTGATGATGCAGTTCCATAAGGGGAAACAATATTGTTGTCGATAATGGTGTTGGGTACAACGGGCACACCCCCACCAATTCCAAAATTTTTTTTCGCTTCATTTGTTGGCTCAACGTTTACCTTTTGGGCACCTTTCAAGGCGTGATAATAACATGAAACGTATGTCATCACTGCACGTTCATCAGGCTTAACCATGTTGACCATTTCTAAAATGACCATACATTATTCCACATATAATAGTAATAATAATAATAATAATTTGTTTTGAAGAAATTTTTTGTTTCGTTTGTTTGTTACATTATCATTATTTTAAACGATATGAGAAAATTAAAAAGGGGAATAATGAAATGAAATAAAAAGAGACAGAGAAAGAAAGAATGAAAATTATAAATCAGAAGAAAATAACGAAGATCATCATCATTGGAAAGGAAAGGTCAAAAATATCATCATCAAACTATGATGTAGAATTATTTTTTTGTTTTGTTTTGTTTTGTTTGTTTCGAAAAAGGACAGTTTTCAATTTGAAAGAAGGAAAAAAATATAAAATCCATGAATTAAATGAAAATGAAGCTTCGAAGAGAAATGAGAAAAAAAATCTGAAGCTAATGGTCAAGAGTTATTCATCTTATTGTTTATTCGCGCAAAAAAAAAAAAAGAAGATTAAAAGAAAGAATGAAATCTCCAATTTCATCTCATGATGATTTGCGCTTACAATAATAATAATAATAATAAATAATTTTCTATCAACAATTTATTTGAAAAAATACAAACATACCTTCCGCATCCAACATTCGTGGTATGCCCAAATGTTTTTCGGCAACATCGAAAGCTGTGTTCAAATTTTCTAATGGATTGTCCTTATAAGAAAAGAAGAAAGGTGTTAAAAGATGATGATATACAATCAGTAAAATGATCGCTTACTTTTGACAATTTAGAGTAATCAATCAAATCTGGACGATGACGATGAATCAATGCACAGAAAGCAAGACCATCTTTCCAGCTTAGATGGAAATTCTGTACATTTACATTACGATAAGGGGCAGTTTTTCTTTGGCACCATAATAGTAAACCTTCTTTGGCGGTCATTTCTATTTTAAAAAAATAAACATCAATTTTTTCAAATTCATAAACAAACAAACAAAAAAAATCAAAAATCAAACCTTCAACAGAAATATCTTGAATGGCAAATCGTAGAATAATGGTCCAAATAAGACCTAATGTCATTTTAGTATTACCATCGACAATTTCTTCGGCACCGATCGAAACCAATTTGACACCTTTACTGGCAATAAAATCCAATGCTTTATTCACATTGGCAATTTTGTGGAAACGCATTTTTCCACGATCAGGTTTCGGAAGTGTTTCACCCGAAATCACTTCCAATAATAACATTAATTTTAAACCATTACGAAAATCTTCTTCAATATTCTCGATCTGTGTTCCAGCTTTGCTTAGATGTGAATTACACCATGCTGTGAATGTCTGTTTATTTTCCGGACAGGGGAGAGGGGAAAGTGGATCGGTGAAAAATAAAAAAAATTTATAAATTTTTTTGTTCGGTATTTCAATTTAAAAACGGATACAATCAGAAACGAAAAATTAAACGATATTATAAAAATGGAAAGAAACATAAAACAAAAAAATCGATTTGATCATCGATATAGATTGTCGAAAATCGTTTAAAACTTTACACATCATTGAAAAAGTAACAAAATTTATTATCAATGACCAACATCAGAAACATTATTATTGGTTAAGATTTTTTTTGAAAAAAACTTGACTTTTTTCTCTGACAAATTGTCACACATTTTTTTTTATTTTTTTTCTGCCAGTGACATCAACAACAACAACAACAACGAAAAAGATATTTTAATGGCAACCAATTCAACATTTCAAATTCAGACAAATTGTCACCATAGTTGCTTTTTATCATTGTCATCATCATTATATGAGAGTTCATTTTTTTCTTGGCCACAATTATGACAAGATAAAAATTGCCTGATTTCAACCTTGAAAGTTTAATCATAATTATTATTATTGTAAGTAAAGCAAAAAAAAAAAAAAAAAGAATTGGTGGGATTTTTCCGACAACAATTTCTCCACGATAGATGGATAGATAGTTTGTGCCCAAGCTTGATTACAAACATTACAGTTTTGTAGCCGGTTTTCTTTTTTTTTTTTTTTTTTTTTTGGAGGGGGTAACCGGTTTTCATTTCAAACGTTTTTTTTTGTTTTTTGTTTTGTTTGAGAGTCATCGTTGATTCGAATTCTATCTCTGAGATCAAAATCAAAAAAAAAAAAAACAACAACAGAACATACCAACAAACACACACACAAACAATTGTAAATTTTTTTTTCTACCGAAAAAAAAATCAAGTTCCGTTTGTTTATTTCTATATACAAGATTTATTGAAAATTCGTGCTCATAATAACAAATAATAATAATAATAAATAATCGATACAAATATTATTTGACTTGTGTTTGATGATGATGATGATGATGAGTAATTTTCGTAACAATTATGGCCAATTTGTTTGTTTTTTGTTCGAAACACACAACAGAATTTTGATGAAGAAAAAAAATTTTTTTTTTCTAATCATAATGTTCACGAAAATAAAACTACATTGTATCAAACAAGATATTTATGTTCATCACCTATGCGTGTCGTCAATGATTATGATCATCATCATCATCATCATCACCATCATATCATATATCCGGTATTGAGCTCATAATCCAATGGAAAAGAAGGAAAAAAAATTCTCATAAAATTTCATGGGAAATTGGTAAAATGTCTGTTCAGCCTTTTGGAAATGAAAACAACAAGAATGTTTTTTCTTTTTTTATTAGTTGCCATCACAAAAAAATTGTTTTCGCAATGATGATGGTTTGTCTTCCTTGTGTACTGGTTGCCTTTTTTATTAGGTTTATGTCTGATTAACTGGACAACAACAACAACAAAAGATTTATTTGGATAATATACTATAAAATAATCATCATCATCATCATCGTTATGGCATAAAGGCAAGTCAGAGTAACAAAAAAAAGAAAAAAAGAAATCGATTATACAAAAGGATCACAGAAGCGCTTTGAATGTCTAAATATGGAAAAATGAACTAATTATTATTACCACATTAGAATCTGAAACACAAAACAAAAAACAAATAAATAAACCAAACGGAAAAAACAAAAACCTTTCTGTTGATCATGAATTCAATCTCTTTTCTTTTGAGATCAAAAAAAAACTTTAAAAAATACGACGAACATCAGAAAAAAAACATGAAATTGAATGTTTTTCATTCACTCCTAATCCATCATAATCATCATCATACGACGAATTCTTGATTTGATCAATACACACACACACACACACATAAACACAATAACAATCACGACCAGACTCTATACTATAACCTAGCCTAGTTGATAGTCATACACAAATCAAAAAAGGTTATTCTTCGTATACTTGGTGAAATATTGGATATGATAAGACATATGTATCAAAATGATAATTGATAGGTTTGTGAACAAGTTTTTGAAATTGAAAATTCAACTTTAAAGATAATTTTTTTTTCTCTTGCAAACATTTTTGAATCACACACATACTCAATACATAAGAGCACCTTAAAAATGATTCAATCATACACATTTTTTCTCACTTGAATAAATGAATAAAATTGTTCAATTTTATTTTCACAAGTTTATGATGGAGAATTTCAATGTCTATGTGTGTTTGAATCATCATTTTCATATATGCAAATCAATCAAGTAATTTGCATTGAATTTGTTGAGAATACACAACAATAATCCTTTTTAGATTCAGAATGATTTTTTTTTTATTATTATAAATCATTAAGTTGATGTGAGAAAAACAAATTATCAAAAAAAAATTGTGTGTGGTCAATCGGTGTGTGTGTGTTTGGGAAAAATATCAAAAAAAGGTGGCTAATGATGATAATTTGAAATGATTAAATATCTTTTCTCTCTCTCTCTCTCTCTCTTTTTCGTAAATGATACTTTTTTTTGAAATGATGATCTAATTAGGGTAAAAAGTGGACAATCCTCATTTGACCGTTTAGATTTGATTTATTCTATTTTTTTTCGTTTCATTCAAGTAAATAGAGGAAAAAAACAATTTCTTAAATGCAATAAATGGGCGTTAATTTAATTTGCCCAACCAATACAATAAATCTCATTCAATCTCACCACACTGACACACACACACACACAAAAACAATCTAAAGAATGGATAATCCGAGCAAAGAAATAAAAATGAAAAAATTTTGTTGCGGATGAAAAAAAAATATAATCTTTAGCTGTTGTTGTTGTCGCCGTCGTCGTCATCATTCACGAAAGATAACAATAATTTTCATCAAAATGAAAATTTGCAAACCAAAAAAAAAATCTCTGAAAAAAATTCGTCTAAATTAGATGTGTGTGTGTATGTTTTGTGTATCTTGAAGAAAAAAAAACTGGAACACACAAACACAGAAAAAATATTCACTTGATTTTTTTTTTTTTTCGTGAATCTTTTTTTTATCATCAGAAAAAAATAACCAAAATTTATAAGGATACGGATAAGACGAAAAAAAAAACAGAAAACAGAGATCATCTTTTGTCTTCCAGGCTATTTTCCAATGATGTTTATGTGTGTGTGTGTGTGTGTAAGTGTGTTTGTATGCACGAGCATCAATCATATCATCAAAGAATGGAAAACATCGGCGACGACTATGATGATGATAATGATGCTGACCACAGAGCTTTTTTTTCAACTTGAAATAAAAAAAAAATGAATTGAAGTCTGCATACATTTAAATCATCATCATCATCATTGTTAAATCAAAAATATATATATCTTGAACTAATAAAATGAATGGACACGACTTGTTTTTACCGTTGTTCGTTGTTTTTATTTTATTTTTTCACAAAAAAGGAATAAGATCCGAACGAATCATCATGTATATAACCTTAAGCACGAAATGGATGGAAATGAGATCATCATCATTCTATGATGAGCAATAATTTTCACTGTTATTTCATTGAAATAAAAAAAAACTGCACAAACAACATAAAGTTTTATACATAATATAATGATGATGATGATGATGATAATAAAATATGGCGCCCACATGTTTTTTTTTTGTTTTTGAAATTGTTCAAGATTATAGTATCGGGAAAAAAGATCTATATGTCTATTACAAGACATACAAAAAAAAAATAATCGAAAAACAACAAAACAGCGAAATAAAGATCAAAGATTTTGAACTATCGATAATAATAAAAAAAGATTGCTATCATTATGACAAAAAATCTTGTGTGTGTGTGTGTGCGAGCCTTTGGTGTTACAAGAACACACATCTAACCACAAAGATTTAATACAAAAAAAAATGAATGAATGAATGAATTTAACAAATTGTAAATTGGATGGAACAAATTTTGATTTTTTTTTTTTTTTTTAGATATTATCGATATACTTTTTTAGATTCATCAATGGTCAATATAAAATGACAATGTAAATTTGAACACACACACACACACACACACACATCAATATCGATATCATCATCATTGCCAAGAAAAAAAAATCCCATTATCAGTCGATATTGAATAAAATAGGAATAGATAAATACACAATCATCGAGACTATTGTTTTTCTTTCATTTCGGAAACTTTATTATTACTTTTGTATATACATTCATTGGGAAAATTGAATGAACACAAACAAAAATCTGAAATAGACAAAACAAATGATCAACAATATCGATGACACACCACAAAGTATCATCATCATCATCATCATCAGGTGGAAGATCAATGACACCATTTGCGATCATGATGATGATGATAATGAATCAAAAGTCTTTCAAAAAACATTATCTAAATTCTCATCATTCCCTCAGAGATAAACATGATTATATAACAACAATTTGTTATTTTGGTTTATTATTATTTCAATTCTACAATCATTGTACGCTTAATTACCACAAAACTCTGTGTTTGTGTGTTATGTATGTTTTATTGACATTCCAACAAGTTGTCATGTCGTTGTTGTTGTTGTTGTTGTTTGATCTACAACTATGTAAAAAAAACAACAACAAAATTGAAAACGCCCACACGATATACATGATGATTATATATATATATATACACACACACATAGACAGATCATTGCTTGTTAATTAAAAGATCATCACAATCTATTTTTTTATGAGTAATTAAAAAAACTTTGACTTGATTTTTTCGTTTTTTTATGACATACACACATGACCAACCAAAAAGGCAACAAATTATTTGCTGTAAATATAGAATTTTATTTTTTCATCATCATCATCATCATCATCATTATAGACATGAATCATCAAATCATCATCATCATCATCAGGATTAATCATTATATTGCAAGCAAAACATACACATACACAAGATTGATTCATATAAATGTAAATTATTTCCAATAATGGTCATTATGTTGTTGTTTTTG